TTCTATTCCTTCAGGGAAGAGTGCAAATTGTTCTCTAGGCTCAAGCCAATTTCCCAGCCAAGGTCAGGGAAAGTCCACAGGGCTCAGAGGCTCTTTAAGGATTTCAGAGGTGGAAGGGTAGAGGAACCATGAGGCCATGTCCTTTCATCTCCTACATAGCCCAGCCCAGAGAAGTTCACTGTGATTTCTGCCGAGAGCTCAGCGCTTGTAGGGTGACAGGCCGGCCTTGCCTTCGACACCCAAGTCACCAACAAGAGGTCACAGTGCTCTGGAACTGTAGATGTATGTATGGGGGTGGCCAGATATGGGGATGGGTGGGGGGTAGACTGATAGGTAGCTATATACAGGGTTGAGTAGATGGGTAGATAGATAGATATGTATGGGGATGTGAATAGATAGATACTAGGGCTGTCAAGGAATTAAAAATATTAATCCCAATTAAACATGCAATTAGTTGTCTTGTTAAACAACAGTAGAATACCATTTAATATTTTTGGATGTTTTCTACATTTTCAAATATTAATGTCAATGACAACACAGAATACAAAGTCGACAGTGCTCACTTTATATTTATTTTTATTACAAATATTTGCCCTGTAAAAACCAAAAGAAATAGTATTTTTCAATTCACCTCCTACAAGTACTGTGATGCAAACTCTATCATGGAAGTTGAACTTACAAATGTAGACTTGTGTACAAAAATATTTAAAACACAAACATTCAAAAATAAAACAGTGTAAAACTTTAGAGCCTACAAGTCCACTCAGTCCTACTTCTTGTTCAGCAAGTCACTCAGACAAACAAGGTTGGTTACATCTACAGGAGATAATGTTGCCCTCTTCTTATTTACATCACCTGAAAGTGAGAACAGGTGTTCCCATGGCAGTATTGTAGCCGGTGTCACAAGATATTTACGTGCCAGATGCGCTAAAGATTCACGTGTCCCTTCATGCTTCAACCACCGTTCCGGAGGACGTGTCCGTGCTGACGACGGCGGGTTCGGCTTGATAACGATCCAAAGCATGTTCGACGCATGTTCATTTTCATCATCTGACTCCAACAGAAGGTTGATTTTTGTTTATGATGGTTCGGGTTCCATAGTTTCCGCATTAGCGGGTTGCTCTTAACGCTTCTGAAAGCATGCTCCGCACCTCGTCCCTCTCTGATTTTGGAAGGCACTTCCGATTCTTAAGCCTTGGGTCGAGTGCTGTAGCAATCTTTAGAAATCTCACACTGGCACCTTCTTTGCGTTCTGTCAAATCTGCTGCGAAAGTGTTCTTAAAATGAGCAGCACGTGCTGGGTCATCGTCCGAGACTGCTATAACATGAAATATACGGCAGAATGCGGGTAAAACAGAGCTGGAGACATTGAACTCCTTGGGGGAGAGCTGTATCACAAATGTAATTAATGCGTTATTTTTTTAATGAGCGTCATCAGCATGGAAGCATGCCCTCCGGAATGGTGGCCGAAGCATGAAGGGACATACGAACATTTAGCGTCTCTGTTAATTTTGTAAACATTGTAAATAAGAAGGCGGCAGCATTATCTCCCGTCAATGGAAACGAACTTGTTTGTCTGAGCGATTGGCTGACCAGGACGTAGGACTGAGTGGACTTGTAGGCTCTAAAGTTTTACGTTGTTTTGTTTTTGAGTGCAGTTATGTAACAAAAAATATTTCTAAGTTGCACTTTCACGATAAAGAGATTGCCTTACAGTACATGTACAAAGTGAATTGAAAAATACTATTTCTTTTATCACTTCTACAGTGCAAATATTTGTAATAAATAATAAAGTAAGCCCTGTACACTTTGAATTCTGTACGGTCATCACAATTAATATATTTAAAAATGTAGAAAAAAATCGAAAAATATTTAATAAATTTCAATGGGTATTCTATTGTTTAACAGTGCGATTAAACCTGCAATTAATTGCAATTCATTTTTTTGAGTTAATTGTGATTAATCAACAGCCCTAATAGATACATACGGGGGGGGAGGGGATAGAGGGTATCTCTAGGGATGGTTGGGTACATATCTAAAGGGTTGGATGGGTGGGTATCTAAAGGAAAGGATGGATAGACGGACGGATGGATCTACACAAGGCTGGATGGGCATGTCCAGGGAGGGATGGACAGACACAGGAACGGATGGGTATCTTTGGGGCGGGGTGGATGGATGGGTATCGAAGGGGATGTCTGTTAGATTAAAGAGACGGACTATAATTACGAAGGGCCTGGCAAAATATGTTCTCATAACAAGTTGGACTTTATCTAGCGGGGCTGTGAGCCCCTCGGGGCAGGGACTAGCTCTGTGCAGTGGGGGCCCCGCAATGCCCAACCCAAGAGCGTCCCCGATCCTGGCTGGGGTCTGTGCGGCACCTGTCCCCACTCTAGCCTGCGAGTGCCCCCCCCCCAAGAACCAAGCTAAACCAGAAAAGTAGAAAACAAAAAACCTGAAATATTAAAAAAAAAAACAAAACAATATTTTTCCAGCAACGTAAAGAAAAAAAAAAACCATAAAAAATTAAAATAAAATAATAAAAAAAAAACCGTTTTATTTTGCATTTTTTGGGGAAGAAAATGGAAGGGGGGAGAAATATAAACAGGCTTAAGACCAAAACCACGATTTCTTTTTTTGATTTTTTTTTTTTTTTTTTTGTATGGCGAACAGTAGAGCACAACGCAGAACCCCTGAAGTCAGGATCGGAGTCGTGTTCGTCCGGTCCGCCCTCGCTCTGAGTGGCTGGCGGGGCTCAGAGAGGGGCGCGCTCACGGAGTGGCTGGCCCGCAGGAGAACTGGGGAGGGGGGCGGGGGGGAGGAGAGACTGGTTACTTCTGAAGCCCAGGGAGGGTGGGGGGGAAAAGGGAAAACTTTGGTCCTTGGCTGGGGTTGGAGTCGGGCTAGAGGGAAGTTGGGGGCGGGGCCCTGGAAACGCGCGAGAAGGCTGTCGCCATCTAGTGGCTGCAGCTCGCACGGCAGACGCAATTCCCAGCACAGCGAGGGGAGAGACTTGTCTTTAGGGTGGGCCCCCCGCCGCCCCGCGGAAGGTGGAGCTGGGTGTTCGGCTCCCGGGGGAAATGGGTGGGAGGGGATCCGTGGGCGCCCGGGTTACCCTAGGAGGAAGGTGGGTGCGAATCAGGGCCGGGCCGGGGATATGTTTGCGTCTCCGGGTAGGGGACGGCTCGCGCCCTGGGGAGGTCTGTCTCGGTTCGGAGGGAATCTCTCCGGCTGTAGGATGTCTGTCTGCGGGATCGCCGTGTGTCCGTCTGTCTGGGGGATCCCTCCGTGGGATCGCCCCGTCCATCCCTGTGACCCATCTGTCCGACTGACCTTCCCAATACCCCCCACTCTGTCGTCCCCCCCGCCGCCCCCATAGCAGCAGTGGTTAGCCCAACGTGCCTGGCGGGGTTTTCTCTCTAATATTTCAACTTTCTTTGCTTTAAACCTGAGGTATTCTCCACAAAAACATCCACTTACATCTACCGCAGAGCCAGGCTGGAAGCGGGGACTCCCCCCCAGCTCCTGGGGAGGGAGGAAGGGTTATCCAAGCCCCAGCCCCACCAGGAGGAAAGGCCGGGAAGAGGCCCGACACCTGGGTCCGCATGGAGTGGGTGATGCTCAAAGGAACAGGAAGAACTGGACAGGAACGGGGAGTTACTGATGGGGGAGGAGGGGAGCTATATGGGAACACCACCCCCCAGATTCCTCTTAACCCTTTACAGCCAGAGTCCCAACTGATGGGGGGGGGGGGCGCCCGAAAACAGACCCAACCTTGAGGGTCCCCCGTCAAGCCCCGCAGACATCCCCGTCAGGCTGAGGAATCCCCCGCCACCAGACCTACGCTGCCCCCCAGCACTGCCAGATCGTCCCCCCACTGGAAGGGCAAAGTCAAAAAGACCCTGCTGGGGGGCGGGGGGGATTATGCCCCAGGAGATTGGGGGGACGACCCCCCCTCCCCCCGACATTTCCTTGGCCTTTAAACACTGAACAGAAACAAAAATGTGGGAAGGGAGGGAAATACCTTTTCCTTTGTGTCTTTCGCCTCCGACGGCAGAATCTATAGCTACGATTCAAGTAACGCGTTAGCCAGTGGGGGGGGGGAGGTTTCAAGTATCAAAAGAAAGGGTGGCCTGCCGCCCCCCAACAGCCGCCCCACAGAGAGGATGCCACTGCCCCCCTCCCCCAGCTGCCAAAATCCAGGAGGGCATCCCCCCACTGTCAGCCCGCCCCACCACATCCCTCAAACCAAAGTGGAGCTGATCACGCGCACCCCGTATTGGGGGCGGAGGGGGTGATTGGCCAGACACCCCTCTCCTTGGGGCACGGAGGAAACGGACCAGGGTGCCCCCCACCCCTTCCCCGATCCACAGGTAGAACCGCTGCCCTGCCGAGCGAAGCCCCGCCCCTTCCCCCCCATGGGAGGAGCCAGGGGGAAGCGTAACCGTTTTAAAAAAGGAGGTCTAAGTTTCGGGGGGGGGATCCGAGCTCCCCTCAGCTGAAAAGGGGGAGGGGCAATAGGAGGGCCCTCCCCAAACCAGGAGGAAATCCAGACGTTGCCCCCGCAAGTGGTTATTTAAAGCTGGCGGATCCGGGGTGGGGGAGAGGCGGGCATCGGGCATGGGTGGGGCTCCCCTGCCCCCACCCCAGGGAGTGTGAGAGTGTGTGGGGGTGGGGATAAACCATCAGTGCTAGAGCCCCCCACAGAGGGGGTGTGGGGGGGGGGCAGATGCAGTAGCCACATACTTGGCAACTAACACAACCAATTCCAAAGGCAGCACGCTGAGGAGCTGGGGGGGGGGGGATTGAGATACTTTTTTTTTTTTTTTTTTTTAAAGGGGTGAGGGGATGTGACCACCGGTACCAGTACACCCCTCCCCCCCCGCCTCCCGTCCTGGCTTCCACCCCCCCCGGGGACATGTACCAACTCCAATCAGCCCCCCCCGCCACCTTATCAAGCAGAGAGAGGACTGAATGGCGCCCCCCCAGATACCCCCAAATGGGATCCCCTCCCAAATCAGCAGTGGGGGGGGGGGGGGAATGGGTTTCCCCCTTGCTCCCCCCAGCCCTGGAAGGCCCCCGGCCCCCCCAGGATTCAGTGCATGGCTTTAGTAAAAGGTCTCTCTTCAAGTCTCTGGCGCAGCCTGGCCCCGCCCGGCTATTAGCTGTCCTTGAGCAGCAATTTCTCCTCGGGGCAGCGGAAGGGTGGCCCGGCAGGCGGCGGGGCCGGGGGCCCCGAGTCCTCGCAGAAGCGGGCGCAGCCCTCGGGCGTGACGTGGCGGCAGGAGCGCAGATCGACGCGGGAGAGGCGCGGGCAGCGTCGGAAGAGAGGCAGACACTGGTCCGTCAGGCGGTTACACCCTGCGCGGCAGAGGGGCGGGCAGTGAGACCTCTAGGGGGCGCCGGCTCCCTTCCGGTCGCAGGGCAGGAGACTGGCTGGCTCAGGGGGGCGGGGAGTGAGACATGGGGCCTCTCCCCTTGAGGGGGTGCTGGATCCAATTCAATCCATAATGGTAGGTGTGTCTGTCAGGCAGGGCTGGGCTAGCAGGGGGCTGCAGGTTGGGAGAGAGGGGCACCGGCGGAGCTGTGGGGGGGCAGGGCTGGGCTAGCAGGGGCTGCGGGTCGGGGGAAAGGGGCACCGGCGGCGCTGGGGGGCAGGGGCTCACCGGAGAGGTTGATCTCGGCGAGGCTGTCGCGAGGGGGGAGTTAGCAGCGGTCAGCAGGTTGACAGACTGGTCACCCACATGGTTGCAGTGGCTCAGGTCCAGCTTGGCGAGCTGGGGCGTGTGGCGGACGACGAGGCGCAACGAGGCGTCCGTGATGTCCAGCCCCGACAGACGCAGCTCAGAGACGTTCTGCAGCCGGCCCCGGCTCTCGGTCTGACCTGTGGGAGCGGGGACAGGTCGGCTCTCTGCAGCACAGCGCCCCCTGGTGCTGCATTGGAGAACAGCGCCCCCGCGGAGCCCCTACGGCACCCCCTAGCACCCACCTGGCTTGCTGTCTGTAGGGGGCAGCAGCAGCTCACGGAGGTGCGAGTCCTTGACGTCCTCGATCCAGCGCAGGTCGAGCAGCCGCAGCGAGGGGAAGCTGGCGGTGCTCAGCGCTGAGACGGAGCACCACGAGCAGCCCGTCAGGACCAGCTCCCGCAGGCCTGCAGGGGGCAGCACAGAGACGCCAAGTCAGGGAGAGAACCCAGGCGTCCCGACTCCCATTTCCCCAGGCTCTAACCCACCAGGCCCCATGCCCCTCCCAGAGCTAGGAAAAGAACCCAGGAGTCCTGGCTCCCAGCAGCCCCCCCCTACCCTGTAGCCGGTTGATAAGCCACATGAGCTGCTTCTTGGAGATGTTGGTCCAGCTGAGGTCGAGGCTGCCCGGCTGCCGGCGAATGATGCCGCTCAGCATAGACGGGGTGATCGATTTCCGGCGGCTCAGGTCGATGCGGGTCCACAGGCGCTTATCACAGCACCTGGGGGAGGCGGGGGTGGAGAAAATTAGACAGCACCACTACTACAGTCAGTACGGTAGCCGTCCCAGCACCCCACCTCTGCCCTAAAACAATCAACACAGTAAAAGTTCCCGCCGCCACCCCGTCTAACACAGCTTCCACCCAGAGCACTCACACAATCGATACGGTAACAGCACCAGCCGCCGCCTCGTCTAATACAATCAATACGGTAACAGCACCAGCCGCCGCCTCGTCTAACACAATCAATACGGTAACGGCACCCGCCAGCCACCGCCACCTCTGAATACGGTAAAATTGTATTAATTCAGTAACAGAAATAGCACCAGCCGTTGCCTCTTCTAATACAATCAATACGGTAATAGCACCAGCCACCGCCTCTTCTAATACAATCAATATGGTAAAGATACCGGCTTCTCCCCAATATGCTGGTATATAAGGCCCTACTTGACTTGCGATACTGCCGACCCCACATCATTCGGCTTCCACCTAATTCTGCCCGCCCGGAGCCCTGGCTGTAGGCCCCCCGGGGGCTCCCTCTCTCAGCCCCCCACGTTAACGACTAGACTGTAGGTGCAGCAAGGTGTCGGATCAACCACCACCAATCAGCCAGCATCCCAGAATACTTGTTCCAGCAAACACCTCTGAAATGCGCGGCTCTTCTCCGGCTTCTCCAATTCCTGCCGTTCTCCAATTCCTGCCGCTTTGCCGGGACTGGCCACGTCTCGGCTGCAAGCATTTGACAAGCATCCCAGGACTCAAGCAGGGCCCCACTTATACAGTCAATACGGTGAGGGCACCAGGCCTCACCGTCTCTAATACAATCAATACGGTAAAGGCACTGGTTTCCCAGCCAGTATGCTAATACGGTCAATACGGTACAGTAACCCGGCCCCGCCCTTCTTCCCGGGCAGCAAAGCGCGACCCGGCAGCTCCCCCATGTGGCCACACAGACCATTGCACCCTCTGCAGCCTGCAGCGCCCCATGGGACCCACAGCCCCCCCCCCCCCGCACCTACTGCCCCACATCTCACCCATGGGATCCCCTCTTCCCACCCCATGGGACCCACAGCCCCCCCTGACCCCCCAGGGACCCACAGCGCCCCCCCGTCACCTACTGCCCCACATCTCACCCATGGGACCCGCAGCCCTGCCTCCACCCTCCAGGGACCCACTGTCTCCTGGCACCTACTTGACCCCCTCCTCTCACTCCATGGGACTCACAGCCCCTCCCCCGGCACCTACCACCTCACGTCTCGCCCATGGGACCCGTAGCCCCATCCCTGCCGTCCAGGGACCCACAGCCCCCAGAGACCCATCACTCCACACCTTGCCCATGGGACCCTTCCTCCCGCCCCATTGGACCCACAGCCCCCCAACCTGCCCTCCAAGGACCTGCTGCCGCACGGGACTTCTACACCCTGTGCCCAGGGACCCCCACAGCCCCACACTCCTCCCCCTGCCCCCAGTGACACTCTCCTTCCCCACTCATCCCCCACAGGCCGCAAACCCAGCCGTTGTTTCAGTCCCTGACAGCCCCACGGCAAGACTCCAGTCAGGGCTCAGGAAACCGACCTGCAGAGTGACAAAGTGACCCCTCTAACTCAGCGCCCCCTAGTGCTGCCCTCGGGCATCAAGGCCAGCCCTGGCTACCAGGGGAGAGCGCCCCCTGCTACGCCCCACACACATGCCCCACCACAACACAGCGCCCCTTATTGGCGGACTTGGGACCTGCATCTTGCCCAGCGCCCCCTAGCGGTGCCTACAGCTTGCCAGCCTCCACCCTGCAACCCCAGGGCCCCCTAGTGGCACACTGTGGTACTTCAACACCCTTCACAGCGCCCCTTGACGGCACCCAGGGGGGAATGCAGGTCCTCAGCGCCCCCTAGCGCCCGCCCGCCCTTACCATCGGCTCCAGGTCCGACACACCCGCATGCAGACGCAGAGCTCGCGGTAGCTGAGGTGCTGGAAGACGGCCAGCCAGACGTCACGCTGCATGACGTGGTCCGAGCCGCTGTCCAGGGGCAGCGAGTCCGGCTCGGGGCTGTCGGGGGGCGGGCGCACCACGTGCCGCTCCAACTGCAGCAGGGGCTTGGGGGGCGAGGGCACCAGGGGCCACTGGAGGAACTGAGTCCGGGTCACCATGTGCAGGCCCGTCTGCCCGGCCGGCCGGCCTCCCTTGCGGCCCCCGGGCTGCTGCTTGGCTCGCTCGCTCCCCCTGCTGGCGGCCCGGTGGTGGTTCTCCTTCTCCTGACAGTTCGCCCGCGGCCCCTTGGGCTGCTTGCCATTGCGGGCCGCCTCCGAGCCCCCGTTGCGGCCTTCCTCCTCCTCCTCGTCCTCCTCCTCGTCCTCCTCACTGGCGCTGAAGCCGAGAGCGGCCAGGCGCTGGGCCCGGGAGGCGGGTGAGGCGGCCCGGCTGGAGGCCCCCCCCCCGCTGGAGCCCTCCGAGCCCCGCGAGTCCGTGTCCGAGTCCGAGTCGGAGCTGGAGCTGGAGCTGCTGCTGTTTTTGACGCGCTCCAACATCTGGCACATCTGCTTGAAGCGCTCCAGCTTCTCCCGCTGGTGAGACTTGTCCGACTGCGCAGAAGGCTCCAGAGGTCCCTGAGGTGCCTTGGTTTTCTAGGGGGGGCGGAAAGGGGGTTATGGAAAATGGGCCCTGCCCCGCCAGGGGGCACCGGCTCGGATCCGGCCCCAGGGCAGGGGTGGGGAATGGACATGGGGCCTTTCCCCTCTCGGGAGCACCGGCTCCTGTCCGACCCCAGGGCAGGGGACTGGCTGGCGCAGTGGGGTGGGGAATGGGACTCGGGGACTCTACCCCGCCAGGGGGCACCGGCCCCGATCCAGCCGCTGTGGGGGGGCTCCGGTCCGCTCTCACCTCCAGGTCGCTGGGGCCGATCTGGCTCAGGTGGATGGTCGAGTGGGAGATGGACCCTTTCACCTCCAAGTCGCCGCTCCCCACGCGGCCCCAGCTCGGTAGCGGCTGCAGCTTGTTCCCATCCGACGGCTGCTCGGAGGCCTGCAGGGTCACCGAGCGGGGCAGGTCTCAGCGGGGAAGCCAGCAGCAGCAGGTCGCGGCCACCAGGCTGTGCCCCATGGGGGAGGCCCACGGGACACCCCCAGCAGCGGGCAGCCCCCAGTCCCCCCCCCACCCCGCGATCCCAACGAGCGCCCAATGAGCCTGCCACTGACTAGCCCCGCCCAGGCGACGCCAGGGCTAATCAGCAGATATGTAAATATCAGGCAGAGAAAAAGGGAATCCTGGCCCCAGGGCCGGGGAAGGGACCCAGGGCCTTCCCCCTCTAGGGGGCGCTGGGTCTGATCCAGCCCCAGGCCGGGGGACTGGCTGGCTCAGTGAGGGGAGGAGAGCCGAGGAATGGGATCCAGGGCCTTTCCCCTCTGGGGGGGCAGGTCTCCCCTCTTCCCGGGCACGGAACTGGGCAGCTGGAAGATCAGAGCCACTCACCTTCTTCAAGTGTTTTTCCCGCCCGCCTTTCAACTGCAAAAGACAGTCAGACAAAGACACAGTTAAACAGAACCCGGACACCTGGGTTCTACCCTGGCTCCGGGAGGGGAGTGGGGTCTAGTGGTTAGAGCAGGGGGGCTGGGAGCCAGGACTCCTGGGCTCTATCCCGGCTCTGGGAGGGGAGTGGGGTCTAGCGGTTGTGGGGTGGGGGCAGCTGCAGCTGGGACTCCTGGGTTCTATCCCCAGCTCTGGGAGAGGAGCGGGGTCTAGTAATTAGAGCAGGAAACATCTGGAGCCAGGACTCCTGGGTTCTATCCCAGCTCTGGGAGGGGAGTTGTGTCTGGTGGGTTAGAGCAGGGGAGGCTGACAGCCAGGACTCCTGGGCTCTGTCCCGGCTCTGGGAGGGAAGTGGGGTCTAGTGGTTAGAGCGGGGGGGGTGCACTCCTGGGTTCTATCCCTGGTTCTGAGAGAGGGGTCTCTGACCTTTTTCTTGGGCCCCGTGTCGGGGGGCGGCAGCTCCTTCTCCTTCTTGCGCTTGTGGGCGCTGGCGGGGGGCTCCTCCGCAGGGGGCGGGGCCGGCAACAGCTTCTTCTTGTGCTGGGCCACCTCGTCCGTCAGCTTCCACCGTACCCCGTCCTCGCCGTTGTCCGCCCGGCGCTTCCCTGTCCCGTCGCCACCCGAGTCCTGGGGGCGAGAACAGGTGGGTGCCCCTCCCCCAGCACGGCCCCTCCCCTCACATGCCCCACCTCACCCCCAGGAGCCCCGTCCCTCTGCGCTCCCCAGCGTGAACAGCCCCACCTTGTGGGCAGCCCTCCCAGACAGTCCCTGCCCCACACCACAGCTACCCCCAGATCCCTGTCCCTACCCCCTTCCTCCCCTCCCACAAAACTGCCCTTCCAGGTGTCCTGCCCCACCCATCCCATCCAGACACCCCGTGACCCCTTCCCCACCAGGTCATCTCAAGTTCCCCCCGCGCAGGAAGGATCCTATATTGAGTCGGGAACCCCGCATATTCCAACCTAACCCCCCTCAACCTCCAGTGCCCCCCCACCTCACTGACACTTAGAGCAGATGGCCCTTTGCTGTGGAAGCAACGCCACCTGGTGGTCAAACAGCAACAGTGGCCTGGGACACCCCGCCAGAGGGGAAAGGCCCCGGGTCCAATTCCCAGCTGCGGAAGCCAGACAGCCCCCTTTGCTGGGGCTGATCCAGCGCCCCCTAGAGGGGAAAGGCCCCGGGGACCCATCTCCAGGCCCTGAGCCAGCTAAACCCCTGGGGGTCAGGTGGCTACGTACCTTGTTGGATTTCCCTTCTCGTTTGCATTTGGGGCACTCCCAGCAGTTGGGAATCTCATTGTTAATCACAGCTTCCGCCGTCCCCATCTGGGTAGATGGACAAACAGACATTCAGCCAGCCATCCCGGCCTCGACCCAGCCCCATCGCCGTCGAGGGGGGTTACAGACGCCCTCCCCCACCACGTCAACAGCAGGGAGGGTTCTCCCCACTTCCACGTCGGGGAAACTGAGGCACAGAGCCACGCAGTGACTTGTCCAAGGTCACACAGGGAGTCTGGGGCAGAACTGGGCACAGAAGCCAGGAGTCTTGGCTCCAAGCCCCCCCCCCCGCTCTAACCCCTAGACCCCACTCCCCTGCCAGAGCTGGGAAGAGAACCCAGGAGTCCAGGCTCCCAGCCCCCGCTGCTCTCACCACTAGGCTAGTGGTTCTCAACCTGGGGTAGGTGTACCCCTGGGGGTACGGAGAGGTCTCCCAGGGGTACATCAACTCATTTAGGTCTTTACCTAGTTTTACAAGAGGCTACATAAAAAGCACTTGTTTATTCTGCTCTGTATGCTACACACTGAAATGCCAGTACAATATTTATATTCCAGTTGATTTACTTCCTAATTACAAGGGGAAAAAGGAGAAAGTCAGCAATTTGTCAGTTCCAGTGCGCTGTGACACGCGTGGTATCTTTATGTCCGATTGTGTACGTCAGTCGTTTTTAAGTGAGGTGAAACTTGGGGGTAGGGAAGACATATCAGATTCCTGAAAGGGGTACAGTCGCCAGGAAAGGTTGAGAGCCACTGATCTAGACCCCACTTTCCTCTCAGACCCGGGGATAGAACCCAGGAGTCCTGGTTGCCACCAGACCCCACTCCCCTCCCAGAGCCAGGTATAGAACCCAGGAGTTCTGGCTCCCATCCCCCCCTGCTCTAACCATTAGGCCCCACTCCCCTCCCAGAGATGGCACAGAACCCAGGAGTCCTGGCTCCCAGCCCCCCCTGCTCTAACCATTAGGCCCCACTCCCCTCCCAGAGATGGCACAGAACACAGGAGTCCTGGCTCCCATCCCCCCCTGCTCTAACCACTAGGCCCCACTCCCCTCCCAGAGCCAGGCACAGAACCCAGGAGTCCTGGCTCCCATCCCCCCCTGCTCTAACCATTAGGCCCCACTCCCCTCCCAGAGATGGCACAGAACCCAGGAGTCCTGGCTCCCATCCCCCCCTGCTCTAACCATTAGGCCCCACTCCCCTCCCAGAGATGGCACAGAACCCAGGAGTCCCGGCTCCCAGCCCCTTCCACGGGTGAGGCTGGCCCGGTTGGCGAGCGCTGGGCTGGGCCCCATGGGGGGGGGCAGGCCAGGTTCACCCCTTCCCGGGCGCGGCACTCACCTTGAGGCAGGCGGGATGGACGATCTCGTTGCAGATGGAGCACTCCATGAGCGACAGGTTGAATTTCTCCTCCTCCCCCTCCACCGTGTCCTCCTTCCCGGCCTCGCCACAGAGCAGGCACACAGCTGTGTGAGGCAGGACTGGCTGCGGGCGGCAAGGAGAGGCGCCGGGGCCAGCTGAGCTGCCGGCCCTGCCACCAGGGGGCCCCCGAGAGAGAGATCAGGGGATCCCCTGCCCTGCGTGGAGATACGGCCCCCTCTGGGGCGGGCCACGGAGGCTGGTTATTCTGGGACCCCTTGGCACTGTGATGCGGCCACCTCTGGGGCAGGCCGCGGAGGCTGGTGATCCGAGGACCCCTGGCACTGTGATGCGGCCACCTCTGGGGCAGGCCGCGGAGGCTGGTGATCCGAGGACCCCCTGGCACTGTGATGCAGCCCCCTCTGGGGCGGGCCGCGGAGGCTGGTTATTCTGGGACCCCCTGGCACTGTGATGCAGCCCCCTCTGGGGCGGGCTGTAGAGGCTGGTTATTCTGGGACCCCCTGGCACTGTGATGCAGCCCCTGCTGGGGAGGGCCGCGGAGGCTGATGATCCGGGGACCCCTGGCACTGTGATGCGGCCACCTCTGGGGCAGGCCGCGGAGGCTGGTGATCCGAGGACCCCTGGCACTGTGATGCAGCCACCTCTGGGGCGGGCTGCGGAGGCTGGTGATCCGAGGACCCCTGGCACTGTGATGCAGCCACCCCTGGGGTAGGCTGCAGAGGCTGGTTATTCTGGGACCCCCTGGCACTGTGATGCAGCCCCTGCTGGGGAGGGCCGCGGAGGCTGATGATCCGGGGACCCCTGGCACTGTGATGCGGCCCCCTCTGGGGCGGGCTGCAGAGGCTGATGATCCGGGGACCCCTGGCACTGTGATGCGGCCCCCTCTGGGGCGGGCTGCAGAGGCTGGTTATTCTGGGACCCCCTGGCACTGTGATGCGGCCCCCTCTGGGGTGGGCCGCAGAGGCTGGTTATTCTGGGACCCCCTGGCACTGTGATGCGGCCCCCTCTGGGGCGGGCTGCAGAGGCTGGTTATTCTGGGACCCCCTGGCACTGTGATGCGGCCCCCTCTGGGGCGGGCCGCGGAGGCTGGTGATCCGGGGGCCCCTGGCCTGCCCCGCTGCGCCCCCAGCTCACCGCTGTGCATTGCCTCATCAGGCAGGACTGCTTCATGCGCCCCGGGCCCCCGAACTTCTTCATGTCCTTGCAGAAGTGGCACTCGCCGCACTCCGTCCGCTGGCAGGCTTTGCACTTACGGCAGCGCGTCCGGCGCCGGCGAGATCCAGCCCCCGCCCCTTTGCTGGACGACATTGGCTACCTCCCGCTTCAGCTACTCTGCAGGCTGCGGGGCAAGGAGACGCCGGGAGTTAGAGGGGAGCTTTGGGGGGGAGCCGCGGGGACCTCAGAACTCCCCTAAAGCAGGGCCAATCACCCCCTAACTGAGCACCCAGGGAGGGGAAACTGAGGAACAAAGCCGTGCACAATGTCCCACAGTAAGTGATGGAATAGAACCCAGGAGTCCTGGCCCCCAGACCCGCAGCTCTAGCCACTAGACCCCACTCCCCTCCCAGAGCTGTGATTGAATCCAGGAGTCCTGAGGCTAGCCATGCTGTCCAGGATGACAGCCCCACCGGAGGAGCGAGGGGATGGGACAGCAGCCGCCCCAGAGGAGCCAGAGGATGGAACCCAGGCGTCCGGCTCAGCTCAGGCCAGGGGGCTGTGGAACGTGACTCACCTTGGATATGCAAAGCTGGGGCCACCGGGACCCCTCACCCACAGCTGGCATCAGATCTCCCCTCCCAGGGACCAGGCTGAGGAACCAAGAGGGCATGGCCAGCCACAGGACTCCTGGGTTCTCTCCCCAGCTCTTGGACGGGAGTGCGGGCTAGTGGTTAGAGTAGAGGGGGCTGGGAGCCAGGACTCCTGGGTTCTATCCCCAGCTTTGGGAGGGGAGTGGGGTCTCGCCCCTCCTAATCTAACCACTAGACCCTACTCCACTCCCATAACATCCCAGTCTGTGAAAGGTGAAAGGCTTGGAGCTCACAGTGTCTCCCCTGGCCAAACAACTCTACAGTTAAATGCTCCAGCCTGAATCCCTAAGATGCAGCTGCCTCTGGGGTGTGGCAGCTGGGGAAAAGCCGCACAGCAACACTACAGGATCCGTCTGTCACCCAGGCTCAGACCAACAGGCCCACCTAACCCAGTCTCCCGTCCCCCCAGCACTGGATCTGACAGTCACACCTTTAATCGGCCTGTATTTGACACCCAAACATAGCATCAGGGAGTTCCACAGGTCACCACAACAAGCCAGGGCCCCTACCCAATACCCCCTATACACTCGGCGAAGGCTTGGCCCTCGCATGCCACACAACGCGAGGCTGTGCCTGCCGGAGTCTGCAGAGAGCCTGAGACAAGAGCTCTGAGGAGAAATGGGTGTCGACTCTGAAACCTACTGACAGCAGATGAGCCACCAGCATTATTAACTGTTCCACTGCTGTCCCAGACCAAAGACAATTTCAGGGAGGTCTTGTGAGGGGCACATGCACATTAGGGTTGTGCCACAAAGGGACCGAGGTCAGGGCCCCCATCGCACCAGGCACTGCGCAGACCCCGACCGAGATCAGGGCCCCCCTTCCGTGCTGGGTGCTGCACAGACCCACGGTGAGAAACACGCCCTGCCCCCAGCAGCCCACAGTCTAACCTGACATGAGGAGGGGGGATAATCCTGCCTTGATCACAGATGGGGAAACTGAGACCCAGAAAAATTCAGGAACTTGCCCGGGAACACAGAGGGGGTCTCGGCAGAGCCAGGACAGAATCCAGGAGTCCTGGCTCCCAGCCCCCCCCCCATCTCTAACCCATTAGATCCTTCCCCGCTCCCAGAGACAGGGAGAGAACCCAGGAGTCCGGGCTCCCAGCCCTCCTGCCCTAACCACTGGCCCCCTGCTGGAAAGCAGCTACTGAAATCAAGAGCTCCTGGGCAGAGAGACGAGAGCAGGATACCCCAGCTACTACACACCCCTCGGCCTCCCACAGGCCTGTCAGGAACCCCCCAGGCCCCACAACTCCTCCCCACACTGTCAGCTTCCCTCCACAGCCCCAACCCCGCCCCCCCTTCTGCTGTGATCAGCAACGAAAGTATCATAAGGGAATCGGTATCAGTGGAGCAGTGGTGGGGGGAGCCCAGGGCTGCGCTGGCAGGGGGCTGCGGGTCGGGAGTGAGGGGCACCAGCAGAGCCGGGGGGGCAGGGCTGGGAGGGGCAGGCAGGGGGCAGGGAGGGGGCTGGGGGTCGGGGCTGAGGGGCACTGGCAGGGCTGGGGGAGCTGGGAGAGCTGGGGGGCAGGCAGGGGGTTGGGGCTGGGGGGCACTGGCAGGGCTGGGAGGGGCAGGCAGGGGGCAGGGAGGGGGCTGGGGGTCGGGGCTGAGGGGCACTGGCAGGGCTGGGGGAGCTGGGGGGCAGGCAGGGGGTTGGGGCTGGGGGGCACTGGCAGGGCTGGGGGGGCTGCGGGTCGGGGGGCTGGGAGAGCTGGGGGTCACTGGCAGGGCTGGGGGGCAGGGCTGCGGAGGCTAGGAGAGCTGGGGGGCAGACAGGGGGCTGGGGGTTGGGACTGGGGGTCGGGGCTGGGGGGCACTGGCAGCGCAGGGGGGGCTGTGGGTCGGGAGAACTGTGGGGGCAGGCAGGCAGGGGGCTGCGGGTCGGGAGTGAGGGGCACCAGCAGAGCCGGGGGGGCAGGGCTGGGAGGGGCAGGCAGGGGGCAGGGAGGGGGCTGGGGGTCGGGGCTGAGGGGCACTGGCAGGGCTGGGAGAGCTGGGGGGCAGGCAGGGGGTTGGGGCTGGGGGGCACTGGCAGGGCTGGGGGGCTGCGGGTCGGGGGGCTGGGAGAGCTGGGGGTCACTGGCAGGGCTGGGGGGCAGGGCTGCGGGGGCTAGGAGAGCTGGGGGGCAGACAGGGGGCTGGGGGGCACTGGCAGCGCAGGGGGGGCTGTGGGTCGGGAGAGCTGGGGGGCAGACAGGGAGCTGGGGGTTGGGACTGGGGGGCACTGGCAGGGCTGCGGGGGCTAGGAGAGCTGGGGGGCAGGCAGGGGGTTGGGGCTGGGGGGCACTGGTAGGGCTGGGGGGGCTGCGGGTCGGGGGGCTGGGAGAGCTGGGGGTCACTGGCAGGGCTGGGGGGCAGGGCTGCGGGGGCTAGGAGAGCTGGGGGGGGGGGGGGGGTTGGGACTGGGGGTGGGGCTGGGGGCACTGCAGCGCAGGGGGGCTGTGGGTCGGGAGAGCTGGGGGCGGCAGGGGGCTGGGCTGGGGGCGGAGGGGGGGGGGGGGGGGGGGGGGGTGGGGAGCTGGGGGTATGGCGGGCTGGGGGGAGGCTGGGGGGCTAGGAGAGCTGGGGGGCAGACAGGGGGCTGGGGGTTGGGACTGGGGGTCAGGGCTGGGGGGCACGCAGGGGGGGGGGGCAGGCAGGGGGCTGGGCTGGGGGGCAGGCAGGGGGGGGCCACCGGCAGAGTCTGCCCCCCCCACCTACCTGGCCCGGCATGCTGCGGCCGGGCCCGCCCCGGGCGCGGCGCCGGGGGTGGGGGCGGGGGTCGGGGCCGCCCCCCAGGCCCCGGGCCGGGGCGAGACACGAGCCCGGTTCCGCCGGACACAGCCCAGGGCTCCGCCGGCTCTTGCGTCCCCGGGAAACCGCGCGGGGAAACTTTGGTTCCGGGGTCGCCCCCCCCCCGGCCGCCCGCCCCCCGGTATCGCCCAGCGACGCCCCCCCCCGCTCTAGCAGCCAGCGCCCCGATCTGCCCCCCCCAGAAAAAAACCCGCAACCCGCAGGAGGGGGGGGCGAATAAACCCCGCAGCAACAAAGGGGACGGGCGGAGGGGGGGAGCGGGCTCCCCCTGCCCCCTCGTGCTTGGCCATCTCGGGGGGGGGGTCGCCCCGAAACGGCCCCCGCCCCCCCCCGCTCCGGCTCCCCCCGCCCCCCGCGAGTCGGGCTCCGCTGCCGGCCGGGCCTGGCGGGGGGGCAGCTCCCGGAGCCCCCCTGCCGCCCCCCCGTCGCTGCACCGCGCAGCCCCCGGGGGCGCCCCCCCGAAAGCCGGCCGGGCCCGGGGGGGGGGGGGGCGGCGGCGGCGGGGGGGGGGCCGGGCCCGGGGGAAAGCGGCGCGATCTCCGCCGAGGCAAAAGAAACTTACCCGGAATCCCGGCTGGCCTGGCCCCTTCGCAGGCACCGACCCACCCATCCCTGGGGTGGCTCTGCGCTGGGGGGGGGTCCCCCCAGATCCCCCGCAAAGGAGGAGCGGGGGGGGGGAGACACTTACCTGCTGGGTAGCCATGGGGCTGCGTGGGATCCGGCGTGGGTCACAGGCTCTTCCATGGGGGGGTGGGGGGGGGAGAAACTGCAACCAACCCAGACTTTTGTTTCCTTCGTCCCTACGGCGTGGGGGTGGGAGGCTGGGGGGGGGGGGCGGCTCGGAGGCGGCCTCTGAGGAGCAATGTGGGGTACCCCCCCCCCGCAGGCGCGCTCGCCTCAACCTGACCCCCCCCCTTCCCACAGCCGGACAACCCCCCCCCTTTACCCTTCACCGCTTTCTTGTCCTTGGAGGAGGAAGGGGAGCCGATTGCACGAGCACCCCTCTCCCCCGACCCTGTCTCCTTCCCCCTAGGGGGGCACCCCCAAGTCCTCAGCACCGCCTGGGCTTTTTTTGGGGCGGGGGGAAAGGGATCTGAGCTGCCCAACCCCTCCCCAAGAGGGACCAGGTCCCCGCCCTCCTCCTTCTAACCCCCCCCCAATAGGAATCAGGGAGTCTCCCCCCTTTCCAACCCACCCCAACTTCGGCTCACCCCCCCCTCTTTCCGAGCCGCCCCCCAATAAGAATCAGGGACCCCTCTTTGCAACCACCCCCCCAATAGGGAGCAGGTCCCCTGCTCTTTCCAAGCCCCCCTCCCCGACTTAGGGAGCAGCCCCCTACTTTGCAGGGCCCCCCAATAGGGCTCAGACCCGCCCCCTGCTGCTCAAGCTGCTGCCCCCCACCAATAAGGGGGTTCGCTTCCCTTTTTTAGGGGGGCCTTTGCCCCTTCCTAGCCTGCCTCCTCCCACTCGGGGCAGTCTCTGGGCTCCCCGCAATTGAAGAGGGGGAGCTCAGCCCCCTCTCCACCCCCCTAATTTAGGGATCTAGCCGGGGGGAGGGGTCCTGCGCTGCTCCAAGCCCCCCACACACATATGGGGGCGGGGCCTAAGCTGCCTTCCTCGTTTCCCCCTCCCCCCACTCGGGCTGGCTCGTGCGGGGGGGGAGGGGCTGCCCCAGCGCCCCCTAAAATTGCAGAGAGGGGGAGGGGTGCAGCTCCTGGGACGGGGGGGCTGGGCCCCAAGGCTGCTGCTCTTCTGCTGCGGCTGCTGCTGCCCCCTCCTGTAGCCTGGCTCATCCCCCTCCCCTCCCTCCCCTCCCCCTCTCAACCCCGCAAACACACAAAACCCATCATGGCGGCCCGGAGCCAGCCCAGGCCCGCGCACCGCCTCATGGGAGACGTAGTTTCCCCTCCTCCAGGCCGCGTTCGCTTTGAAGAAAGGACGGGCGTGTTTGGACTACAAGTGTCATGGCGGCGCGGGGAGGCCGGACTTCCGCCACGCCTCATGGGAGATGTAGTTCCCCAACCCCTCCTCTGAGGCACGTTCATATCTGTGGGGAAGGGGCCAATGTTTGGACTACAAGTGTCATGGCGGCGCAGGGAGGCTGGGCTCTCGCGCTGCCTCCTGGGAGATGTAGTTTCCTTTACTACCCCCCGAGCCCTGGTGTTTTCCAATGAGGGAAAGGGGTGTTTGGACCAAAAATGTCATGGCAGCGTGGGGGGTGTGGTCCTCGCGCTGCCTCATGGGAGATATATTTCCCCACCCCACTGAACCCATTTATGTCCAGGGGGAGGGCATGTTTGGACTCCAAGTGTCATGGCGGCACACAGCAACGGCTCATGGGAAATGTAGTTTCTCAGCTGCCCAAGTTCCTTTCATTTCTAAGAGAAAGGGGACATGTTTGGACTTCAAGTGCCATGGAGGCGTTAGGAGGGGGATGCGCAATGTCTCCTGGGAAATGTAGTTTTACACCCACACCTACACCTGAAAAGAATCCCCTTTGTTCTTCTAGGGAAGTGGGAGATGTTTCAGTTACAACTGTCATTGCAGTGCAGCCAGGCTCATGCCTGACACGGCCTCATGGGAAATGTGGTCCTCACGCCTGGACTACAACTAACATGGCGGCGCTTCCCGCGCACGGCCTCATGGGATTTGTAGTCTTCCCCCGTCCCCTATGATAACTGGCAAGCAAAGAGGCGAAAACTGGACTACAACCACCATAGAGGCTCAGGGTTGAGAGGGGAAAATTCCATGCAAGACCTCATGGCAGTCGTAGCATTTGCCATTGAGTTAAAGCTGGAGTGGAGGAGGAAAGGGCCTCATGGGAAATGTAGTCCAGTTCCCCTTCCCCAGCCCCCATTCATCTCAAAGAGCATTCACTCCCAGCCCCTGACATCCACCTTTACCCTACTCCTCTCCTGGAGCTGAGAATAGAACCCAGGAATCCTGGATCCCAACCCCTCCCCCCCCCGCTCTAACCCACTAGATTCCACCTCTGCCTGGTGTTGGCACCAAGACAAAATTCCGTCACCCTCATTGACGACAGCGGGACTAGCCAGGGACTAACATCACTCCGCATTTTCTGCGGCGTTACCAGCCCCAGGCGCTCAGAAATCATGACCAAAGCCTCCAAAAGTCGCCAGCTCAGTGTGGCAAATCATGAGATTTCATAAATCAGATAACATCTCCCGTGCTTATTAGTGGCCTTCTTGGTTGAGTGCCAATGGGGGTGATGTCTTCAGGCTTTTCTCCAGCAACACGGAGTAACCAATAATTATTTAATGCTTTTAAAGGCAAGCAGAGTTTTTCACGTGACTCCAGAAGCTCGAGGCATTATGCGGGGGAGGGGAACAATGGAAGATTCCTGATAAAATGGTTGCATGCGGCTCAGGGTCTGCTCCTGGGACTAAATTGTGCAAATATAGCTATAACCCTGACCTGAAGTGTCCCTCCCAAGTAGAATGCTGATGCGACAAAAGTATTTCACCACTTTGCAATATCCGCTGACCCTGCTAATTCTTCCCTGCAGCTTGTGGCTTTCAAAAGCAACAGAAAAACTTCATTCTGATCCAGTCCGGAGCGACTCCATTTTCAGGGCCAGATTCTGAGCTCAGTGACCCTGGTGTAAACCTGGAGCGAGCCAAATCTACCCCATGATTAACTCCAGGTCCTAACCTGGCCTTCCTGGCACGCTAACCAAAAATAACAATTCAATTAATGCTGAAACTCAAGTCGACCAGGGTATTCCTGGAATTAAAACCGAAGGCAGGGATAAGTGTGGGTCAGATCTCGCAGCAGGTGCTTCAAACAAGTCCTTCATTCTAGAAGGAAAATCCTACTCATTTGCAGCATGGGGGTCCGCCTGGACTGGGAAGGGACAGTGCCTCCTACTGAGCCCTGCCCCACTCCCTGCAGCACAGCGCCTCCTAGCGCCGCACTGGGGCATCGGGGCCGGCCCTGGCTGCCCAGGGAGAGCGCCCCCTGCTGAGCCCCCGCTCCCTGCAGCACAGCGCCCCCTAGCGCCACACTGGGGCGTCGGGGCCGGCCCTGGCTGCCCGGGGAGAGCACCCCCTGCTGAGCCCCCGATCCCTGCAGCACAGCGCCCCCTAGCGCCGCACGGGGGCAGCGGGGCCGGCCCTGGCTGCCCGGGGAGAGCGCCCCCTGCTGATCCCCCGCCCCCTGCAGCACAGCGCCCCCTAGCGCCGCACTGGGGCAGCGGGGCCGGCCCTGGCTGCCTGGGGAGAGCGCCCCCTGCTGATCCCCCGCTCCCTGCAGCACAGCGCCCCCTAGCGCCGCACTGGGGCAGCGGGGCCGGCCCTGGCTGCCCGGGGAGAGCGCCCCCTGCTGATCCCCCGCTCCCTGCAGCACAGCGCCCCCTAGCGCCGCACTGGGGCGTGGGGGCCGGCCCTGGCTGCCCGGGGAGAGCGCTCCTTCTCTCCACAGCCGAGTGAAGGGTTAATACGACCGATCACTAGAAGCCTAGACAGGACCAGGCGGGTCTTCTCTGGGGGGAACGAAATAACAAAGGGACCTTCCGCTTCCTTCCTCTCCCCCCACAGTCCAGGCAGCTGGGGGGAGGGGGGTATCCAGCGGATGTGGGGGGGGGGAAGGGGCCGATCCCCAGTCTCCCCTAGCCCCGGGCAAGCAGGTATGTGGGTGCAGACAGGGTACCTCTACGCCTTGCACCGCTGGGGGATGCGTGCATTGATTTGCTCGTCAATTGCATGGTGCAGATGAAGCAGAGGGAGGTGGGATGGGATGAGGGGGAGGTCGGAGAGGACCCCGCGTTCCCCAGCACCCCCTGAGCTCTGCCCCTCTGGATCGGGGCCCCACCAAGGAGGATCGAACCCCCAATCCCTGGCGCTGCTGAGTCCGGGACATCTGGGGAGGGAGCTGAGCCCAGCAGGGTCACCCCCGTGCCATCAGCTCTGGGGGTGCGTGGGGGGGAGGGGGATGTGCAGGGTCCCCCCGACCCAGCCAGCTCTGAGGGTGCATGAGAGCGGGGGGGGTGTGCAGGGTCCTCCCAACCCAGCCAGCTCTGGGGGTGCATGGGGGGTGAGGGGTGTGTGCAGGGTCCCCCCAACCCAGTCAGCTCTCAGAGTGCACGGGAGAGAGGTGTGTGCAGAGTCCTCCCAACCCAGCCAGCTCTGGTGGTGCATGAGAGGAGGGGGGTCTGTGCAAGGTCCCCCCAACCCAGCTAGTTCTGGGGGTGCTTGGGGTGAGGGGTGTGTATGGGATCCCCCCAACCCAGATAGCTCTGGGGTTGCATGGAGGGAGGGGTGTGTGCTGGGTCCCCCCAACCCAGATAGCCCTGGGGGTGCATGGGAGGAGGGGATCTGTGTAGGGTCCCCCCAGTTCCACCAGCTCTGGGGGGCGCACAGTGAGAGGGGGCATCTGTGCAGCTGAAGACCGCAGGGTTCCCCCCACACACACCCATCCCCATATTTTGGGTGGGTTGCAGGTGACAGTTAGTGGGACGGACAGCAGTGAAGATGGACTCCCCCCGAGGACTGTGGGAGGCAAGGAGGCTGCACCCCAATCCTGCACCCCAAGAGGAGGCAGGGCCAAGCCAATGGCCAGAAGCCCAGGACCAGGAGCCCCACATGTTACAAGGTAGGGCTCAGTGTTTGGGGGGGGTGTCTCCCCAGCAGGGGTCACTCTCCTTGAGGTGGAGGGGCTCTGGGGGGACCCCAGGACTGAAAGGGAGGGTTGGTTCCCCTGGGGTCTCCTAAACGACTCGCTCTTCTCCCTCAGATCTCACATGCCCCCAGGTGTCTCTGCCTAGCTCGGAGAGGCGTGAGCCGCAGCGGGGCCCGGCTGACCCGCCCTGGGAGCCTGGCGTCCAGGTGGGTCGTGGGGCCGGCTGGGTTCCTGGGAAGAGGAGACTGGCCTAGATTCTGGTCTCAGTGACCCCAGTGTACGTCTGGGGTGGGGCAGGAGTGAGCAGGCGGGATACCGGGCGAGCTGGGCCCCTGGGTCTGAACTGGGGCGAGATACCAGGCTCGATGGATGTATGGGTCTGTTGCTGTGAATGTTGCTAGGAAGTGAGGCTGCTGGGATATTCCCACAATGCACTGGGGCACGTGGGCCTGGGCAGCCCAGGGGCCGCTGCTGGGATATTCCCACAATGCACCGGTGCAGCATTAGGGTGTCTGCCCAGATATTCCCAGAAGGCAGCTGGGCACTGGCCAGCTCCACCCCTCAGAGAGCAGGGGTGTGGCCGCGGCGCCCAGTCGGGTCCCTTGCGGTTCCAGGCGCCAGTAACGTTCGAAGAGGTGGCCGTGTATTTCACCGAGGACGAGTGGCGTCTCCTGGACGAAGGGCAGAGGCAGCTCTACAGGGATGTCATGCTGGAGAACTACACCAACCTCAGCTTCCTGGGTGAGGGTCCGCTTCTCCGCGGGGACAGGAGCTGGGCAAGACAGTCCCCGGCTCTAACCACTAGACCCCACTCCCACCCAGAGCTGGGGATAGAACTCAGGAGTCCTGGTTCCCAGCCCCCCTTGCTCTGATCACTAGACCCCACTCCCCTCCCAGAGCTGGAGTGAGAACCCAGGAGTTCTGGCTTCCAGACAACCCCCATCACTCTATCGTTTTACTCTATACTAAGTATTTCACCAATGGAATGATCTATCTGTCTCTCTCTCTACCCCCATATCTATCTATCCATCCATCTATCCCATACCTCTCTTTCTCTCTCTCTTTCTCTCTCTAATACCCTAGGCCGATCTCTGTCCATTAACACATCCCCCAGCCGAGCCAACTCGGCCCCCTCCGGGAACTGAATTCCGCTCTCTGCTTTCCTAGTCGCTCCGGTCTGGTCTAGAGTCTCACTTGATCTTATCCCGCCGCTGGCAGGATTCCCGGTCCCCAAACTGGCCGTGATCTCCCGGATGGAGCGTGGGGAAGAGCCGTGCGTCCCGGATCTCCAGGGCTCTGAGGGGAGGGAGATCCCAGGTGAGGAGTGAATGACACCAGCTCGGCGACCGTCCGGGAGTGAAGGGGAAGGTTTGCCCGGTCTCGCTTAGTGTCCCCACCAGCGGGTGCCCGAGCCCCGTGGCAGGATCCCGTCCCTCCCGCAGCCTTTGAGGGCTCAGCTGGGTCATTGGGGCAGAACCAGCCCCTCTGTTCCCCTTGGGGGGAGGTTCGGGGGCTCGGTTCCTGCCCACTGGGTTTTCTATTTAGTCACCAACCCCTTTGCTGCCCGCTCTGTCCGCGGCCCAGGGAACGAGCCCTGGCTGGAGTCTCTCTCTCTCCCCCCAGCCGGTGCCAGGACGGCGAGTGAGAATCCCCACCAGAGAGTGGATCTGCGCGGGACATTCCCGTGGAGCTCGCAAGAGGACGTATCCCAGAATCCTCTAGGAGCTGATCTGTGCGGGCAGTTTTCAGGGCGATCCAAAGAGGACATATCCCAGCGTCCCTTGAGAGGAGATCCATGCAGGCTGTCCTCCACCCAGCAACCCAGAAGGGCCCGTCCAGGGGCGGGAGCGGGGGGCCGCCTGGGCCCGCCCAAGGGCCCCCGGCGCGGGGAGCGGCCCACCATCTGCGGCGAGTGCGGGAAGGGCTTCCTGCAGAACTCGGACCTGGTGAAGCACCTCCGCACCCACACGGGCGAGAGGCCCTACCCCTGCCCCCAGTGCGGGAAAAGCTTCACCCAGAGCTCGGCCCTGACCCAGCACCTCCGCACCCACACGGGCGAGCGCCCCTACCCCTGCCCCCAGTGCGGGAAGCGCTTCACCGAGAGCTCCACCCTGGCCCAGCACCGGCGCGTCCACACCGGCGAACGGCCCTTCCGCTGTCACCAATGCGGCAAGGCCTTCAGCCTCAGCTCCACCCTGAAGAAGCACCAGCGCACCCACACCGGCGAGCGGCCCTACGTGTGCGAGGCGTGCGGGAAGAGCTTCGCCGAGAGCTCCCACCTGGCCAACCACCAGCGCGTCCACACCGGGGAGCGGCCCTACCGGTGCAAGGAGTGCGGCCGGGGCTTCAACCACACCTCCACCCTCTTCAGGCACCAGCGCGTCCACACCGGCGAGCGGCCCTACCCCTGCGGGGACTGCGGCAAGGCCTTCAGCTGGACCACGGCCCTCAAGCAGCACCAGCGGGTCCACACGGGCGCCAAGCCGTACCGGTGCAGGGAGTGCGGCAAGGCCTTCAGCTGGAGCTCCACCCTCAACCAGCACCGGCAGGTCCACTCCGGGGAGAAGCCCCACGTCTGCCCCGAGTGCGGCCGCGCCTTCGCCCGCAGCTCCCACCTGGCGCAGCACCGGCTGGTGCACTCTGGGGAGAAGCCGTTCCAATGCGGGCAGTGCCCGCGGGGCTTCATCCAGAATGCCCACCTGGTGTCCCACCGCCGGCTGCACGCCGCCCCCGCCGGGTCCCCCCAGGGCCAGGAGGAGGGCCCCGGCGACCGGGGCCGGGTTCAGCTCCCCCCGTGAGCCCGCTGCTCCCCGCTCGCCCGCCCTGGCTCGGGGGTACCTGCGCTGCACACCCTGGCATAAGTTAGAACAGCTTCAGAGCTGCTGCTGGCCACGCCCCCTCCTTCTCAGGCCCCACCCCCTCAGATGCCCCTCCTTCTCAGGCCCCACCCCCTCAGATGCCCCACCCACCTTGGCCCTGCCCTAAAACATGCCACTGCTACCCAGGCTTTGCCCCCTAAAATGCTCTGAAGTGCACCCCCTGCCTAGGCCCTAAAACACCCTCGCCAGGCCCTGCCCTTGACATGCCACTCCTACCCAGGCTTTGCCCCCTAAAATGCTCTGAAATGCACCCCCTGCCTAGGCCCCACCCCCTGTGATGCCCCCTCCCTCTCAGGCCCCACCCCTGATGCCACCTCCCTCCCAGGTCCCACACCTGACATCCTCCTCCTAGACTCTGGTCCCAACAGGCCCCCTGCTCTGTCCCTTCCCTCCCAGACTCTGCCCCAATAGCCCCTCTTTACCAGTCCCCGCCCACTGACACACCCACCGTTCTCCCCCTCCCTCTTAGTCCTGCCTCCTGACAGGCCCCTCCCCCCATTTCCCCCTAACCACGCCCACTGCTCCGCCCCATACCTCCCTAGCCCCAGCCCTACGCTATCCCTTCCCTCCCAGGCTCCACCTCCTGGTGTTGCTCTTCCCCTCCCACCCAGGCCCTGTCCCGGACCCTGGAAAACGTTACAGAGACCGCTTGATTCTGATTTAAGGATGGGATCTTAAGTCCCAGCTAATTAGCACCTTCTCCAACGCTGAAGCACTGACATGGGGAACACAGACTTGATAAAGGGCTTGTCTGGCAAAGATCTAACTGGATCCGATGGCTGGAAGTTGAAGCTTGACAAATTCAGACTGGAAATAAGGTGTAAATGTTGAAGGGGGAGAGGAATTACTTACCGGGGGTCGTGGTGGATTCTCCATCGCTGGCCATGTTTAAATCATAGTTGGGTGTTTTTCTAAAAGCTCTGCCCTAGGAGTTATTTGGGGGATGTTCTCTGGCCTGTGTTACAGAGGAGGCGAGGCTAAATGATCCCAGCGGTCCCTTCATGGCCTTTGTGAATCGATGGACCCCAGTTAAGATAAATCAATTGTATGTTAGCATGTATTAAACCGATCGCGTTAAAGTCTATGTTGTTTCTCAGCTTGTTTAAAATCAAGCTAAATGTGTTATTCTAGAGTCTAGACACAGTCTAGACACTAGTCTACATTTGGGGGAAGGATGGATTTTTTTTCGTTTCCATGGCAATTCCGAACAATTTTAAAAAATCCTTTTCCAGTGACCACAAAATTAATTTTTTCCCCAAATTTCCAGTGAATCAAAATGCCGGAAAAGAAAATCTTTTTGGATCAAACAACATGTTTTGTTTGACCCAAAATGAAAAATTTGGGGCATTATGTAATGTGTTTTTTACTCTAAAAAAAAAAAAAAAGGCAAGAAAATTTAGAATTGAAAAGACATTTTGAATTAAAAAATCTAAACATTTTGGGGTTTTGGGAATTTTTTTTTAGGGTTCCCCCTTCCCCCCGAAAGAAGCTGGTGAAACGGATGCAAATCTTCAGTTTTCACCAAAAAAGTTTCAGTCAAAACTTTTCACAAAACTCTAGATACAGATTTCAATTCCAGTGTAGCATCTTAGATAGAGTTCATTAGATCAGTGGTTTTTAAATTGCGGGTCATGACCCAGTACTGAGTCGCGGAACATAAGGCACTGGGTTGCAGCAGCTCTGGTCAGCACTGCCGACCATTAAAAGTCGATTAAAAGTCCCGTTGGCGATGCTGCCCGGCTAAGGCAGGCTAGTCCCTACCTGTTCTGACACTGCGCTGCATCCCAGAAGTGGCCAGCAGCAGGTCCGCCTCCTAGGTGGGGGGGCCACAGAGCTCCGTGCGCTGCCCACGCCCCAAGCACCAGCTCTGCACTCCCATTGGCCAGGAACTAGCCAATGGGAGCGGGAGGGGGCAGTGCTTGCCGGCGAGAGCCGCTTGCATGTGTCTGCCTAGGGAAAAGATGAGGAAAAATACAAAAATACCCCAACATTTAAAAAAATTGCTCATAAATAATCCAAAAAGTTTTTGCTTCGGAAAGGAAAATGATGAAGTTTTGGAGTAAAAAAAAAAAAGGAATATTCCCCTCAAATCAAATTTTTTTCCTGCCAAAAGTTTAGTAAAATATTTTAAAGACACAAAACATTATGCCTTGTTGGAATTAGAAGAACTTTGAAATTCTGGAATGAGATAACGAGGAAAACCCCAAATTATTAAAAACAATCAAACAAAGTGAAAAGGTTTGGGAAAAATTTTAAAGAAAATGAAATGGTTTTGGAAGGAGAACAATGTTGAATTTTTGAATGAAATGAAAATCTGGGGAGGGGGAAAGATTCCGGGACGTCATTCATTTGTTGCAATCGGTGGCAAAAAATCCAGAAATAGAAAAACACGCAAATTGCATTTTTTCTAACAACAAAACTAGTTTTGCAATACCGTTAAAAGAGAAAGAGAGAGGAATTGTTGGTTTGAGAATGAAAATAGTGTTGAAATTTGGGGGGGGGCGGAATTGAGGAAAAACTCCCCCAAATCAGAACTTCCTGCCCCCCAATTTACAAAACATTCTTTTGAATGAAAACGACGTTGACGTTTTACAATAAAAAACGAGGACAGACGCCCCAAATCGGAACTTCCTGCCCCCCAATTCACAAAACATTCTTTTGAATGAAAACGACATTGACGTTTTACCATAAAAAACGAGGACAGACGCCCCAAATCGGATGTGCCCCAACCTTTTGCCAGACATTGTTTGCAAACCGGTCAGTTTGGGATTGAAAGCAACGTTCCTCGACTTGTGACAGAGCCAAACAAAGTTGTCCGCCATCTCGGGCAGTCCCATCGACTTGGAGAATGAACTTCTCCAGCCGAAACTGAAGACCCGGCGTCTGTAAGAGGTGTTGTAACAGCCTCATTTGTGGCGTGAGTATGGGCTACGTATGGACCCGTGGGTTACAGCTGAATTGGAGGCAAATGGCTACCTTTGATACCCACAACACCTGGTGGAAGTACCCCCAGGAGATGGACTGTGGACATCTTATCATTGGCTCAGATCCTTTTTGGGAAGAGACTTTTTTTGGTTCTGTGTTTGTACAGCGCCTGGCACATTGGGGTCCTGAGGCATACCTGGGCATTAGGACACAGATAATCAATTACACTAATTCCACCAAGGATTGGGATGGGGAAATCCCCAGACAGGAAAGGACCTAGTTCATCAAAACCTCCTTTGGGGATCTGGGGGAATTTCTTGGGGCTTTTGATTGTTGATGGGGATGGTGGAGATGGGCAATCCAAATTCCCTTCCAGTGGGGCTGGGCCTGGCTCCGTCACCACCAGCGGCTCTGTGGCCAATGCACACCAGCTAAGAGGCAGGGTGGCCAAGTGGCTAGAGCGCTGGGCCTCAGGATGCCTCAGTTCTGTTCCTGCCCCTCTCCGGGCCTCAGTATCTCCGTTGGTAAAAATGGGACTACTTTTGTAGACTGCGTTAAGCTCTACCGATGGAAAGTGCTAGCTAAAGGTGAAGTATCATTATAATGCGGCGTGGGAGCTGGAGGAGAAGGGGAAAGGTTCTGAGGGATGTTGAGGCATTGGAGGGAGGATTTTTCCCCTCTGTGTGTCTGTCTGAGAGAGACATAAATGGGTCAGATCCCCAGCTGGAGTCAATTGGATGTATCTCCATCAGGGTCAATGGGGCCAGATCCTCAGCTGGTGTCACTCGGCCATAGCTCCATTGGGGTCAATGGACCAGATGTCCAGCTGGTGTCAATTGGACATTGCTCCATCAGGGTCAACGGGGCCAGATCCTCAGCTGGTGTCACTCGGCTGTAGCTTCAATGGACCAGATCTCCAGCTGGTGTCAGTTAGACATGGCTTCATCGGAGTCAATGGGGCCAGATCCCCATCTGGTGTCAATTAGACATGGTTTCATCGGAGTCAATGGGGCCAGATCCCCTGCTGGTGGGAATGAAGTAAACAGATCTATGCCTGTTGACGCCAGCTGGAGATCTAGATCACTGGAGTCAGATTCTGTGGAGATGGGACCAAAGGGAGAGGAATTTACTGTAGAGTTATGAATTATCCTGACCAAGGAACTTCTGAAATCAGGCCAGGCTGGATTCTATGTTTCACCACCCCTTTGCCACCACTCCAGTAGGCTCCCTACGCTGGTCTCTGGTTACCCTTTCCAGTTCCAACTGAGAAGCAACCCAGTACCAAAAATCGTCGAGCTGCCAGGTACGTCTGTTGGCATCTCTGTCTACACAATAAATCTCTTTCCCTAGTCGCCTGTTGTCTGTCTTGAGTTGCCAGTTCCGCGCTGAACTTGGCCGAATCTGAAAGGAAATGCCTTGGGACCATCAAAAGGCACCTCCTTGACTCCAGGGCTCTTCCACCGCCCAGGCCCCCGATGGGAAGAATGGAAGCGTGGGAGCTTTACAAATACAGGCCGCCAGACTCTTTCATCCCAGAAAGGGTGAGGCCAGTTCAATGGTGGGGTGGCTACCAGCCTCCTCTCTAGTAACAGCCTCAGAGGTGTTGTCTGCAGAGGCACCGTGGGAGCACGGAGCTCCGTGGCCCCACCACCTAGGAGGCGGACCTGCTGCTAACCACTTCTGGGATGCAGCGCAGTGTCAGAACAGGTAGGGACTAGCCTGCCTTAGCCGGGCAGCATCGCCAACGGGACTTTTAATCGACTTTTAATGGTCAGCAGTGCTGACCAGAGCTGCTGCAACCCAGTGCCTTACGTTCCGCGACTCAGTACTGGGTCATGACCCGCAATTTAAAAAACACTGATCTAATGAACTCTATCTAAGATGCTACACTGGAATTGAAATCTGAATCTAGAGTTTTGTGAAAAGTTTTGACTGAAACTTTTTTGGTGAAAACTGAAGATTTGCATCCGTTTCACCAACTTCTTTTGGGGGGAGGGGGGAACCCTAAAAAAAATTCCCAAAACCCCAAAATGTTTAGATTTTTTAATTCAAAATGTCTTTTCAATTCTAAATTTTCTTGCCTTTTTTTTTTTTTGAGTAAAAAACACATTAAATAATGCCCCAAATTTTTCATTTTGGGTCAAACAAAACATGTTGTTTGATCCAAAAAGATTTTCTTTTCCGGCATTTTGATTTGGGCTGGGAGCCAGGACTCCTGGGTTCTATCCCTCGCTGTGGGAAAGGAGCGGGGTCTAGCGGGTTTGAGAAGTTTGGGCTGGGAGCCAGGACTCCTGGGTTTTATCCCTCGCTGTGGGAAAGGAGCGGGGTCTAGCGGGTTTGAGAAGTTTGGGCTGGGAGCCAGGACTCCTGGGTTCTATCCCTCGCTGTGGGAAAGGAGCGGGGTCTAGCGGGTTCGAGAAGTTTGGGTTGGGAGCCAGGACTCCTGGGTTCTATCCCTCGCTGTGGGAAAGGAGCGGGGTCTAGCGGGTTCGAGAAGTTTGGGCTGGGAGCCAGGACTCCTGGGTTCTATCCCTCGCTGTGGGAAAGGAGCAGGGTCTAGTGGGTTCGAGAAGTTTGGGCTGGGAGCCAGGACTCCTGAGTTCTATCCCTCGCTGTGGGAAAGGAGCGGGGTCTAGTGGGTTCGAGAAGTTTGGGCTGGGAGCCAGGACTCCTGGGTTCTATCCCTCGCTGTGGGAAAGGAGCGGGGTCTAGTGGGTTCGAGAAGTTTGGGCTGGGAGCCAGGACTCCTGGGTTCTATCCCTCGCTGTGGGAAAGGAGTGGGGTCTAGTGGGTTCGAGAAGTTTGGGCTGGGAGCCAGGACTCCTGGGTTCTATCCCTCGCTGTGGGAGCGGAGCGGGGTCTAGTGGGTTTGAGAAGTTTGGGCTGGGAGCCAAGACTCCTGGGTTTTATCCCTCACTGTGGGAAAGGAGTGGGGTCTAGCGTGTTCGAGAAGTTTGGGCTGGGAGCCAGGACTCCTGGGTTCTATCCCTCCCTGTGGGAAAGGAGCGGGGTCTAGTGGGTTCGAGAAGTTTGGGCTGGGAGCCAGGACTCCTGGGTTCTATCCCTCGCTGTGGGAAAGGAGCGGGGTCTAGCGGGTTCGAGAAGTTTGGGCTGGGAGCCAGGACTCCTGGGTTCTATCCCTCGCTGTGGGAAAGGAGCGGGGTCGAGTGGGTTAGAGAAGTGGGGGCTGGGACTAACTCCTGGGTTCTAGCCCCAGCTCTCCCAGAGACACCCTGTGAGACTTCTGGTAAGTCATTGCTTTCCTTTGGGCCTCAGTTTACCCAGTTGCAAAACGGGGCCGGTCTCTCCCTCTCTGTGTGTTTGTGCAGCGCCTGGCACAAAGGGGCCATGAGCAGAGCACTCTGTGGGTGCTCTGGGGCTGGAGCGCCCATGGGGAAAAATCCACAGCCAAGCTCCCCGCTGTTTGGGGGCGTGCCACGAGGAAGCGGGAGGGGCGGGAATGTGGCGCGCTTAGGGGAGGAGGCGGGGAAGAGGCCGGGCTGGGTGGGGATTTGGGGAAGGACTCGGAATAGGGGCAGGGGCTTTGGGGAAGGGGTGGGAGGGGGTGGGGCAAAGGCGGGTCCGGGGGGCACAAGGGGGTCGAGCACCCACCAGCGGGAGCAGAAGTTGGCGCCTATGGCCCGGATCACGGGTGGGGTCTGTGCAGCATCTGGCACAATGGGGCCCCCGCTAGCCGTCAGCACCGGGCACAACCAGGAGGACCCTGCTCTCAGCTGAGTTCTGTGCAGCACCTGACACGGCGGGGGCCCAATCTCAGCTGGGGTCTCTAGCTAGGACAGTAATACACCTAGTTAAAAAAAAAAAAATTCCGTCTCCACTGCGCCGAGACCTTGGGGACTATTTCCGCCACATCACTTCGCTCATGACCCTGCTCAGAGGCATATCTGGGGGCAGAGGACTGGCTGGCTCAGAGGGGTGGGGAATGGGACAAAGGGCCTTTCCCCTCCAGGGGGCGGGGGGTCCGATCCTGCCCCCGGGCTGGGGACTGGCTGGCTCAGCGTGGGCAGGGAATGGGACCCAGGGCCTCTTATCGCCCGGCGTATCCCACTGCTGCCACCACGTGGCGAGCCGCAGCCCACAGCTCGCCCCCTGCTGCAGCGAACGCGTTCCAACGAGACGGCTCCACCTCCTGGGCTTCTCAGCCAGGAAGGAAGAGGGGACAGGCGAGCAAAGGGACCTTCCTGTTCCCAGCTCCTCGAGCCCGCCCCCCACCCCAGCCCCTGGGCTCGGCGGCGGGCTCCCTGGGCCCCGGGGGCCGGATCGGGCTCCCCTGGGGTGGGGAAAATCGTTCCCCTCTCCCCGCTCCGGTGAGTCGGGGCCTCCTGGGAACCAGGGAGGGAACTGAGCCCAGCAGGGTCCCCCCTCCCCCGCCGCCCAGCCCGCTCCGGGGGCGCACGGGGAAGCGGGTGGTGCAGGGTCCCGTCCCCCCAGCTCTGGGGGTGCACGGGGAGCGGGGGGGGACCGTGCATCTGAGCCCACTGGCTGCAACGTGGGATTTTCCTGGGCGTGAACTGGTGGGGATGCACTAGGATAGGGGTTCCCACACCTCTGGTTTTGGTGGCCGGCGAGGACAATTTGTCCTAAAATACTGAATTCGCTTTCGGAGAATCAAATACATCTGCCCGTAGCCACGTCCAGACCATTACAATTGAGCTAGGTACGGGTGGGGTGGTTTTTTTTTTTTTTTTTTCAGACTCAATAATAAAAATAACGTCCAGTTGTCTCTCTTCTTTACTGGATCTAAGCCAGCGGTTCTCAAACTTTTGTCCTGCGGACCCCTTTCACACAGCAAGCCTCTGAGTGCGACCCCCCCTTATACATTAAAAACACTTTTTTATATATTTAACGCCATTTTAAAGGCTGGAGGCGAAGCGGGGTTTGGGGTGGAGGCTGACAGCTCGCGACCCCCCCTGTAATAACCTTGCGACCCCCTGAGGGGTCCCGGCCCCCAGTTTGAGAACCCCTGATCTAAACAGAATAGAAACGCAAATCGGGTGCTTTGCATGTCGTCTTTTGGTTGTTGTTTCTTTTGCTTTTTGGATTGGGTTTTTTTTTTTTAGTTTTTTTTTTAGATTTGTTAGCTAGTAAGTCTGGGGCTGTGAATCGTGATAGCTGTGTTTCTTAATATCACTTTGCACAGCACTGGACTTGCGAGCTGGGAGGCAGTGAAAAGGGATATTAACAAAACGTACAAATAATCACCTTTCACAGCAGACTTTCTCAGCCCCCGCAAGCCGGGGGACAAATCACACCTTGGAAGGGAGGCCGGGGTGATGGGGTGGATGGGAGAGGGGCCGGGGTGGGCAGCGGGGACCGGGGGTGATGGGGTGGATGGGCGAGGGGCTGGGGTGGGCAGCGGGGACCGGAGGTGATGGGGTGGATGGACGAGGGGCTGGGGTGGACAGCGGGGACCGGGGGTGATGGGGTGGATGGGCGAGGGGCCGGGGTGGGCAGCGGGGACCGGGGGTGATGGGGTGGATGGGTGAGGGGCCGGGGTGGGCAGCGGGGACCGGGGGTGATGGGGTGGATGGGCGAGGGGCTGGGGTGGGCAGTGGGTGATGGGGTGGATGGGCGAGGGGCTGGGGTGGGCAGTGGGGACCAGGGCTGGTGAGCCCGAAGCCCCAGACTGAAGCTGGAAGCCTGAACCCCACTGCCCCAGGAAGCTGGGGAACTCACTCCAGCCGTCTGCTCCTCCGGCATTTGTGGCTCCAGAAGAGAGGGCCCCAATCCATACTGGAGGCCCCGGGGAGGGGCTGCTGCTGTCCTCCCCCGGCCCCCCAATCACCACCCTGGAGGCTGTGGCTGCAAGAAAAGCTCCTGGTGGCCGCAGGCGGCTGCATTTGAGAAACGCTGCACTCGGACGCCCTTCGGTGTAAATGACTATAGGGGAGATTGCACTGTGGGGCAGAGCGAGGGTGGAGGTGGAGCCCACGGCTGGAGTAGCAGGGGGCTTGCCCCTGGGCTCTGCCTCCTGCCCCAGAAACACTCAGTCCCGCAGCGCCTGTTTGATTGAGCCCTCTTCGCTCTGGCTCTGTGCTCACGGGTGCTTTTGGGTTGTCCTCAGGTCGGCGTTGGCCTATGGACGACCCCCGGAGCCATGGAGCCCTCCCTGCAGCGCTGGGAGGCGGTGAGCATCAAGGTGGAGGGAGAAGAGCCCAGTGCCACCGGGGAAGCCCAGCAGGGGGTGCTGGCTCTGAGTCCCTACCCCGAGGCTGCATGCCCACTGGGCTGGGCTCTGAAAGAGGAGCCGGAGTTCCAGCAGGGAATGGGTAAGAAACTGGGGGTGTGGTGGTGGGGGTCTCCCCAGCAGGGGGCGGTCTTCTATAGGTGGAGATCTGTAGAGCAGACCCCCCCAGTGCTCAGATTGGATTTTGGGGCAGGACTGGTCAGGGACAGGGATTTTGGGTACCCCCTTTTCTTCTCTGCCCCAGTTCAGAAAGCCCATCTGGGTTCCTTCTCTCTGTTCCAGCAGGTGATGGTGAAAGCCTGGGATGGGATCCGGTGCAGAAAGATCTGGAGAAGGCTGAACTGCACCAGCTCTTATCGATAGCGGACGTCCCCCAAGTAGAGCTGGGTGAGGTGCTGTCTGGAGGACCTGAAGAAACCGTTCCCCAAGCGGATCTGCTTCGGACGGTCTCTGGAGGGTCTGAAAGAGACGTTCCCCAACTGGATCTGCGTGAGATGTTCTCTGGAGGATCTGAAGGAGATGTTCCCCATATCAACCTGTGTGGGATACCCTCAAGAGGCTCTGTAGGGGAGGTTCCCCGGGTGGATCTGCATGGGAGGCCCTCAGGAGGAGCCGAAGAGGATGTTCCCCAAGCGGATCTGCGGGGGACGTTCTCTGGAGGGTGGGAAGGGGTGGGCATGCAGCAGCGGGGGGACCCTCCAGGGAGGAGCCAGGAGAAGCCAGCCCAGCAGGGCAGCCTCCCTGCCCCGGCCCCGGAGAAACCTTACAAGTGCTCGGTGTGCGATAAAAGCTTCGGGCAGAGCTCCCACCTCATCCAGCACCAGGTGTCGCACACGGGCGAAAAGCCTTACAAATGCCCCGAGTGCGGCAAAGGCTTCACCTGGAGCTCAGCGCTGGCCCAGCACCGACGCATCCACCGCGGCGAGAGACCTTTCGTCTGCCCGGACTGCGGCAAGAGCTTCAGCCAGAGCTCCAACCTGAGCACCCACCAGCGCACCCACACGGGCGAGAAGCCGTTCGTCTGCCCGGACTGCGGGCGCGGCTTCAGCCAGAGCTCCAACCTGGCGGCCCACCGGCGCACCCACACCGGCGAGCGCCACTACCGCTGCTATGACTGCGGGCGGGGCTTCTTGGAGCGGGCGGCGCTGGCCGAGCACCAGCAGGGCCATGCCGGGCATCGGCCCTACACCTGCGGGCAGTGCGGCAAAGCCTTCGGGCAGAGCACCAAGCTGGCCCAGCACCAGCGCATCCACACCGGCGAGCGGCCCTTCCGGTGCGAGGAGTGCGGCAAAGGCTTCAACGACGGCTCCTACCTGGTCAAGCACCGGCGGGTCCACACCGGCGAAAAGCGTTACCGCTGCCCAGTGTGTGGCAAAACCTTCAGCCAGACCTCCAACCTCATCACCCACCAGACCACCCATACCGGAGAAAAGCCTTTCCGGTGTGGGGACTGCGGGCGTAGCTTCATCCGCCAGGCTCACCTGGCTGCCCACCGGCGCACTCACACCGGCGAGCGGCCGTACCAGTGTGCCCAGTGCGGGAGGTGCTTCTCCCAGCGCTCCACCTATGCCCAGCACCGGCGCACCCACACCGGCGAGCGGCCTTACCGCTGCCCCGACTGCGGCCGGGGATTCAGCCAGAACTCCAACCTGGCGGCTCACCGGCGCATCCACACCGGTGAACGGCCCTACCAGTGTGGCCAGTGCGGCCGGTGTTTCGTCCAGAGCTCTGCCTTCACCCAGCACCAGAAGACCCACAAGAAGAGACGGGACTAGGGAGGGATGCGGGGGACTGGCCTGCAGGAAGTCGCTCCCTCTGGGGCAGCTCTGGCTCATAGGAAGCTGTGCCGCTAGGCAGGTCTTGCTCACAGGAAGTCGCCCCACTAGGACATGGTCTGGCTTATAGGAAGTCGATCCATCTAGCGAGCCTCACTCCCAGGAAGTTGTCCCATTGGGTAGGGCATCACTGACAGGAAGTCACCCCCTCTAGCATGGGTCTTGCCCACAGGAAGTTGCACCCCTGAGGTGGGATCACTTTCAGGAAGTCACCCCCGCATCCAGGTCTCTCTGACAAGAAGTTGCCCCCCTGTAGGGTGGGTCTTGCTCACAGGAAATCACACACCCCCTTTGTATCTTGCTCACAGGAAGTCACCCCCTGTAGGCTTAGCCTGTGGCTAACTTGCCATGTGGTCGGATGAGATCCACGAAAATGCCTCGTTATATTAACGAGGTCTCGGGTCTAATGAACCTCTTTCGTGGGGAATGCGGACTTCTAGAGAATTTCTTCTTGAACAGTATAGATGGAGATTGTGCGTGTTCTTGTTCCCCTCTCATGGCTGGTCCAAAAATAGGATACAAGCCTATTACAAAAAGAAAAGGAGTACTTGTGGCACCTTAGAGACTAACATAAGACTAACTAGAGACTAAGCATAAGCTTTCATGAGCTACAGCTCACTTCATCCGATGCATCCGATGAAGTGAGCTGTAGCTCATGAAAGCTTATGCTCAAATAAATTGGTTAGTCTCTAAGGTGCCACAAGTCCTCCTTTTCTTTTTGCGAATACAGACTAACACGGCTGTTACTCTGAAGCCTATTACAGCTGCTGGTGGATGGAGTTAACTTGTTCAGTTTGTGAAGTAAAGGATCGTGCTTTTATCACTGGAAGACCCAATGTTCGAACCCCGCTGATGACCCAAAATGGTCATTCTATAGTTGTGTCATATTAATGTGCTCAATGGCTGTGAGAGGGTCCTTCCTCGGCTTCAGAGGAAAGAGATCCCTTTGAACAGACAAAGATGCCATTGGTGGGTTCTTCCATAGGTCACACCGCAACTCCATGGTGAGTCGTCTTCAGGTCTTGTCTAGCCACTCTTCTCCTCTTTGACTCTATGGTTGGCTGGAGGACTGGACCTTATAGCCTCGCCAATACTATAAGAAATAGTTGGTTTCTGGATACTGTAAAGAGAAACTTAACTAAGAGGAGAAATTAGGGTCGTGGTTGATATTACAAAGGGCTAACGAATGACCTGTGCACGTTATAAGGATGTTACTGACATGAGCACCACATGTTGTAGATGGTTATAAGCCACGGTTATTGGCCTGTCAGGACTGTGTAACAATCAATGAGCTACTGATCTAAACAGAGATCCGATCGTTTATTAATAAATGGAACCTTTATTATAAAGGGAAAACCGAGTGGTTTTTAGTTCGACTCCTTAAAACTGGTCAATTTTGACGTGCAAAGCCCTATATGAGGCAAAGGCCTGACATATTGATGGGAGAAAAAAATTTGGTGAAAATGTAGGAATTGGAGCTAGTTGAAATATGGGGTTTTAGGGAGAGGAAAATGTTTGCTTTCTCCAGTGGAATATGAATACTGAATAACTTCAGCTGGAGACGGAAATATTTCAATTTGGAAAGGCTGCTGCAGTGTCTCGTGGGAGATCTCGCCCTGCTTTCCATAGGGGGTGGGGTCCTATGCCCTGTCCCATGCTCCAGGGCAGCCCAGTAGCGTCTGCTATTGGGTGGGGCCTCTGCTATGGGACAGTGGCCCCATAACTGGCCCCTAAGGCCTTGTCTAGATTGAGGTGTGTAGGGGCTTTCTGGCATGTCTTATAAACCCCACTTAGTGCTGAGTGTGGATGGGGTCCGATCCTGTCAAACACGTCAGGGGCGTGGCCTAACCCTAGGGGGAGGGGCCTGCCCAACTGCCATAACAGACCCTTTGGAAGGTTCCATTCTCACTGAGAAGGGTATCTGGCCAACTGCCACTTTTGGAAGGTTCCATTGTCAGTGGGAAGGGGAACGGGGCAACTGCCCTAACTGACACTTTGGAATGTTCCATTTTCACAGGGGTGGGGGAAGATAGTCGTGTGCTGATGCAAATCCCCACTACTGGCACTTTGATTTAAAAAAATCCCCCTTTTACTAAAAAGAACAAAAACATTAAAAGGGTCTAATTTTTCAGATATGGAGAAATGAAAATGAAACGGGTCAAATTTGAACCTTTGGCATTTTACCCCTGCTCCCCCTCATCAGTGAAATGGTTCATCCCATCAGCTGGGAGACTCTCTGACCCCTGGAAGGAACCATTACACTTTCGGGAGGGGGGAGGTTAAAATTTCTGGGGAAGCCAGATTGGATTTTTTTTTTCCTATCAGGAAATTAAAAATAAAAATCCTTCCCATTACAGGCCCCTTTTTAATCTGGGAAGGGAGTTTAATCCCTTGAGATTGGGGATAATTTCCCACCCCCGCCCACGAGAATGGTACCTCCCAAGCCCAGAGTGACAGGAATGGGGTCAATACAGTTCTAAGAGGGGTGGAGTGTGATTCTGGATTCACACTGGGGTCACTGAAATCAGAATCCAACCTTCGCTCCATTGGTGTCAATGGAGTCACTCCAGATTCACACCGGGGTCACTGAGATCAGAATCCAGCCCTTATTCTCTTGCGCCAGTGGAGTCGCTCTGGATTCACACCAGAGTCACTGAGATCAGAGTCCAGCCTTCACTCCACTGGCGTCAGTGGGATCACTTCGGATTCAGACCGGGGTCACCGAGATCAGCATCCAATCCTCACTCCACTGATGTATATTTTCCTTAAAGCCCGCAGCTCCTGGAGTCACGTGAAATCAGCTTCCATTTGGAAAATAAATGTTTAGGTCTCATGGATGCGGGGAAAAGGTTCAAAACATGACCCAAGTGTGACCCTAAATGTAGCCAAATGAAAAGCACCCTCCTGATTTTTAAGCCAATCTTGTGATTTTGTGAGGCCCCACTTCTGAGTTTTGAAGCAATAGCAACACCATTGTCTCTTGCGATGAAATGTCGTTTTTTTTTTGGGGGGGGAATAGCATTTCAATATGAAACACCTTGGTTTCCCCTTTCCAAAGGATGTTTTCTGTTTATGACATTTACAAATTATAACGCAATCTCATAAAAATGGCAACACTGGAATGCAACACTTAGATTGCAGAGCAAGGGAACCTTTTCAATTGACCCGGAGGGATTTTATTTTCCCAAGATGGATGGATAGATAGTTAGAGGGTGTGGGTGGGGTTAAGTAGACAGACTGACACATAGATGGGGGCTACATATGTGGATGTAGGGATAGATACAGTGTAGTGTATGGGGATAGATAGATTAGATTAGATGGGGTGTATGCGGTCAGGTAGATAGAGGGGGTGTATGGGGATAGATAGCTCACGGGGGCGTATGCAGATAGATAAATTAGATGAGAGCAGTGTATGGAGATAGATTAGATTAGATTAGATGTGTATGGGGTAGATAGAAGGTTGTATATATGAGGTGGGATGGATAGATAAAGAACAGTGCATAAAGGGATGGATGTATAGATAAGAGATGCATATGGGGATAGACAGACAGGGTGTGTGTATGGGGATGGAGAAATAGATATATAAATAGACAGTGTGTGTGGGGATGGATAGATAGAGGGGTGTGTATATGAGGAAGGATAGCTGGACATATAAGGGTGTGTAAAGGGATGGATGGCGAGACAAGGGGGGCATATTGGGATAGATGGGGGTGCACATGGGGATGGAGAGAGAGATCTATAGACGGGGAGTGTGGGGATGGACAGACATACAGGGGTGCGTATGGGGATCTGGGGATGGATGGATGGATAGACAGGCGTATCCACGGGGTGCAGGGGGATGGATGGACAGATGGGGGTACACATGGAGATGGGTAGACACAGGGCTGAATCTGTAATGAAAACGGTGCTGGGGCAAAAGCAATTTTTTTACATTCATAACTGATGCAGCGAGCCCAGGGGCGCCGGGCTCGGACCTGCCGGGCCCAGGGGCGCCGGGCTCGGACCTGCCGGGCCCAGGGGCGCCGGGGCTCTGACCTGCCGGGCCCAGGGGGGCCGGGGCTCGGACCTGCCGGGCCCAGGGGCGCCGGGCTCGGACCTGCCGGGCTCAGGGGCGCCGGGCTCGGACCTGCCGGGCCCAGGGGCGCCGGGCTCTGACCTGCCGGGCCCAGGGGCGCCGGGCTCGGACCTGCCGGGCCCAGGGCCGCCGGGCCCAGGGGCGCCGGGCTCGGACCTGCCGGGCCCAGGGGCGCCGGGCTCGGACCTGGCACAGAGGAAGCCCCGGCCGGCTGGTTCGCTGGCTCGCTCGGTGCCTCCTTGGCAGCCACACGGGCGAGCCTGGCGCCTCTGGCCGGCGGCGGGGGGGGGGCGGCTCTGGGGCGGGCGGCGGCGGCGGCGGCGGGGGGGCGGCTCTGGGGCGGGCGGCTCTGGGGCCGGCGGCGGCGGGGGGGGCGGCTCTGGGGCCGGCGGCGGGGGCGGCTCTGGGGCCGGCGGCGGCGGCGGCGGGGGGCGGGCGGCTCTGGGGCCGGCGGCGGCGGCGGCGGGGGGCGGCTCTGGGGCCGGCGGCGGCGGGGGGCGGCTCTGGGGCGGGCGGAAGGGCGGGCGGGCGCCGCGCAGGGCCGGGAGCCCCGGGCCGGGGGGACGCGAAGGGCGAAGGCGACTTCCTGTTCCCGGCCTGCTCGGCGGCGCGTCGCCCGGCCGCGGGGCGGGGGCAGGGGGGGGCCCAGTCCCCGGCGCCGAGATCCCCCCCGGCGTCGGCGCGGGGGGGGGGGATTGCACAGGGAGCCGGGGTGAGTCGGGGGCGGCCGGGGGCGGGGGCCCGAGGGGAGGGCAGAGAGGCAGGAAACGGCAGCTGTGGGAAGTGGCCGAAGGGGGATCAGCTGGGGGGGGGGGTGCAGCCGGCTCTGGGGGTGCATGGGGCGGGGGGGGGGGGTTAGCTAGGGTGGCCGCCTGGCCAGGGTTTTCCAGGATGGTCCCTTTGTTGAGGTGGCCGGACCGGGAAATCTGTACTGCGAGGGGGGGGCTCTGTGCAGCTGAGCCCGGCAGGGCCCCCCCTCCCCGCCCAGCCAGCTCTGGGGGTGCACGGGGGGGGTCTGTGCCGCTGCCCTCCCCAGCCAGCTCTGGGGGTGCACGGGGGGCTCTGTACAGCTGGCCCCCCCAGCCAGTCTGCGGGTGCACGGGGGGGTCTGTGCCGCTGCCCCCCCCAGCCAGCTCTGGGGGTGCACGGGGGGGCTCTGTACAGCTGGCCCCCCCAGCCAGGTCTGCGGGTGCACGGGGGGGGTCTGTGCCACTGCCCCCCCCAGCCAGCTCTCGGGGTGCACGGGGGGGGGTCTGTACAGCTGGCCCCCCCAGCCAGGTCTGCGGGTGCACGGGGGGGGTCTGTGCCGCAGCCCCCCCCCACTAGCTCTGGGGGTGCACAGTCGCCCCAACTCAATCAGGGCCAATGCTGGGAGGTTCCTGGTGTCGCCCGCCACTCGGTGTTGCACTGGACATGCTGGGCCTTTCTGCCCCTATTCACACCATTGGTGTCCTCCCTGCCCACCCGCCCCTCGGGGCATGACTCCCCGTCCCCCTCCATCTACTGCTCTTTCCCCCCCCGGCCTCCCCATTCTTTTCATCCAGCTATTACTCCCCCCACTATGCACAGCCCGTTTGCAGGGAGCCCCTCCCGCTCTGGCTCCCTGCCCCCTGGATGTTCGGTGCTGCCCAGCCAGGGGAAATCAGGGGCCCTGACCCTGGGTGCGTCTCTCCTTGCAGGTGCGGGGGGCTGCGATGGAGGAGTGGGCTCTGCTGGATGAGAGGCAGAGGGAGCTCTACCGGGACGTCATGCAGGAGAACTATGGGGACGCCATTTCACTGGGTGAGGGGCGGCATCGGCACCCCAGGACCGCAGGCAGAGAGACTGTGACCCCACGTCCCCTTCCCGTGACCTGATGCGGCTCCTCGGCCGTCTCCTCCCGCCCTGCTCCCCGCACAGTGCCCCTGGGCTCCCCATTTCCCACAGCGCCCCTGGGCTCCCGCCCTGCTCCCCCCTTCCCACAATGCCCCTGGGCTCCCCCCATTTCCCATTCTGTCCCTGGGCTCCCCCCGCTCTCCCCTTCCCACAGTGTCTCTGGGCTCCTCCCTTCCCACAATGCCCCTGAGCTCCCCCCCTGCTTCCCCCACAGAGCCTCTGGGCTCTCCCCTTCCCACAGTGACCCTGGGGTCCCACCCTGCTCTTCCCACAGGGCCCCTTGGCTCCCCCTTTCCACAATGCATCTGGGTCTCCCCCTTCTCACAGTTCCCTGCCCACCCGCTCCTCCCACAATTCCCTTGGGGTCCTGCCCCACTCCTCCCACAATGCCCCACGGGACCGCCTTTGATCACCCCGATGCCTTTCAGAGCGGCGCAGGAAACTCTGGGAGGCATCTCCCCAGAAGGCATTGCTGCTGATGCGACTGAGCGTGGCAGTGACGCGCCTCTCCGTGGACACGTGCAGACACCGTGCACGGACATGCCAACGCATGCTCGCTACGGGCCTGATAACTGTCCAACGAAGTACAGTCAAGATCTATCTGGTTCCAGCACTGTAGCATCTGGGCACCTCACACTCTCTAGCGCGTTTAGTCTCACAACAGCACTGTGAGGCAGGGCTTTTAGCCCCCTTGTACAGATGAGGAAACTGAGGCACAGAGCAGCTAAATGACTTGCCCATGGTCATCTAGGAAATGTGTGGCAGAGCAGGGAATTGAGCCCAGGTTTTCTGGCTAGCCCCCTGTAACCACGGGGCCACCCTTCCTCTCTGCCCGATAACACCTTTGGGGCTGGAGCTGGCAGAAATGTCTGGAGTGACGGATTTACTGGAAAATGGCCGTATTTAAAAAAAAAAAAAGACAAAATATTTGGTTTTCTTCAAAAAACACCAATTTGTTTGGGGGGTTTTCTGACAGAAGTGGGAAATGAACAATGGAGGTGGTTTTTGCAGTTTCCCATTGCTGGCGACAGAAGAACAAGGGGGGAAAATGTCATCAATGAACAATTTTCAAAATAGAAAAATGTCACTGAGATTTTCTTTTACTGCTGGTGCGTTTTTTTTAAGTCGGAAATGAAAATGGGGGGGAAAAAACATTTTAAACAACGAACAATTTTCCACTCAGAAAACGTTCATGGAAAAAAATTTCATTGTTTTTTTTTTTTTAATTCTGCGATTTTCAAAAAAGTGGCAAATTATTTTTTTCCCCAACTTTCCTTTTTTTCTATTTCTTCCCCTTTTTGTGCAGCAAAAGGGGAGGGGACGAGGGAAAAACCCCAAAGTATGGAGAAGTGAACGTTTCACAATTGCATGCAGTGTTGTAGCTAGGTCAAAGAAGACCTGAAGAAGAGCCCTGTGTGGCTCTGAGCTTGTCTCTCTCCCCAGCAGAAGCTGGTCCAGTAAAAGACACCGTCTCATTTTGTAATTGGAAAGGTTAATGGAAATTGAAAACACCTCTTTTTTGTTTCAAACAAAACTGAAAACATTTAAATGGCATCAGGTTTTCAAGTTTCCTGTCCAACCCCTTTGTCTGTGGAAAATTGAAAAAGGTGGGGAAAAAAAGGAAAAGTTTAGCAAATGAACATTTTCAACCCCAAAAAGGTGCACGGAAAATGTGTGGGTTGAAAAAAAGCGCTCTTTAAAAAACAAAAAGTGGAAAATTAAAAGATCTGCGCTGGTTTTCAAGTTTCTTTTCTCCAGTTCCTCCCCCTTTGCTGTGGCAAAACAAATGAAAGGGAAAATCCCTCAAATTTTAAAAAAACAACGTTTCAAAATTGATTAATTTTTTAAAAAATTTGGTGGGTTTTTTTTGTGATTAATTTAGAAAATGACACGGGTTTTCTAGTTTCCTCCCTCATCCTCCACTTCCTCCCCTTTTATCTGCAGTAAAATAAGAGGGGAAATGGGAAAATACCAAAGAATCGTCATGGAAAATTTTAAGTTTAAAAAAAAATAGCCCCCCTTTTTTTAAAACAAAAGTAAATGGAGTTGTTTTTTCAATTTCCATTTTTCTTTCCTTCTCTCCCCCTTTTATTGTAGAAAAATTAAAAAATGGGGAAAATACAAAAAAATCCTCAAAAATAAACATTTTCAAAACCATTATTTGGGGTTTTATTTTAAATAATCTTTTTGTAACGAAACAGGAAAAAAGAAAATGGATTTTTTTTTAAGTTTCCTTTCCCCTCATTTCTTCCCCTTTTTCTATCACAAAGGGGGAGTGGGGTGCCCAAATATTTATTCATTCATATTCTATTCACCTCTGTTACAATTAGTGTATAACAAAAGTCAAAAAAATGCATTTTCCCTTTATTGTTTTGGCTTTGTATAATATAATATAATTATAATGAATTAATAGGAAGGATTCAGGTTCTATCATTAAATGTTGATTTTCCCCTACACACAAACCAACAAAAAAAGTTTCCATTGATAATAATCGAAATTTACAAATAGGCAACATAAGACTTCACAGGCAAAATCCAGACTTTTGAATGAGTGGCTGTTTAGTTTGGATATTTTGACATATGACATTGACAATTTATGTTTAGCAAACATAAAGCTTTAACTTTTTGAGTTGCAGCATCGACTGTCTGACTTCCCCCACCCAATCATTCCCCATAACTGTGAAAACTGGGGGGGATGCTTTAAACCCCTAATTTTGCACAGTTGTGAAAATTGCAATTGATAAAAATCTAAAAAAAGTTTAAAAATAAACATTGACAGTGTCAAAATCATAAAAAAAAAATTCTCCCAAGCCATATTATATTATATTACATTTATTTTATATTCATTATATTATATTATTACCTTGTTTCCTGCCACTCCCCTATTCGGGGTCAGTGACTCTTACTACAATAGAATATAAGTATAATATAGTAGCAAATGTTTTGATTATTAAGTAATAGTGAAAACATTTTGCGTGTATTGTATTGTGTTATATTACGATAATAAGAATATAGTTAAAATGAAATATTTTGACTGCATGCAGACATCCCCGCATGTGTCCTACCATGGATTTTGGTGCATGGAGAGGCCACTGCTTCTTCCATTGTCCTAAACGAGCTCCATGAACGTTCAGAGTGGGCTTTGATGAATAGATAACAACCTGCTTTCCCCCCCCGCTGGCAGGATTTCCCGTTCCCAAACCGGCTGTGATCTCCTGGATGGAGCGCGAGGAGGAGCCATGCGACCCAGATCTCCAGGGCTCCGAGGAACAGGAGATCCCAGGTAAGGAATGAGTGACACCAGCTTGGAGACCATCCAGGAGTGAAGGGAAAAGCTGGGATCCCAGCAAAGCTGCCCAGAGCCCCCCTCAGTTCTTTCTCATCTTCTCCAGCGGGTGTCCTGTCATCATGGCAGGCGTCACTTCCGGCTTCCATCTGCCCTGCCTGACCCTGGCTGGACCCCTCGCCTCCCCCAGCCTTTCTCTGAGGGCTCCGTGGGCCATTGGGGCAGAGCTGACCCCTTCTCTCCCCTTGGGACAAGAGACTCAGACCCCAGGGTGATGGGTAATTTACATAGATGGGTGTTTATGGGGATGGAGAACGGGATAGATGGAGATGTGGGGATGAAGGAGGGATGTGTCTGGGGATAGTTTTGTATGGAGATGGATGGTTATGCATTTGGACGGATGCCTGTATGAGTGTATGGGGATGGATGGAGGAGGGGTGTGTGAGGGGATGGAGGGGGTGTATGGGGATGGATGGAGGGATGGAGGGGTGTGTATGGGGATGGATGGAGGGATGGAGGGGTGGGTGTGTATGGGGAGGGATGGAGGGGTGGGTGTGTTTTTATGGGGAGGGATGGAGGGATGGGTGGGTGGGTGTTAGTGGGGATGGAGGGATGGATGAGTAGGTGGGTGTTTATGGGGATGGATGAGTGGGTGGGTGTTTATGTGGAGGGATGGATGGGTGGGTGTTTATGGGGGGGATGGATAGAGGGATGGGTGGGTGTTTATGGGAATGGATGGAGGGATGGGTGGGTGTGTTTTTATGGGGATGGATAGAGAGGTGGGTGGGTGGGTGTTTATGGGGATGGATGAGTGGGTGGGTGTTTATGGGGAGGGATGTGTGGGTGGGTGGGTGTTTATGGGGTGGAGGGATGGGGTGGGTGTTTATGGGGATGGATGGAGGGATGGATGGATGGGTGTGTGTTTATGGGGTGGCTCGATGGCGGGATGGGTGGGTGTTTATGGGAATGGATGGAGGAATGGATGGGTGGGTGTGTTTTTATTGGGATGGATAGAGAGATGGATGGGTGGGTGGCTGTTTATGGGGATGAAGGGGTGGGTGGGTGTTTGTGGGGATGGAGGGATGGATGAGTGGGTGGGTGTTTATGGGGTGGCTCGATGGAGGGATGGGTGGGTGTTTATGGGAATGGATGGAGGGATGGGTGGGTGTGTTTTTATGGGGATGGATAGAGAGGTGGGTGGGTGAGTGTTTATGGGGAGGGATGAGTGGGTGGGTGTTTATGGGGAGGGATGGAGGGACAGATGGGTGGCTGGGTGGGTTTTTATGGGGAGGGATGGAGGGAAGAAAGCATGTTTATGGGGTGGATCGATGGAGGGATGGGTGGGTGTTTATGGGGTGGAGGGATGGGGGTGGGTGTTTATGGGGATGGATGGAGGGATGGATGGGTGGGTGTTTATGGGGGGGATGGATGGAGGGATGGATGGGAGGGTGGGTGTTTATGGGGGGGGATGGATGGAGGGATGGATGGGTGTTTATAGGAATGGATGGAGGAATGGATGGGTGGGTGTGTTTTTATGGGGATGGATGGGTGGGATGGATGGAGGGATGGATGGGTGGGTGTTTATGGGGGGGATGGATGGAGGGATGGATGGGTGGGTGTGTTTTTATGGGGATGGATAGAGAGGTGGGTGGGTGGGTGTTTGTGGGGATGGAGGGATGGGTGGGTGTTTGTGGGGATGGAGGGATGGATGAGTAGGTGGGTGTTTATGTGGAGGGATGGATGGGTGGGTGTTTATGGGGTGGCTCGATGGAGGGATGGGTGGGTGTTTATGGGAATGGATGGAGGGATGGATGGGTGGGTGTGTTTTTATGGGGATGGATAGAGAGGTGGGTGTTTATGGGGATGGATGGGTGGGTGTTTATGGGGGGGATGGATGGAGGGATGGATGAGTGGGTGTTTATGGGGGGGATGGATGGAGGGATGGATGGGTGTTTATGGGAATGGATGGAGGGATGGATGGGTGGGTGTGTTTTTATGGGGATGGATAGAGAGGTGGGTGGGTGGGTGTTTATGGGGAGGGATGTGTGGGTGGGTGGGTGTTTCTGGGGAGAGACAGATAGTTGCGGGGAGTCTTGCCCCTCAGTCTCAGCCCTCTCCCCGTGCCCGGTGTTGGTGGGAAGCCCCTCTCCGGCGTGGGAGCGAGCCCTGCTGGCACTCTGCTGCCTCTCTCCCAGCAGGTGACGGGACGGCGAGCGACAACGAGGAAGAGGAGGTGGCCGAGCCTCCCCGGCAGGAGGAAGAGCCTCCAGGGCCGGAAGCCCCCAACCGCCCCGACTGGGCCGAAGCCTGCGAGAGCTTGTGCCGGCCCCCGCAGCGGGGGGGCCGCTGGGGCCCGTACGCCCGGCGGCGGCGGGTCAGCACCAGCCCCCGGGCCGAACCTCGCTTCTTCGACTGCCCCGACTGCGGGAAACGCTTCACGCTCAGCTCCCACCTCATCCGGCACCAGCGGGTGCACACCGGCGAGCGCCCCTTCGCCTGCGGGGTGTGCGGGAAGAGCTTCTCGCAGCGCTCGGACCTGGGCCGCCACCAGCGCACCCACACGGGCGAGAAACTCTACCGCTGCACCCAGTGCCAGAAGAGCTTCAGCGAGAGCTCCCACCTCATCCGCCACCAGATCATCCACTCCGGCGAGAAGCCCTTCAAGTGCAACGTCTGCGGCAAGAGCTATGGCGACAGCTCCTACCTGGCCGTCCACCAGCGGGCCCACACCGGCGCCCGCCCCTACCGCTGCCCCCTCTGCGGCAAAAGCTTCGGACGCAGCTCCACCCTCATCCGCCACCAGCGCGTCCACGCGGGCGACGGGACGCCCCCGGAGGGCCAGCCCGCCCTGCCCGGGCCCCCGCCGGCCCCGCGGCCCAACGCCCGCCACCTCCGGATAGTGGGGTGGCAGTGGGGCGTGGAGTGAAGGGGGCGGGGTGGGGGGGGGCTGGGGAGCGGTCGGTCGCTGTTGGGGGGGTTGGTTGCCACAGTGGCTACGGAGGGGATCAGTGCGTGCGTTACCCTGGTGATTGGTCACTGTGGAGGGGATTGGTGGGTTGGTTGCCATGGTGGTTGGTAACTAGGGAGGAGATTGGTAGGTTGGTTACCGCAGTGGTTGGTCACTACAGAGGGGATTGGTGGGTTGGTTGCCATGGTGGTTGGTAACTAGGGAGGAGATTGGTAGGTTGGTTACCGCAGTGGTTGGTCACTACGGAGGGGATTGGTGGGTTGGTTGCCATGGTGGTTGGTAACTAGGGAGGGGATTGGTGGGTTGGTTACCGCAGTGGTTGGTCACTACGGAGGGGATTGGTGGGTTGGTTGCCATGGTGGTTGGTAACTAGGGAGGAGATTGGTGGGTTGGTTACCGCAGTGGTTGGTCACTACGGAGGGGATTGGTGGGTTGGTTGCCATGGTGGTTGGTAACTAGGGAGGAGATTGGTGGGTTGGTTACCGCAGTGGTTGGTCACTACGGAGGGGATTGGTGGGTTGGTTGCCATGGTGGTTGGTAACTAGGGAGGAGATTGGTAGGTTGGTTACCGCAGTGGTTGGTCACTACGGAGGGGATTGGTGGGTTGGTTGCCATGGGGTGGCTGGTAACTAGGGAGCAGATTGGTGGGTTGGTCACCGCGGTGGTTGATCGCTAGGGAGGGGATTGGTGGGTTGGTTACTGCAGTGATTAGTCACTAGGGTGGGGCTTGGTAGTGCAGTTACCATGCTGACTGACCACTAACAGCGATTGGTGGATTGGTTCCCATGGTGGTTAGTTGCTAGAGAGAGAATTGCTGATTTGGTTAGTAAGGATGATGGGTCACTCTTGAGAGAGGGAGGGGATTGGTGGTTTGATTACCAGGGTGATTGTTGCTAAGGCGTTGATTGGAGGTTCAGTTACTAGGGGCTACTGGTCACTCGGGAGCGACTGGATTGATGCTCTGTTTACTGGGTGTGAAATATTGTTCGGGGGCGGGGGGCGTTTGAGGTTTAAGGGATTAAATTTGGGTGACGGGGGACAGATTTTGGTACTCCCCAAACCTTTGTAGCATTTAATGATGGTGCCCAGGGGGTTCATACCCAGGAACCCCCCTCATCCCAGCTCACCAGGAATCCCAACCAACACCACTGCCCACTTCCTAGTGCCCAAGTCATGGGGCACCCCATTCCTTCAGATCTCCCCATCTCTGGGCCTCTGCTTGGTTCAGAGGGGAGGGAGGTGGATTGACAGCCTCGTGACATGGGGGGCGCATGAGGCAGGATAGACTGACGCCCCCTCATTCGGGGCAGCGTTCACAGCATTCGCCGATTTCAGAACCAGCTGCCAGGACAGAACAGGAACAGAGGTTTCATCAGGGAGACGGGGCTGTCAGGCGCCCCGGGTGAATCCTGTCCCTGGAGCACTGAGACACCGCGGACTCCACATGGCAACGGGGAAATGGATGAGAACAAATATCTTCCTCTTAGAGAGTCAATGGGGCAGATCCCCAGCTGGGGTCACTCGGCCGTAGCTCCATTAAGGTCAATGGGGCCAGATCCCCAGCTGGGGTCACTCGGCCGTAGCTCCATTGAGGTCAGTGGGGCCAGATCCCCAGCGGGGGTCACTCGGCCGTAGCTCCATTGAGGTCAATGGGGCCAGATCCCCAGCTGGGGTCACTCGGCCGTAGCTCCATTAAGGTCAATGGGGCCAGATCCCCAGCGGGGGTCACTCGGCCGTAGCTCCATTGAGGTCAATGGGGCCAGATCCCCAGCGGGGGTCACTCGGCCGTAGCTCCAGTGGGGTCAATGGGGCCAGACCCCCAGCTGGGGTCACTCGGCCGTAGCTCCAGTGGGGTCAGTGACACCCGCTGAGGGTCTGGCCCCATTGAGCCCAGTGGAGCCAGAGCCGAGTGACCCCAGCTGGGGGTCTGGCCCCAATCGGCCATGACTCCAGTGGGGTCAAGGGACCAGATCTCCAAGAGGTGTCACTCTGCCGTCGCTGTCTCGGCGTCAAGGCTGGTCGGCAGCTGGCCATGGATCCTGGAAGTTCTCAGATCTTGTGATACTATAACATGACTGACCTTTATATTTATTGACGGTTCCCGTCCCCCTCCCCACAGCGTGCCCTAGGTTTGTCGAACTTAGATTGTAAGCTTACTGGGGCAGGAACCTTCCTTTTTTTTTAGACCTCTGTACGAGCACCGTGCAAAGCCGCGGGGCTGCAGAAATGTTTAATAATAATAATAAAAACCTAACGAGGAGTCATCTCAAAGCACTTCCGTGGCCGCGCCGATCTACAGCCAGGCCTACGGTCCACAGACCGGGATTGGGGCCGGCCCGTCGATGGATCCTCGGTGGTTTGGAGAACCTGGTTTCTACGGTGTCTGTTGCTGATATGCAATCCCGGGGTGGGTAGCCATGTTCCTTTGTTGGGTCATGAGCCGGGACTGGACCTGCCGACGGGAAAGCATGAGCCTTTGCTCATTGAGCGATAGGATCAGACGCTGTTGCCTGACGGCAGGGCCCATCACTACAGAGAGGCATGCAGTGTCATTGTGGTCGCTTATCCCATTCCTCCCCTCCCCGAGCTGGCCAGTCCCCCGAAACCTGGAGTTAGATTAGTGCTGGTGCCCCCTAGAGGGGAGAGGCCCCATGTCCCCATTCCGCACCCCCTTGAGCCAGCCAGTCCTCTGTCCTGGGGCAGGATGGGAGCCAGCGGCCCCTGGAGGGGAAAGGCCCCGTCTCCCATTCCCCACCCCCCTGAGCCAGCCAGTCCCCTGCCCTGGGGCGGGATCAGAGTCAGCACCCCCTAGAGGGGAAAGACCCCGTGTCCCATTCCCCACCCTGGGTAGCTGCAGTAACCAGAGGTATTTCTGCCTTGAGCTGAGGATGACCAGTCCAGTAGAGGGTCAGGGGTGCGAGGGGATTGTCATTGTGCCATGTGGCCAGGAGGTGGCAGTGCAGACACCCATAGGCCGGAGCACTAGGCCAATCCCCTGCGCTCATCCCTTTGGGGTGAGCGGTTCGCGATGGACCCCGAGAGGTGACTCCAGAAGAGCTGGGAGCCAGGACTCCTGAGTTCTAGCCTAGCGCTGGGAGGGGATTGCTCTGAGGGCATGTCTGTGAGGCAGTCTAATTTATTAATACAGCAGGGGGAACTGAGGCAGGGACAGAGGGGCACAGAAAGAACCCAGGAGTCCAGACTCCCTGCTCTAACCTACCAGGTCCTCCAGAGCCAGGGAGAGAACCCAGGAGTCCTGGCTCCCAGCCATGTAAGTAGTTAGTTCACGGAGTGAAATGGAAAGGAGGAGCTGGATAGCACGGCAGACTAACAGCCTCCCAGTCTGCCTACCAGGTGCTTTCCCATCCGGTGCCCAGCTGGCGTCTTGGACACCGGCCTCCATCCGCCATCTGGGGCTGGATTCCTGGAAAGAATAAACCGTGACTGATTCCAGTTAGACCAGTTCCACCAGATGGCGTGCCTGCCCAACAGCGCCCCCTACGGGGAAAGGCCCCGTCTCCCATTCCCCATCCCGCTGAGCCAGTCAGCCACCTGCCCTGGGGACAGATCGGAGCCAGCGCCCCCTAGAGGGGAAAGGCCCCGTCTATTCCCCATCCCGCTGAGCCAGCCAGCCACCTGCCCTGGGGCCAGATCGGAGCCAGCGCCCCCTAGAGGGGAAAGGCCCCGTCTCCCATTCCCCATCCCGCTGAGCCAGCCAGCCACCTGCCCTGGGGCCAGATCGGAGCCAGCGCCCCCTAGAGGGGAAAGGCCCCGTCTCCCATTCCCCATCCCGCTGAGCCAGCCAGCCCCCTGCCCTGGGGCCAGATCGGAGCCAGCGCCCCCTAGAGGGGAAAGGCCCCGTCTCCCATTCCCCATCCTGCTGAGCCAGTCAGCCCCCTGCCCTGGGGCCAGATCGGAGCCAGCGCCCCCTAGAGGGGAAAGGCCCCATCTCCTATTCCCCATCCTGCTGAGCCAGTCAGCCCCCTGCCCTGGGGCCAGATCGGAGCCAGCGCCCCCTAGAGGGGAAAGGCCCCATCTATTCCCCATCCTGCTGAGCCAGCCAGCCCCCTGCCCTGGGGCCAGATCGGAGCCAGCGCCCCCTAGAGGGGAAAGGCCCCATCTATTCCCCATCCTGCTGAGCCAGCCAGCCCCCTGCCCTGGGGCCAGATCGGAGCCAGTGCCCCCTAGAGGGGAAAGGCCCCGTCTCCCATTCCCCATCCCGCTGAGCCAGTCAGCCACCTGCCCTGGGGCCAGATCGGAGCCAGCGCCCCCTAGAGGGGAAAGGCCCCGTCTCCCATTCCCCATCCTGCTGAGCCAGCCAGCCACCTGCCCTGGGGCCAGATCGGAGCCAGCGCCCCCTAGAGGGGAAAGGCCCCGTCTCCCATTCCCCATCCTGCTGAGCCAGCCAGCCCCCTGCCCTGGGGCCAGATCGGAGCCAGCGCCCCCTAGAGGGGAAAGGCCTCTCCCTTTTTTCTCCCTGACCACCGCAGATTCTCTTCCCAGGATCTGGGGCTCCTTTCATGCCCCGTTGTGTTTCCATTCCCCACCAAGGCAGAGTTACAAAAAGGAAATTATCTAGAATAAATAAAGGCGAAGGGCAAGGGATGGGGAAAGTGAGGGGACTCTTAGCAGGTGCTAAATTCCAGGCAGAGAGGAAGGGAGCCGAGTGGCCGGGTGTTAGCAGGGCTGTATTGTTTGATTATACCCCGTCATGAAACACTTTAGGATTTCCGGCTAGACCCTGGGAAAGTCTCTCTTTCCTCTCGTTGACCATCTAAACCCTCCCGACTCGCCCGTTTGTAGGTGACGCGCATTCTGTCGACTCTCAGCCCGTGCCCAAAATTGTAGCAGCTGTGGACAAAACTTGGGCAGATCGTTGGTTTTGGTATTGGGAATGGAACCCAGGAGTCCTGACTCCCAGCTCCGACTGCTAGACCCCACTCCCCATCCAGCACTGGAGATCAAACCCAGGAGTCCTGAGTCCCAGCCCCTCTGCTCTAATCACAAGACCCCACCCCCCTACTGGAGCCAGAGATGGAGCCCAGAGATTCACAGCCCCCCCTGCTCTGACCCACTAGACCCCACTCCCCTCCCAGAGCTGGGGCTAGAACCCAGGAGTCCTGGCTCCCAGCCCCTCCTGCTTTCAGCTGCCACAGTTTCCCCATCAGTGTGGGAGTGTGTGGCAGGGAAGGAAATAATTCTGTTTTTGATGTCAGTGGGGGGTCTGTGACGGGGTGTGGGGAAGACTGGAAAGTGACCAATATGCAAATGATAGGACGAGACCAGGATGTCTTGGGGCTTTCAATCCTGGGCATGGGAGTGTCCTCACTCTGACTGGAAATCATCCACCAGTCAGAGGAAACCACCATGCCTGGGGTGGTGAAGGATTTACCCCTCTGAGCCTTCACAGGCATATACGTGCCTCATTTCCTCTCCTCACCATGAGCAAAAAAATCGTGGGTCATATCGACCCCAGTAAGGTCGGGGGGCTACCAGGCCAGAGGTCTGCGTTTGTGAGAAGAATAGAACTGGTGCTGGAAATAAACTATCTCACATATAAAGGTGACTCTTGGGTTTCTTATTTGTTCTGCTGGGGCCTCTCAATCCTGACCCACAGCTCTCTCCACTCTAACCTACTAGGCCAGGGTGGGCAAACTTTTTTGGCCAGAGGGACACATCGGGATGGGGAAGTTGCATGCAGGGCCTTGAATGTAGGGTTGGGGCAGAGGGCTGGGGTGTGGGAGGGGGGTATGGTGTGCAGGAAGGGGCTCAGGGCAACGGGTTGGGGCAGAGAAGGGGTGTGGGGTGTACAAGGGGACTCGGGGAAGGGGGGTTGGGGTGCAGGAGGGGGTGCAGAGTGCGGGAGGGGGCTCAGGGCAGGGGTTGGGGGTGCCCGGTGGCACTTACCTGGAGCAGCTCCGGCGTGGCATCAGTCAGCACCAAACCCCTGGGGTAGAGGGGGCAGAGGGCTCCGCACACTGCCCTGGCCTGTGGGTACCTCCCCTGAAGCTCCCATTGGCCATGGTTCCCTGTTCCCAGCCAATAGGAGCTGCGGGGGGGGAGGGGGGGCGGGCCTGTGTGCCTGCAGGCGAGGGCAGTGCACAGAGCCCTCTCCCCCCCCGTCCCCCCAGGGGCCACAGGGACATGTTGCCAACCGCTTCTGGGAGCGGTGCAGGGCCCACGGGACCACAGGGGTGACAATCCCACGGGCCGGATCCAAAGCCCTGACGGCCCAGATCCAGCCCGTGGGCCATAGTTTGCCAACCCCTGTACTAGGCCCTACTCCACTCCCAAAGCCAGGAATAGAACCCAGGAGTCCTGGCTCCCACCCCCTCTCCTCTGCTGGATTCTTTCCTGCTCCCCCGGTTGCTTTGTGGCTGGAAACCCAATCTGGCGAGGACGTGCAGAGATGCCAGTTGCCGTTGGCTGGCACAGCCTGGGCACCTATTATGCCTGTCACAATGGGACCCCTCCCTGTGCTTCCCCCCCCAGCTCTCACCACTTCTCATCCCACATTTCTGCCTTGAGGGAAGGGTCCTGGCCGCCGGTGCCCCCTTGTGCGGTGGGTCGAGCCCTCTACTTGCATCTGCCCTGGGGGCACCGTGCCAAGGCTGGCCGAGGGGGCTGTGGGTCCTGGGGCAATCTGGGGGAGGGGCATCTAGGAATGGGAGGAGGGGTGGAATGAAGAAGGGGGATTGTTGGAGTGGGGCTGGGGATGCAAAGCCAGAGGACCGGGGGAAGGGACAGAGAAGGAGGAAGAATCTGCAGGGTTAGCTCCCCCGCCCCCGTCCCACCCCATGTGGCTTTGGGACTTTCAGGGTGGGGTGTGTCTATCCCCCAGACACAGTCTCACTTTCCCATTCCTTCCTTCCTTCCCTCGCACGAAACAGAGCCATTTCGCAATCCCAACCCACACACCTGCAATTTCTCCCCTCCCACCCCCACGACTCCCTGCCCCATGCCGCACCCTGCCCCATTCCCCTCTCCCTTCCTGGAAACAGAGTCCAGGAAAGCCAGATGCCTTCCCCGCTCCCACCCTGCTCTTGGCAGGAGACGTGTGCCCTCGTGGGGGGGGGGTGGAACAGGGCCCGGCCTGCCTATAAAGCAGCCACATCCCCTAGGGCTCAGGTAGCAGACGAGACCTGGCCCCAGAGCAGCCCCTGGGAAGCTCCCAGCACAGACAGAGAATTCAGTGGGGCGGGTGCTGGGATCAACCACTAGGTGGCAAGAAGCGGAGGTGCTGGGACTGGCCACTAAGGGGCAACAGGAGACAGTGCCGGGATTAGCCACTAGGGGGCAAGAAGAGGCAGTGCCAGGATCAGCCACTAGGAGGCAAAGGAAATAATTTGGGGGGCCACACCCCTGTTGGCACCCTCTGGATGCCAGGGCTCCAGATATGCCTTCCACTCTAGGTAAGTGCCCCTGCACCAGGCCCCTGGGGCAGATTTAACTGAGCTTCGAGCCCCTCTGCTCTAACCAACTACACCCCACTCCTTTTCCAAAGCTGGGGATGGAACCCAGGAGTCCTGGCTCCTAGCTCCCCCTGCTCTAACCCACTAGACCCCACTCCCTTTCCAGAGCCAGGGATGGAACCCAGGAGTCCTGGCTCCCAGCCTGCCCCGCTCTAACCCACTAGATCCCATTCCCCTCCCAGAGGGTAATATACAATGCACAATCTCCAATCCGGACAGGTGTGGAAATCCGGTTCTGGATTTAGTTCCTCCCCGTCAATCTGCCCATTGACAGCTGCAGGGGCCCAGCTGGGGGAGTCACAGGGAAATCCCGGAGTGGAGTTTGGCTCAGCACTGGATTGGGGACCCAGAATGCAGACTAAATAGCAGAGTGGCCAGATAGGGGTTCCATCAGGGGGCAGCAGGCTGGTATAGCCCAGAGCTAGGGGCAGGTGGAAGAGGCTTCTGGGGGAGGGGCCTCTCATAGTCCAGGGCAGAGGGACGGTGGGGGTGGTGGGATCCCAGCAGAGGATGAAGTGGCTGCCATGACCCAGAGCAGAGGGATGGTGGGGGTGGTGGGATCCCAGCAGAGGACGAAGTGGCCACCGTAGCTAAGAGCAGAGGGATGGTGGGGGTGGTGGGATCCCAGCCGAGGAAGAAGTGGCTGCCATGACCCAGAGCAGAGGGATGGTGGGGGTGGTGGGATCCCAGCAGAGGACGAAGTGGCTGCCATGACCCAGAGCAGAGGGATGGTGGGAGAGGTGGGATCCCAGCAGAAGCATGTCTCAGGCTGAGGGAGGGTGCTGTGACAGGCCAGGCCAATGGCTGACTCCCCTACTAAGCCTCTCCTCCATGCTACTCTTGCAGCCCAGAATCTGCTTGTGTCCCTGGTCCTGGTCCAGCTGGCCCGTCCCGACCGCACTCCCAGTGCTACTACCATCTCTCAGACCTACAACCTGGCCCGACTGCTGCAAGCCAACACCACGAAGCTGCTCAACATCTACGTGAGTGCTGGGCCCCCAGGGGAGGGGGCTCGGAGGCCTCTAGGGCCATTCATGGGTAAGGCTGCGTGTCTGTCGTGGAGGTCATGGAGTCCATGGAGTGCAGGAGCAGTTTGGGGGTGGGAGGGGGCTCAGGGTTGGGGGAGGGGGCTGGGGTGCAGGGCGGTGCTTATCTTGAGAGGGGGGGCTCCTTGGCTCCCACCGGCATGTCCCAGCAGCTCCTAGGAGGAGGGGCCAGGGGGCTCCACGCACTGCCCGCATTGATAAGCACCGCCCCTGCAGCTCCCATTGGCTGCCATTCCTGGCCAATAGGAGCTGCGGAACCGGCGCCTGTGACTGTAGCAACGCACAGAGCCCCCGGCCCTTCCACCGAGGAGCCGGGGAAGGGAGGCGGTCAGAGCCGGGGAAGGGAGCCTGCCAGCCCCGCCAACCCTCCCTCCCCCAGCACCAGCACCAGTGGGGGTCTTGGGCCACCCCTGCCCAGCACCCATGGCCCCCGGCCCTAGTTTTAGTTCGGGGTATATAGTAAAAGTCCTGGACAGGTCTCGGGCTGTGAATTTTTGTTTACTGCCTGTGACCTGTCCATGACTTTTACTAAAAAATACCCGTGACTAAAACGCAGCCTAATTCATGGGTCCGGAGGTCTGGGTTCGACTCTCTCTAGCCAGCACCCCTGGAGGGGGATAGGCCCCCTGTCCCACTCCCCGCCCCCTGAGCCAGCCAGTTCCCTTCCCGGGGACGACACATATGCTTGATTTAATCCAGTCTCTTGGTGAATCCTCCAGTGGCCTTGACCTTCTGTCGAGAGCCTTCACCCCCTGACAACGCGGGGGGTGGGAGAGGTCATGTTTTGGCCGCCCCACCTGGGGCCCCTTGGCACCAACCCCAAGCTGGAAGACGCCAGCTCAGGAAGTCACGCCCAGCTGAGCACCCAGCCAGCACGCTCTCTGTAGCCTGGATTCCAGCCAGCAATTCCAGCGCTGGGGTGGTGGTGCCGGGTGGTGATGGGGTAAGGTCCGCGCCTCCCCCCTCCCAGCCCCATGGGAATCCCCACCAGAGGACCCAGCTCTCTCCCCCTCCCATTCTACCCTCTGCATGTCTATGCAGTCCCCGTTCCCAGGATGGGGAATTGGGGGGTGTCGAGGGAGGAGGTGGGGTCTCTGTGGGGAGGGAATGGGGAGATTTGAATCAATCTTGGGGTGGAGCTGGGGGAGGGGGACAGGAACTGAGGGTAGGATAGGAGTCGTGGCAGGTAAGCTACTGGGGGAGGGCAGCACATGCCCTGACCCCCCCTTTCTCTGTGTCTCCCCCCCAACAGCTGAACGCCCAGGGCTCCCCATTCAGTGACCCCGGTTTCAGCGCCCTGGGGCTACGGTGGGCAGGGGTGCCGGTGGCCTCCTTCCCGTTCCTGGCCTGGCGCACCATGGGCGACGCGGAGCGGCTGGCACAGAACTACGGGGCGTACGCCACCTTTGACGCCTTCCTCCAGCTGGTGTGGGATGACCAAGATGAGCTGTGCCCCGACTGCTCTGAGCTGCTGGCCATGCTGGGCACTGCCCGGGCCCGGACACGAGGTCTCCTGGCCAACCTGACCTCCATTATGGCTGCCATGGGCATCCCGGTGACCCTGGCCACAGACCCTTTGACCTCAGAGGCAGCCGGGGTGGGGGCATTTGAGAAGAAGTGCCGGGGCTACGTGGTATGCCGGGAGTTCCATGGCTGGGTCGACCGGACTGTGCGTGACTTCACCCTGCTCAAGGCCAAGTACCCGGCCTAGGAGGTGCCGCCACGCCAGGCACTGTCTGTGAGCATAGAGACCGGACCATACATTTCCTGTTGGCCTAGAGGATGCTTCCTGTTGGCTGGGCCAATGCACTTTCTGTTGACTTATAGACCGGGCCATGCACTTCCCATTGGCTGGGCCATGGATTGCCTGTGATCCTATAGACTGGGCCATGCACTTGCTGTTGGCCTAGTGGATAGCCAATGCACTTCCTGTTGGTCTATGGATTGGGTCATGCATTTCCTGTTGGCCTAGAGGATGGCCAATACACTTCCTGTTGGCCTATGGACTGGATCATGCATTTCCTGTTGGCCTAGAGGATGGCCAGTACACTTCCTGTTGGCCTATGGACTGGATCATGCATTTCCTGTTGGCCTAGAGGATGGCCAATACACTTCCTGTTGGCCTATGGACTGGGTCATGCACTTCCTGTTGGTGTAGAAGATGGTCAATACACTTCTTGTTGGCTTGACTATGCCCTTCCTGTTGGCCTCTGAAGTCCATGGCTTCAAGTCCTAGGCCACAAAATCCATTACGTGTGTGTAAAGAATATTAATGGATCACTTGATGATTCCCTGTTCTGTTCATTCCCTCTGGGACACCTGGCATTGGCCACTGTTGGAAGACAGGACACTGGGCTAGATGGACCTTTGGCTGACCCAGTCTGGCCGCTCTTATGTTCGAATATATATTTTAAAATCCCATCATATTTATGCCCAAAAGAAACATTTATCTGGATTATTTATATTATTTAACAGACACATGAACGTTGACTTGAGTTTCGGGCTTCTAATACTTTGGACACCTCTTGAGTCCTGGCAAGACAAAATTACTGTCGGTTTACTGAAGGGAACCAAGAGAAATGTTCAAGGAGCACTTTATAAAGTGATGTGCGGTACCAAGGTGGGAATCCAAGCCAGTGCTAATATGCAGCTGCCTCTGGGGTGGGGCAGCTGGGGAACAGCTGCTCAGGAATGCCCATAAGGATGTTGCAAGCCCTAAAATCTGATGCCTTAGAAATCATGGTCAAGTCTTGCTACCTGTGGAATTTCCTTGAATACTGTATTAATTTATTGACTTTTGTGGATGTCGCTACTTGATTGTTACAATAAGCCTAGATGCTTCTACTGTTCAACACTTGTCTCTCTACAAGTTGTGTATCTGCTCAGGGCTGTTATTCCAGTGGTGGGTGCGTAGCAGCCCAGATAGAAAGAAGGTTGTCTACCTTAAAAACATGGGCTACTTCTGTCTGAGCTCAGGGGAACCTCCATTAGCAGTATGGGGAATATGAAACATAGTGGAGCAATTTTGATTCTAGCCGGTAGAGGGCCGTAGTCTTTCTCACACGCATACACAGAGAGACGCAAACACAGCCCCACTTCCCCCCATCAGGGGGCAGTGCTGGAATTCCTGTAAACTCTCCCATGTCTCTTTGTCTGCAATCGCGGCACGGGAATGTCGGTAAAGCTGGTTTCTTCGACACTCAATAAAAGCTCTGGTTTTTCTGAGATAACACGCTTGTGTTGGGATCTCTCCCCAGCTCTGGGAGGGGAGTGGAGGCTGGTGGGTTAGAGCAGGGGGGGCTGGGAGCCAGAACACACTCGTGCCCCCAAAAGCAAACTTCCCACACTGTGAGCTTCTACTAAAAATACTTTATTAATAATAATTACACTGTGTTTTCTGGTAAGAACATACCACAGTATGAACTACAGTTTTTGGGGGGGGGAGGTGGGGGGGTGTCAAAGGCCGCCCCATCACCTCCACATTTATGGGCGGGGGTCCCCCACTATTGTGGGGGGGCAGAGGGGACTCCTCCTAACCCCTCTGCATAAACCAGGGGGGAAATGTCTGTATTGACAGGGAGGGAGGAGTTGGGGCCGATTCCCCACCCCCCCCAGAGTTCAGCGGGGCAGGGCCCCTTCGGGGAAGTGTGTATACCAGGGCAGGAGTTGGGGGAAGGGAGACCCCCCCCAGCGGTTTGCAGTGAGGGGTGGGGAGGAGAGGCTGTGAGAGTCGGAGGTTGGAGCAGTAAGGGCAGAGGGTTGGGGGGGGCAGATGGGGGAGCAGGAGGTTTCTTGGGGGAATGGTTGGGGTACGGGTACTTGGGGGCAGATGCAAGGGGGGTTTGTGTGGCGGCAGGGATTATCTGAGGGGCAGATGGGGGGCAGGACCTGGGGGGTGACAGGGGCAGGGGATATCTGGGGGGCAGGAGCCAGGGGTTCCCAGGGGAGACAGGTGGGGGGAGGGCAAGGGTAGCTGGGGGGCAGAGGGGAGGATGGGGGCACTCACAGCGGGTACTTGGTGTGGAGAAGCCCCAGCGCTTCGTGGCTCCGCCTGGCCCAGTCCCGATGCAGCCGGCACACGTGGTACCCGCTCAGCTTAGCCAGGAAGGCGCTGGTGGCAGGGCTGCCCAGACTGGGGGAAGGAGGCGGGGGGCCTGGCACCCCCAAGGCGCCCATGATCCCCTCCAAGTTCCCAGCCAGCCCCCGGCACTGACGGGCCGCGGCCTCCAGCTGCCGGTGCAGCTCCGAAGCCAAAGGGTTGAGGTCGGCCTGCTGCCGCCGCACGGAACCCAGGAGTCCGGGCAGGGTGGCATAAGCCACGGCTAGGTGCCAGAGCCGCTTCTCATCGCTCAGTGCCAGCCAGGCCTCGGGGGGGACAGAGGGCGAGGGCAGCCCGGGGACTGCCATGGCAGGGGGTTGGAAATCTGGACTGCTGAATGGCTCTCCTTGGTGACGCACCTGGAACAGAGAGACACTGAGTCAGGACTCCTGGGTTCTATCCCCAGCTCTGTAAGGGGAGTGGGGTCTAGAGGTTAGAGCAGTTGGGACTGGGACCCACAGCTCCTGGGTTTAGCAGTGGCTCTGGGAGAGGACTGGGGCCCCAGGAAGCTGTCAGAAGCATTTGAGCTGTAGGAGCAGCAGTGAAATCTGTGACAAATTTAATACTTGAATCGCCATCATTAGGTTCAAGAGTTAACCGCTCTTTGGGCTGCACGGGGCAGCTTCCCCCACTCACAGCCATCGTGCCAGACTGTCCACAGACTCAGGCGGATGTCATGGTTTCACTCAGGAGTCAAAAAGGGCGCCTCACCAGCAGGGGACAGAAGGAGATGGTCTCCCCTGGGATTGAAGCCCGGGAATAGAAGAAAACCTTGCAGGCCACTGTGTAACAGGGACACGCACACAGAGGACTCTGACCCCTCCAGCAGGGGGCAGTGCTACCCCCCTCCCCAATGCTCACATATTCTGCCAGCAGCTGTTCAGAGCGGTGCTTCAGAAGCACCGTCAGGCTGTGGGTTTGCTTGATCTTGGTGGCTACCTCTTGCTGGGAGAGGGACGAGGGCGAGGAGGCGGAAGACAGCGGGTTGGCGCGATCCACTGGAGAGAGGGAGTGAACCAAGGGTTAATTCCGCTCACGCCCCGAGCCACAAGCCTTTGGCGCGCGCTCCTGGGCTCAGAAGCCACCTCGAGAGAAAATTCATCTTGGGAAATTCCGCCTGCTTGGAAAAATACTTCTGAGATGCGGCCACCTCTGGGGTGGGGCAGCTGGGGACCAGCCCCACGCAACGGTTCCTTCCATCTGCCTGCAGCACAGCGCCTCCTAGCGCCACACGGGGACACTGGGTCCTGCACTGACTGTCCGGGGGGGGGGGGATACCCCCTACTGAACCTCCTGCCCCATAGCACAGCTACCCCAGCACTGCTCGGGGGCATTCGGGCCAGCTCTGACTGTCCAGGGAGAACACCCCCTGCTGACCCATTCCCCCGCCAGGTGTCAGATGCACCCCACCCCATATTGTCCTCAATATTTTACCTCCCAGGCAAGCACCAGAGATCCCATTGTCCTGAGCCAACGCACCAGAACGAGCAGCAGCTCCCTTGGAGGGGAGGAAAAGTCACAGCAGAGCTGTGGATAGAACCCAGGAGTCCTGGCTCCCAGCCCCCGCTGCTCTAGCCCACTAGACCCTACTCCCCTCCCAGAGATCTGGGTAGAACCCAGGAATCCTGGCTCCCAGCCCCCGCTGCTCTAGCCCACTAGACCCTACTCCCCTCCCAGAGATCTGGGTAGAACCCAGGAATCCTGGCTCCCAGCCCCCGCTGCTCTAGCCCACTAGACCCTACTCCCCTCCCAGAGATCTGGGTAGAACCCAGGAATCCTGGCTCCCAGCCCCTGCTGCTCTAACACACTAAACCCCACTCCCATCCCAGAGCTGGGATAGAACCCAGGAGTCCTGGCTCCCAGCCCCCCCGCTCTAACCCACAAGACCCCACTCCCTTCCCAGAGATCTGGATACAACCCAGGAGTCCTCGCTCCCAGCCCCCGCTGCTCTAGCCCACTAGACCCTACTCCCCTCCCAGAGCCGGGGAGAGAACCCAGGAGTCCTGGCTCCCAGCCCCCCTGCTCTAACCCACTAGACCCCACTCCCCTCCCAGAGCCCCCCTGTCTAACCCCCCCCTTTCATTGATCTCAGAGCATGATGAGCTTGTGCCAGGCAGTGCCCATGCCCGCCCCCACTCTCAGGCAGCTGGTCACGTCCCAGCTGTCAGCCCCCGCCCGGCCAGGTTCCCAGCCCGACTAGCTACGGGGATGTCCCAACGGCCCGAGAACCTTGCCAGCCCCAGCCCTGCAGGAGGGTGACGCGGGCACCGCAGTGGGTATCTGCCCAGGCCGGAGGAGCTGGCCAAGGCAGAGAAGAGGACTCCTGTGGAAGCACCATCGCTTGGGACCCTTCTCCACCTTGGGTGACGCCAATCTCCTGGGGGGTGTTGCCACCACGTCATGAGTTCTATCCCCGGCTCTGCGAAGTCTAGTGGTCAGAGCAAGGGGGGCTGGGAGCCAGGACTCCTGGGTTCTGTCCTTGGCCCCGGGAGGGGAGTGGGGTCTAGTGGGAGGGGGTGGGGGCTGCATATCAGGACTCCTGGGTTCTCAGGAAGGGAATATGGCCTCCTGGTTAGAGCATATATAAGCAACACCCCCTGTGCCCTCCCCTCCAGGATGGAAGAAACAGAGCGGTCGAGTGGGTCTTCCACCAGCCACAGCTCTGCAGATGCCCCTCAGTCCTGACCCCCAGCCTTGGGTGGTCGCGTTGGTGGGTCTCAATGAGCACGTCATGGGCTTTGGGTTCGAGACTTGACCGCGCGCGTCACGCTCTGTCCCTACCCAGATTCCTCTGGCGCCCAAAGCTCCACCAGTCAATCATTAGCTAGGGGCCACCCCACCCTAGAGATGGAGCCTGGAGGAGCCGCCAACCTGGCAGGTGGCTGGGCGGACAGCAGAGTCCACGTTGCCCCTCTGGCTTGCCCCGCAGAGACATCTCCAGGGCAGGAACTGGTGGGTGGAGAGAAGTGGGTTAGCTCTGTGGAAGGGAAGATGAGGAGGATGGTAGAAGAAGACCTGGGGCTGGCGGCCAGAAGTATAGAGTGGTGGCAAGGATCTGGAGAAGTTTCTACAGGGGATGGGGTCCTCTTGGGGTTCCTCAGCTCTTGGCATGTACCCCAGCCCTGGTTGCCCCAAACTGTCTCCATCTCTCCCCAATTGTTAGCCACCCCCGAGCCCGGAGCCCTCCTCAGGGAAGCCAGGCCCTCACCAGCTCACACCCGGTCCCATCTAAACCCTTACTCCCACCCCCAATTCAGTACTTCCACTGTGCAAGCTGACCCAGGAATGTCCCGGGACCCAGGAATGTCCCCCAAATAAGGGGGGACTGAGTCATACACAGGTGGGGACAGAACCCAGGAGTCCTGGCTCCCACTGCTCTAGCCCATTAGACTCCACTCCCCTCCCCTAGCCAGGGAAAGAACCCAGGATTCCTGCAGCTACCCCAGCTCTAACCCACTAGACTCCAAATCCCTCCCAGGGCCAAAGACAGAACCCAGGAGTCCTGGGTCCCAGCCCCCCCCCTGCTCTGACCACTAGACCCCACTCCCCTCCCAGGGCCAAGGAAAGAACCCAGGAGTCCTGGCTCCCCTACCTGTCAGCACTTCCATGCTGTCCCAGCCGTGCGCACTTGTTGCTGTCCCGCAGAGGCCAGGCTGGGGGCGGGGGCCCTGGGTTTATATCCCCTCCCAGTCCCCCCTTCCCCCCCGCCCCCGCCCCCGCCCCGCGTGGATGCCAGGAGGCTGAGCTCAGGGCTAGCCGGGCCTGGAGCAGCCCCAGCCCGGGCCGGGGGTGTGTGTGTGTGAGCAGCCCCTGGAGGTGGGGGGGAATGGGGGGAGTTGCTGTTTGCTCCGCTCCCCCCGCCCGGGCCCCGTCCCTCCATGTGCGGGCGGGGGGGGGGGGAGAGGGGACAGCCTCCGGCATAAACACATTCCTGAGCCGGCTTAAAGGGGCCGCGGTGCGCCCGGGCCTGGGGGGGGGGCCGGGGGCAGGCGCTGTGTGTCCCTCACTGCGCCCCTCTGGGCCTCCCCGCCACCCCCTTCTCTAGCTACCCCTCCCCCCCACTCCCCCACCCCCTCTATCATACCCCTCCCCTCCCCTCCATCCACCCCCATCCCCCTTCTCTAGCTACCCCCTCAGCCTCCCCTACCCCCTCTATCGTACCCCTCCCCTCCATCCACCCCCACACCGCTCTCTATATTACCCCCTCCACCCACCCCCACCCCCTCTATCGTACCCCTCCCCCATCCATCCCCACCCCTCTCTATTTTACCCCTCCCCCTCCATCCACCCCACACACCGCTCTCTTGCTAACCTCCTCCCCCTCCACCCCCACCCCTTCTCTACCTTACCCCACCCCATCCATCCACCCCCACGCACCACTCTCTAGCTAACCCCCGTCCAATAATCCCCCCATCCAGCCAGCCCCATACACCCATCTATCACCTTTGGGGGGAGTGGGGTCTAGTGGGTTAGAGCAGGGAGGCTGGAAGCCAGGACGCCTGGGTTCTCTTCCCAGCTGCGGGAGGGGAGTGGGGTCTAGTGGTTCGAGGGGTGGGGGAGACTGGGAGCCAGGACTCCTGGGTTCTCTCCCCAGCTCTTTGTACATTTAACTCCTTTCTTTGTGTCCCTCACTCCTTATATGACCCAGACCTGTGTAACATCGCAGAGACCCCCCCCCTCCGCCAGCTATTGCAAGATGTTTCATGACTTTTCTACGTCTCTTTATTTGTGAAACGTGCAGGGACGAGGGGCAGAAAGACACAAGGGCCACCTAAGCTCCCGGCACACCCAGCTCTGCCCGGGCCCCTCACTCCCGACCCGACCCCCCCTCCCCCACTTCGGTCCCTAGCAGGTTGGAGATACCTTCCCTTGTGAGGCTGAGGTCATGGTGACACCCCCCACACACACACACCTCCGGTGTGAGTCAGCGACGCACAATGACCTCAGTGTAGACATCCGAGCCCCTCCGTTGTAATCCCTTCCAAGCCGCTTCCAGGATTAACTGTGGGGGTGGGCGTGGGAAAGGGGTGGGGGACTGGGAGCCCGGACGCCTGGGTTCTCTCCCTGGCTCTGGGAGGGGAGTGGGGTCTAGTGGGTTGGGGGGGGGGGCTGGGAGCCGCCTGGGTTCTCTCCCTGGCTCTGGGAGGGGAGTGGGGTCTAGTGGGTTAGAGGGGGGGGGGGCTGGGAGCCGGGACGCCTGGGTTCTCTCCCTGGCTCTGGGAGGGGAGTGGGGTCTAGTGGGTTGGGGGGGGGGGCTGGGAGCCGCCTGGGTTCTCTCCCCAGGTCTGGGAGGGGAGTGGGGTCTGGTGGGTTAGACGAGGGGGGGCTGGGAACCAGGCCTCCTGGGTTCTCTCCCTGGCTCTGGGAGGGGAGTGGGATCTGGCGGGTTACGGTGGGGGTGGGGGGCTGGGAGCCGGGACTCCTGGGTTCTCTCCCTGGCTCTGGGAGGGGAGTGGGGGTTGGGACCCAGAATGCTTGGGTTCTATGCTTCTCCTGGGGAGGGGAATTGTAACGCGAGCCAGAGAACCCAGGCGTCCTGGCTCCCAGCCCCTCTGCTCTAACCCACTAGACCCCACTCCCCTCCCCTCCCGGATAAGAGCTTGGGAGAGAACCCAGGAGTCCTGGCTCCGACCCGCCTCCCCTTCCGCCTTCCTCTGCCCCCCCCTGCGGCAGGCCCCAGCTCGGCTCGCGGAAGCCGGAGAGTTTTGCTTCCGCTCCACCCTTTCGCAGCGAGCTGAGCCGAGCCGAGCCGAGCCGCGCCGCGCCGCGCCGCGCTCCGGCCTGGCCACCGGGACCGGGGCCGCCGGACAGACCCAGCCGTCCGGACAGGGGGAGCGGGAGGGGGGCTTCGGGGGCAGGGATCCATAGGCGGGGGCAAAGGGGGGCAGAGACAGGAAGGGGGGCGATAGGAGCGGGGGGCGGGGGGGGTCTGTGGGGCCGCAGCGCTAGGTCCCAGCCAGGCAGCCAGCGGGGCAGAGGTGGGCGATCGCTGGTTACAGGGGTAGGCGTGTGGGGGGCTGGATGGACGGGTGGCCTGTTAGACAGACAGACTCCGAGTGAGCCTCCTCTCGGCTTCCCCCCCCACGGTGTCGTTCCCCTCCGCTGCCCCCCTCTCTCCCCCCTCCCCGCCCCGGGCGCCGTCCCCATGTCAGGGCGCACGGTGCGGGCCGAGACCCGCAGCCGGGCCAAGGATGACATCAAGAAGGTGATGGCGGCCATCGAGAAAGTGCGCAGATGGTGAGTGGGCAACGGGGTGGGTGGGTGTGTGCCCCAGCTGCTCCACCCCAGACGTGGCTGCATCTCAGTGCCAGGTAAACCAGCGCCCCCTGCGGCGTTGATGGGCGGCCCTGCCCCAGTGCCCCACCCCAGAAGTGGCTGCATCTCAGTGCCGGGCGAGCCAGCCCCATGGGCGACCCTTCCCCAGCTGACTCGCCCCAGAAGGGGCTGCATCTCCATGCCGGGCGAGCCATCCCCGTGTATAAAGGAACTCTCTGTGACTAGATGCAGGATCAGGCTCTTAATGAGAACAATTAATTATTATTCCATGGTTTTATTAATTATTTTGTTGATCGTTCACCTCCTTTTTTCTATGGAAATTGCTCCTGAGACATGAGTGGCTGTCAAATTATTTACCCTGGCCTAGATGATATGTGTGACATGGATCAGGATAACAGCTTACTACTGCTGCTGTTTAAAGGAGTCTCTGCTTTAACTCAGGGGCTGGAAGGATGCAGTGTGAGGGTTTCATCCCTCATGACAGAGGGTGATAAGCTACCACTGCTCCTCGCTCAAGGCCTGGCCTCTTTAGCTCTGCATGGAGGACAGCAACTTCCCAACGCAACTAGCTAACGGCATCAGTCCTTTAGCACTGCCTAGTGGATAATAACCTACTACTTCTGCTAGTGAATGGCCGTACAATCAGGTCGATGGCGGGGTGGATCTCTGAAGATTTTGGGGGTGAGGGGGATCTCTGGAGGGCTATAATCCACCCCATTGAATTCCTCATCTCCCCCCACCCAGGGAGAAGCGCTGGGTGACCGTGGGCGACACGTCTCTGAGGATCTACAAGTGGGTGCCCATTGTGGACCCCCGGGATGAGGTGAGAGAGGGGCTGAGCGCCGGTCTGTCCCAACCCTGCCCCCTCGTCTGTCTGTCCCTCCCGTGCTCCCCTCGCCCCTCCTTTCCAACACCCCCCATTTGGAGGCCATCTCTACCCCCCCGCTCTCTTCCCTTCCCTGCAGGAGAAGCGGCGACTGGCTAGCAGTGGGGAGCGGCACAAGGGCCGGGAGAGGAGGGGGCGCGTGCCCAGCCCCCGGGCCAACCCCGCCCTCCTCATGCTGGACCTGAACGGTACGTTGCTGGCTGGGGAGGGCCCCCCCCGGGTCATCTAGTCCAACCCCTGGCGAGATGCAGGGTTTGCTGTGTCTGAACCATCCCGGACAGGTGGCTCCAGCCTCCTCTTAAAACCCTCCAGCGAAGACGCTTCCACGACCCTCCCTCAGCAGGTCCGTGCCACGGTCCTCCTGTTCTTACTGTCAGGACGGGTTTCCTGAGATTTCATCTCAATCTGCTCTGCTGTAGTTTGAACCCGCGGCCTCTTCTCCTGCCCTCTTTGCCAACTTTTCTCCATCCTTTTCATGGCAGCCTTTCAAGTATTTGAGGACCATCCTCATGGGTCCCGCTCCAGCTCCTCTTTTCCAAACGTTCCCAGGTCCTCCGGCCTTTGCTCAGGTGGCTTGCCTCCCATTCCTTTGATCACAGAATCATAGAATATCAGGGTTGGAAGGCCCCCTCAAGGATTGAACTCACAACCCTGGGTTTAGCAGGCCAATGCTCAAACCACTGAGCTATCCCTCCCCCCCCCGAACTAACTTTCATAGAATATCAGGGTTGGAAGGGACCTTGGGAAGTCACCTAGTCCAACCCCCTGCTCAAAGCAGGACCAATCCCCAATTTTTGCCCCAGATCCCTAAATGGCCCCCTCAAGGATTTCACTCACAACAAGCCTGGGTTTAGCAAGCCAATGCTCAAACCACTGAGCTATCCATCCTCCCCCTGAGCTATCCATCCTCCCCAAATCATCTTTGTCACTTTGTCACGCCGCTGGACCCTTTCCAGTTTCTCCACATCCTGTCTGTACGCCGGTGCCCAAAATTGGACAGTCCTCCAGCCGAGGCCGAACCGGTACCATGCCCTCCCGTGACTGGCATATTATGCTTCTGTTACGTTGCATTTGCTTTAGTTAGTTAGTTTTTGCCACAGCAGCACGTTGCTGACTCTCATGCGAAGGTTGTGATCCACCACGACTCCCAGATCCTTCCCAGCAGGGCTGCTGCCAAGCCAGTTACCCCCCCTTCTCTTTGTGCATTTGGTGTTTCTTCCCTAGGTGTAGCACCCTACATTTGTCTTTAGAATCATAGGGCTGGAAGGGACCTCGGGAGGTCATCTAGTCCAGTCCCCTGCACTCACGGCAGGACTGAGTATTATCTAGACCAGCCCTGACAGGGGTTTGTCCAACCTGCTCTTAAAAATCCCCAGTGATGGAGACTCCACAACCTCCCTAGGTGATTGATTCCAGGGCTTAACCACCCTGACAGGTAGGAAGTTTTTCCTGATGTCCAACCTAAACCATCCTTGCTGCAATTTAAGCCCCTTGCTTCTTGTCCTAGCCTCAAAGGTTAAGAAGAACAATTTTTCTCCATCCTCCGTGTAACAACCTTTTACATACTTGAAAACTGTTCTCATGTCCCCTCTCCGTCTTCTCTTCTCCAGACTAAACAAACCCAGTTCTTTCAATCTTCCCTCACAGCTCATGGGTTCTAGACCTTGAATCGTTTTTGTTGCTCTTCTCCGGACTCTCTCCAATTTGTCCACATCCTTCCTGAAATGTGGCACCCAGAACTGGACCCGATACTCCACTTGAGGCCTAATTAGAGCAGAAGAATTACTCCTCGTGTCTTGCTGACAACACTCCTGCTGATACAGCCCAGAAGGATGTTTGCTTTTTTTTGCAACAGCGTGACACTGTTGACTCACACTTAGCTTGTGATCTGCTCTGACCCCCAGATCCCTGTCCACAGCACTCCTTCCTGGGCAGTCATTGCCCATTCTGTGTGTTGAATTTCATTCTGTCTGTGGCCCAGTTTTCCAATTTATCAAGATCCCGCTACGCTCCAAAGTGTTGGCAAGCCCCCTAGCGTTGTGTCATCTGCAAATTTTGTCTATTTTTACAGCCAGGTCATTAGTGAAGATGTTAAACAATGCCGGACCCAGAACGGATCTCTACGGAAACCCGGCATCATTCCGTTAATAGCTACTCAACCAATTATGTATCCACTTCATGGTATTTGTGTTGAGCGTGCATTTTCCCAGCTTACTTATCAGACGGTCACGTGGGACTGTGTCAAAAGCCTGGCTGAAATCCGGTTATATTATGCGCACCGCATTCCCCCCATCCACCTCGGGTGGCCAGAGGACTGTCCCGATTTTTAGGTCTTTGTCCCGCGTCCCGACCGATGCACGGTTGGGACACCGTTTGCCCCGCTATTGCGGCTTTGCCCACTCCAGTGGGGTTTTTTTGTTGGGTTTTTTTAGCTTTGGCAACTCCGACTGGTTTTTTGTTTTTGTATTTGCTTCCCACATGTGTCCCGATGTTTTCTCCGTCACATCTGGTCACCCTATATCCACCAAACCCGTTACCCTGTCAAAGAAGGAAATCAAGCTGGTTTGGCAGGCTTGGTTCTTGGTCACGCCATGCTGGCTGCCGGTGATCACCCCGTTCATCCTCCCGGTATTCACAGATTGAAGGGTTGACACGTTTCTCCAGCAGCTTCCCAGGTATCGAACTCAGGCTGACTGGTCTCTCGATCCCCGGCTCCTCCGTTTTCAAGATGGGTGCTGCGCTAGCCTTTCCGGGACCTCTTCACTCATCCCTGAGTTTGCAAATATTATTGCCAGTAGCTCCGAGAGGTCTTCCGCTAATTCTCCTCGTCCCGATCTGCAACCCTTCCCCGGTTTGGGCTGTGGTAACTTCGCGAGTCGCCCGGTCACATGTCATTTTGTGTGTGAGGACTGCAGCAAAGTAGGCCTTGAGCAGCTTTGCCTTCCTATCGTCTTCCCTTGGCAGCTCACCGTCTCCACTGAGCCGCGGATCCGCGCCGTCCTTGGTCTTTCTTTTTTGTCTGACGTATTTGAAGAACCTCTTCTTGTCTCTCGCATTCCTTGCCAGCTGGAACTCATTCTTTGCCTTGGCCTGCCTGATTTTGTCCCTACACGCTCCTGCGGTTCCTATGTAGACGTCCTGCGTCCTCCTGGCTGAATCCCTTTCGAGCTTTCGGTGGCTAAAACGCTCCTCGTGCGGCCACCTGGGCTCTTCTCTTTCCTCTGCATCGGAACAGCTTGATGTCGAGCCTTTAGTATTAAATCTTTTAGGAACTGCCAGCCCCCTTTGATTCCTTTTCTTCCTAATTGGTCTTTCCATGGGACACCGCCTGCTAGTTCTCCGAGTCGGTGGAAATCCGCCTTTCTGAAGTCCAGTGTCCTTGTTTTGCTGTTCTCAGGCCCGACTTTCCACAGGATCTTGAAATCTGTCGGATCCTGATCGCTTCCTCCCAAATTCCCGACCACCTTCACGTGGGCAACTCATTCATCCCTCTGGGTCCAAGCCAGCTCCAAACGGGGTGGATCCCCGAGTTGTTTCCTCAGCCGTCTGGATCAGAAAGCTGTCCCCTTCCCACGCGAAGAATTTGCAGGATGTTCTGCTGCCACTGTTTTCCAGCAGATATCAGGGGAGTTAAGATCCCCCGTTAATACCAGCTCAGGACTCTGACCCCCAGACTGAGGAGATGACACCCAGGTGTCCAGAATGGGAGTGAACATTTGGGATGGCACCGTAAGAGTTCACCTCAAAGGGGCCCTGGGGATCAAGGGGATGGGACACAGGCATCTGGGAAGTCCGTGCTTCCAGCCCTGAGGAGATGACAGGATGGGACCCAGGCGTCTGGGATGGCAGTGGGCCCATCATGTCTGGAGTAAGGGGATGGGACCAGGCATCCTGGATGACAACGTCCCCAGCCCCCAGACGAGTGAACGATGGGACCCAGGCATCCGAGACGGCCCCCGCCTGTAACTCTCTCCCCTTTTCAGATGAGAACAGCAACCAGAGCTCATTGTCTGAGACCTCCCTGGCCAAGGGGGGAGACACCAGCTCCAGCCCCACCCCCGACCGCAGCCAGACGGCGACCCCCACCCCGCTGGGGGAACTGAAAGCAGAGGACTCGCAGCCCCCCATGCTGGGGCAGGAAGGGGGTAAGTACCATGGTGGTGGGGGGGGATGGGAAGAGGAGGGAGGCCATGTTCCCAGCCTCCAAAGGAGGGGGGGAGCGTGTGGAACCCAGGAGCCCGGGACCCCCAGCACTCCTCAGGCGTGACAGAATCCAGGATGGCATCACTTCAAGGCCCAAGGGAGTGAGGGGATGGGACCCAGGCAGCCGGATGGCCGTGCTTCCCGGAGGGCAACAACAGAGGGGCGCTCCATAGGGTTACTGGGGGTGAGCTGGCACCAAGGACCTATAACCCCAGGGTACTCCCTTGTCTTCATTCCTATCTGGGTGCAGACTCTGGGGTGTTGCTACTTGAGGGGACGGATGAGCCCCCCATGCTGACCAAGGAGGACCCTGTTCCAGGCCTACTGGAGTCACAGGTGCAGGGGGAAATTGAGGGGTGAGGGGCATGGAGGTGGGTTGAGCGTAGACTGGGGAGCGCATGGTGGGGGAAAATGCATGGAGGAGTGGAATTGAAGGATGTATGGAGTGGAGGTGTTGGGTCAGGTGCATGGGGGTGAAGGGTACGTGGGGGTGGGTTGAGTGGGAGGTGGGTTGGGTGGAGGTTGGCCCGTTGGGTGGAGGTTGGGTTGGGTTGGGTGGAGGTTGGCCCATTGGCAATGGTTGGGTTAGGCAAAGGTTGGGTTGGGTTGGGACGAGTGGAGGTCGGGCCATTGGTGAAAGTTGGGTTGAGCTGGGTTGCGTCGAGGTTGAACCGTTGGCAAAGGTTGGGTTAGATTGGGCTAGGTGGGTGGAGGTTGAGCCACTGGCACTGATTGGGTTGGGTGGAGGTTGGGTTGGGTTGGGTGGAGGTGGGGCCATTGGCCCGCAGGTCTCATTGCTTATGTTGGGGTGGGTGCTTACCCGTGGCACAGGAGAAAGTAGGGAGGTTGATGGGGATCTCTGGGTGGGATCGAGGCTGGCATACCAAGGTTGCTGGGGTGTCCATCCCCCAGGCTGCTCTCTCTCGATGTATAACACCCCTTCCTTGTTTCCCCAAAGGGCCAAGAGGATGCACCCCCCTTTGAGACGGCCCCAACCTTCCCGCAGCCGGTGCTGGAAGAAGAGGATGATGAGTCCATGGGGGCACCTCCCCTGAAGCGCATCTGCCCCGAGGAGCAGGAAGTGGGTGCCCCCCACTCCCCATAGACCTAGCCTCGTCCCTGCCTTCTTCCCGGCTGGAGAGCATGGGGGGCAGAGGGGGAGCGGGGCAGGAAGTGAATCATGCTTGCCAAATGCAAAAGGACCAAAGACACTTTGAAGAGGATGTTGAAGAGGGTGTTGGTGTTGGGTCAGGACTCCTGGGAGGGGAGTGGGAGCAGGTGGGTTAGAGCAGGGGCGGACGCGGGGCTGGGAGCCAGGGCTCCTGGGTTCTGTCCCTTGCTCTGAGAAGGGAGTGGGAGGAGATGGGACGTGGCTAGGGAAAGATGGGCAGCATCCCCTGATGCCAGACTTTGAGGAGGCCTGGGTGAATTTTACATTCTCTGTGTATATACGTATTTTTTTGGTCTGAACAATAGACTTTGCTATTAAACTGCTAATGTGGTTCTGTGCCAGTCATTTAACAGCAACCCCCACGCAGCCTCAGCCCTCTTGAGCCAGGTGAATGTCTCCTCTGCACCCCAGCACTGAGATGCAACCACCTCTGGGGTGGGACAGCTGGGAAACAGCCACACAGCGATGGAGCAGGGGGATGACTCCCCCCGCTGCTTAAAAACACAGCTTTGGTGTCCCCATCTAGGTCTGTTCCTTTTGGGGTGATGGGCCAGGGGATGGGGCTGTATCTGGACTATAACGGAGGCCTCCTACAATTCCGTGAACAGGGCCTACCTCTGCCCTCATACTACCAAGGTTCGAGGGAAGGCTGTACCCCAGTCTGGGGTCTGGTGGGTTAGAGCAGAGAGAGCTGGGACTCCTGGGTTCTATCCCCAGCTCTGGAAGGAAAGTGAAGTCGTGTGGGTCAGAGCAGGGGCGGGGTTGGGAGTCAGGACTCCTGGGTTCTATTCATAGATTCCAAAGCCAGAAGGAACCATTGTGATCATTCAGCCTGACTTCCTGGGTAACGGGCCGGAGAACGTCCCCCCAAAAATCATTCCCAGCACGGAGCTTTTTGGACAACATCCACTTCTGGTTTTAAAATGGTAAGGGACGCAGGATCCACTGCCACCCCTTGGTAAAGTGTTCCCGTGGTTAATTACCTTCACGGGTCAAAACTTTTCCCGTACTTCTATGCTGAATTTGTCGAGTGTCAACTTCCAGCCATTGGAGTGTGTTTAGATCTTTGTCTGCTAGATAGATGAGCCCGTTATCAAACCTTTGTTTCCCATGTAGGTATTTCTAGACTGGGATCAAGTCACCTCTGGACTTTCTCTTTGTTAAGCTAAATAGATGGAGCTCCCTGAGTCTGTCATGGTAAGATGTGTTTTCTAATCCTTTAATCATTCTCGTGACTCTTCTCTGACCCCTCTCCAATCAATCAATATCCTTGAATGGCACCAGAACTGGACAGAGGATTCCGGCTGCGCTCGCACCAGGGCCAGACCCAGAAGTAAAATAACCTCCCTGCTCCTGGAGGGTCCCTGGCTTGTGCACCCCACAGGCTCACCGGCAGCTCATGTCCAGCTGATGACCCACCATGACCCCCAAATCTCTTTCAGGGTTGCTGCTTCCCAGGAGAGCTTCCCCCAGCCCGTAAGCACGGGCGACATGCTTTGTTCCTCGGTGGATACATTGATGTCGAGCCGTATTAAAACACCTATTGTTTGCTTGCGCCCAGCTTACCAAGCGAGCCACATCTCTCTGGAGCAGTGACCTGGCCTCGTCATTATTCACCACTCCCCCAATTTGTGTGGCATCTGCAAACTTTCTCAGGGATGATTTGATGTCGGCTTCCAGGTCAGTGATAAAAATGTTAGCGTAGGGCCAAGAACGGCTCCCTGCAGGACCCCGCTAGAAGCATGCCTGCTCGCTGGCGATTCCCTGGTTACAGTTACAGTTTGAGACCTATCAGTTAGCCAGTTTTTAACCCATTTAACGTGAGTCATGGTCATTTTATATCAGTCTGGGTTTTAATGAGAATGACAGGCCGTACCAAGTCAAATGCCTTACAAAAGTCTGTTACATCAACATGATTACCTTTATCAAGCAAACATTCCCTGGTCCGGCTTCCGCTTGAGGGTCTCAGCAGAGTGGCAGCAGATGGCGTCTTTCAGGGTCCTTTCCAGCATCGTTCTGGCGGTCGGGGTGACGACGGTGTGGTCTGAGGTCTTTATGCATGGCACCAGTATTCCCAGCTCATCACAAAGAGAGATATCAAGTTAGTTTGACCGGATCTATTTTCCGTAAACCCATGGTGATTGGCATTAATTATAGGACCCTTTAATTTATTATGAATGGATTCCTGTATCAGCTGCTCCATTATTCTGCCCAGCATCGATGTCAGGAAAACAGGCCTACAATTCCCCATTTACCCTTTTTAAATATTGGCACAATATTAGCTTTCTTCCAGTCTTCTGGAACTTCCCTGGTGCCCTCCGGCTTATTGAAAATCAGCATTGACCATCCAGCAAGCTCCTCAGCCAGCTCTTTTAAAACTCTTCGATGCAAGTTAGCCAGACGTGCTGATTTAAAAATATCTAATTTTAGTGGCTGTTGTCTAGCTGCCCGAAAAAAGCAGGAGAATACACCCTGAGTTCTAAGGCTTTGAGTCCCCCCAGGAGGCACCCCACACCCTCCCAGGCCAACCTGGTGCAAGTGTTTGACAAGCTCTGCTAAAAGAATACATTGATTGTAAATTCTTTTATACATTGTTTTAATTTGTTAAGTGTGTTATAATATTTGGAGAGCAGGGCCCCATTGTGGTGGGCGCTGGACTGTTTCCCCCCCCCCCAACTGAGATTGGGGGACCTATCATGCCGGGTGCTGCCCTGGCCCCCTCCAACTGAGATCAGGGTCCCCATTGTGTTGGGCGCTGCACTGACCACCCCCAACCAAAATCAGAGGCCCTGGCACATTGGGAGCTGCACCGACCCCCTCAATTGAGATTGGGGGCCCTGTTACATCAGGTGCTGTACTGACCCCCTCCCCCCTGGATTGAGGAAAACCCCACTCCCTCCTGCAGTTTGGGATTGAACTCCTGGGTTCCATCCCTGGCTCTGGGAGGGGAGTGTGGTCCAGTGGGTTAGAGCAGGGGGCACTGGGAGCCAGGACTCCTGGGTTCTCTCCCCGGCTCTGGGAGGGGAGTGGGGTCTAGTGGGTTAGAGCAGGGGGAGCTGGGAGCCAGGACTCCTGGGTTCCATCCCTGGCTCTGGGAGGGGAGTGTGGTCCAATGGGTTAGAGCAGGGGGCACTGGGAGCCAGGACTCCTGGGTTCTCTCCCCGGCTCTGGGAGGGGAGTGGGGTCTAGTGGGTTAGAGCAGGGCGGCTGGAAGCCAGGACTCCTGGGTTCCATCCCTGGCTCTGGGAGGGGAGTCCGACTATTTTGGAGAGGTATATGGGTTGGGGAGATGTGCTGCAAGGGGCCTGAAGGGCTTATGGGGCTGGATGGGGTTGGGGGGGGTCAGAGGAGAGAATTAGCTGGGGTCTCAGCAGGCATCAAAACCATCCTTCCCCTCTCTAGCCGAGTGGCACCTCGTCAGCAGAAATCAGGGCCAGGGAAGAGCCTGGCAAGGGCCCCGTGAGGCTGGGGAGCTGGACGCTGCTCCTCCCCAGGGACGTCAGACCCGTCTCCTGAGTCCAGCCTGGGGAGGTGCCTTGTTGTTGGGCCCCATTCCTCGGCTCCGGCATCTGGCCACTGGCCCTGGGTGCCTCTTCCTGGCTACCGCTGCCTGCTCTGACCCCTGGGCCTGAGGTCTGCTCTAGCCACTAGGCATGACTGCCCGTGGCCCCATCTCGGCCGCCAGCCTGGGCTTGGGGTTCCCCTTTCCTGCTCCCCAGTTCATTTGACACCTTCTCAGCTCTCCCCGCGTCTTCCCTCTCCTAAGTCAGCAGATCCGCTGAGCTCGGCCAAAGCACAAGTCCAGAATATCCTCTCCGTGGCTCAGACACCTCCTGGGATGTTGTCGGCCGACCCTGCCTGTACGTAGGAAACAAAACCACCGCTTTCCCCTTCCACTCAGCCCTCTGTGCCCAGCGGATGGGCCTTGTGGCCTGTGCAGGGGTGGGATAATCATGCTGGGCTCATCGGTGGAGATCAGAGTCTGGCCCCGGCCCCCCTCGCGTCCGTGGGGTCGCACCGGCTTCATGCCGGAGTCTCCGAGATCAGATTCTGGCCTGGTTCTGTTGGTGTCAGTGGGGTTGCCAATAAAGACAGAGTCTATGTTGATGCATTTGCATTTCTGCATGGTGCGGGGGGAAGGATCTGCGCCAGACGTTCTTGGGGAGAGCCCAAGAGGACGTAGCCCAGCATCCCAAGGGAGCAGCAGCCGTGTGGGACGTTCTGGGGATCCAGGAAGACGTACACGGCAGCACGCTTGGCACACATGTCCCATGATCGTGGGGGATGCCTACCGATGAATTCCCCCGTCCCTCCAACCTCCTCCAGCACCAAGGATACCTCAGCCACTGGCAGGCTGCAGGGGAACCCCATCTCTGCCCCGACTATGGCTCGGGATTCACCCAGTGCTCAGAACTGACAGCGCACCACATGGTGCTCCAGAGTGGCAAGGGATCCCACTACAGACACCAATGTGGAGAGACCCCCCCCTCCCTTCTAGTGCTGCCACTGCAGAAAGGGGTTTATGTGGGCACAGAAATGCGATTCCCGTGAAGGATGGAGAGATTCCACCAGGTGCCTACACTTTTGGAATTCTCTCCGAAAGCACATTTGGTTTCAGGGCGATCAAAGTGTTTCATTTTGACAAAAGCACTGGTAGCGGGACCCCTGAGAAAAAGCTCAGGGTGAGATTTTTGGGCAGGAGCGCTGGCTGGAAGGAGGCATGGGATTGTAAGCAAAGAAACTGTCTCCTGCTGTTTTGAATCTCCTTAGGGTCAGGAAGACAGGACTTTGTGTCTGCCCTTTGTAAATAAACAGGATTGCATCAAAGAAAGACCAGACTGGTATCATCAGTTTCTCCTTCAACCCTGGGAGATAAAGTTCTAGGGGTAACTGACTCCTGCCTGAGCCGATTGCCTTGAGATGGGGGAGCTGTTCTGATTGTGACCAATGCAGCCACCCGGCCTCGGCCTGCAGAGAGCCTGAGCCCACCGCTCTGAGCATCAACTTCCTTGCGCTTCTCGATCTCTGCCTGCCGACTTTGGCATTCACTATTCCCTTGCTGATCCTTGCAGTGGCTGGAGAGGGAGTGGGAGTGATGCCAGTTGGGACAGGATGCGGGAAGGAAGGAAATCTGGAGCGCTCAGTTTATATCCCTAAGTGGATGTGGACTCCGGCTCTGGTAGTAGGTTGTTGTCCTCCAGCATATGAGCCGTTCAGTGGAGCCATGACACGGGAGGAGTAGCGCCATCAACTGAAGCAGCTACTAAAGGAGTGACTCCCTCATCTGCCAGCGGTTGCAGGTTGGTACCCTCTAGCAGAGCAGCCACTGGACACCAGCAGAGCTAAGGAAATCCCTCAGTTCAGAGGGGGATTCATGGCTGCAGGAGGGGGCAGGGGGTGAGCTTGAGCCCAGACAGATGCCCCTCAAGCTAGGGGGCAGCACCTTCAGTGCTGAGATCAGAACTGGCTACCACGGAGCAGCCAAGGGGCAGGGAAGGTGAGAGATTTCCTGAGGCAACAGACCTGCAGGCCCGACCCAGGCCCAGACTCCCCCATTCCCAGCACGACACCCTGGCCGGCCCCCAGCTCTGGATCATAGAAGATCAGGGTTGGAAGGGACCTCAGGAGGTCACCCAGTCCAACCCCCTGCTCAAAGCAGGGCCAATCCCCAACTAAATCATCCCAGCCAGGGCTTTGTCAAGCCAGGCCTTAAAAACCTCCAAGGATGGAGATTCCACCACCTCCCTGGGGAACCCATTCCAGTGCTTCACCACCCTCCTAGAGAAATAGTGTTTCCTAATATCCAACCTAGACCTCCCCACGGCAACTTGAGACCATTGCTCCTCGTTCTGTCATCTGCCACCACTGAGAACAGTCTAGATCCATCCTCTTTGGAGCCCCCCTTCAGGTAGTTGAAAGCAGCTATCAAATCCCCCCCTCATTCTTCTCTTCCGCAGACTAAACAATCCCAGCTCCCTCAGCCTCGCCTCATAACTCATGTGTTCCAGCCCCCTAATCATTCTTGCTGCCCTCCGCTGGACTCCTTCCAATTTGTCCACATCCCTTCTGTAGTGGGGGGACCAAAAGTGGACACTGTACTCCAGGTGTGACCTCACCAGTGCCGAATAAGGATCCCCTTATGCAGCAGATTCTGGGCTGCGGTTTCCTGAGCCCTGCAATTCTCCGCTGCGTAACTGGAGCGATTTCAGACGCCCGCACCAATCCTCGCCATTTTTTATCTTCAGTCTCCTGACACTTGGGGGTGTTTGAATTCATGCCCCACGTGGTGCAGCCAGGAGATGGGCTAACAAGCTCAGCTTGCATTTAAGGCAGGATGCCTGGGTTCTATCCCTGACTTGGGGCGGGGGGGGGGTATTGGGGTCTCATAGTTAGAGTGGGGGCTGGGAGCCAGGACTCCTGGGTTCTATCCCCAGCTCTGCGAAGGGAGTGGGGTCTAGTGGTTAGATCTGGGGGAGCTGGGAGCCAGGACTCCTGGGTTCTATCCCGGCTCTGTGAAGGGAGTGAGGTCTAGTGGTTAGATCTGGGGGGAGCTGGGAGCCAGGACTCCTGGGTTCTATCCCCGGCTCTGTGAAGGGAGTGGGGTATAGTGGTTAGATCTGGGGGGGAGGGCTGGGAGCCAGGACTCCTGGGTTCTATCCCTGAGTCCGGGAGGGGAGTGGGGCCTAGGGGGGTAATCTAGGAATCAGAACCATGTGCCCCCAAAACACATGTGTCTATCTTCCTTCTCCTGCACACCAGGCCAACCCCATTGGTGGCACATGTGTAACCGACAGGAGAATTTGAACCAGAAGAGGAGACAGACAAGAGTGTGGGGAAGCAGGAATTATTCGCTGTGAGTGGACACTCTAGATGCCTCTCCCCTCGCAGATCTGGGGAGAGAACCCGGGAGTCCAGGCTCCCAGCCCCCCTGCTCTAACCCACTCGCCCCCACTTCCCTCCCAGAGCTGGGGAGGGAACCCAGGAGTCCTGGCTCCCAGCCCCTCCCCCCCCCGGTCTAACCCACTAGCCCCCACTCCCCTCGCAGAGCCGGGGAGAGAACCCAGGAGTCCGGGCGGAGGCGGGGCTAGAACCCGGCGCCCAGCTGGCGAGGACCATAGAGCGTGTTCCTGTCTGGCTCCGGGAGCAGGCGGGAGCGGGAAGTAGCGTAACAGGGTGGGTGGGTTGGGGACAGGATACGTAAAGGGACCTTCCTCCGCTCGCCAGCCAGTCACCCTGAGCCCCGGGCCCGGCGCCTGGCCACCCCGGGGGGAGCCCGGATCATGGGGGCCGCTCTGCGCACGGGCAGCCTGGGGGCATAGCCCTCCCCCGCCCCGGGCAGCGCCGGCCGGAGCGGTGAGTGGGGCCCGGCGGGGGGGGAGCCAGCGGGAACAATAGAGGGTGAGCGGGGAGGGGGGGGGGTCAGAGGGAGAGGGAGACGCAGCCCAGCCCACTAGTCCCCACTCCCCTCCCAACGCAAGAGAGAGAACCCAGGAGTCCGGGCTCCCAGCTCCCCCCGCCTTCTCTAACCCATTCCTCTCCCACAGTGGGGGAAAGAACCCAGGAGTCCTGGCTCCCAGCCCCCGCTCTAACCCACTAGTCCCCACTCCCCTCCCAGAGCTGGGGATAGAACCCAGGAGTCCTGGCTCCCAGCTCCCCTGGCCTTCTCTAACCCACTCCCCACCCAGAGCTGGGGAGAGAACCCAGGAGTCCTGGCTCCCAGCCCACCCTGCTCTAACCCACTAGCCCCCACTTCCCTTCCGCAGCTGGGGAAAGAACCCAGGAGTTCAGGCCTCCCAGACCCTTCCTGCTTTAAGTGCTAGAGACCCCACTCCCCTCCCAGAACCGGGGATTGAACCCAGGAGTCCGGGCTTCCAGCCCTCCTGCTCTAACCCCCAGACCCCATTCCCCTCTCAGAACTAAGGATAGAACCCAGGAGTCCTGGCTCCCAGCCCCCCCCCCCCCCGAGCAATATTAGTGGGGGCTCAGTGCAGCTGAGCCCAGCAGGGACCCCCAACCCAGTCAGCTAGTTCCCCCAGAAATGTGCAGATTGAAACTTTGCCCGTCTCTTCCATTGCTCCACGGGGGGGGGGGGGGGGTTATTGCTAATCCCTAGGTGAAGAAGGGGTTGATCTGTGTTAAAATACACCCCGATGTCTTCTGTGCCATGGTGCGGCATCTAGCGCGGTGGCCGGGAGAGCGAGCGGCGTCCGTGGGTGGACGGAGACACGCCGGGCAGGGAGCTGGTTTCCCCGCTCCCTGTGAGGCTGGTGAGACTGTCCCAGGCGCACCCTGTCCCGGGCTTGTGTCCACGGTTCCAGATTTGGGGTGGCTTCGGAGGGGCCGCACAAAATTGCCTGACCAGAAGTCAGGAGTCCTGGGTTCTCTGGGAGGGGAGTGGGGCCTAGTGGTTAGAGCAGGGAGGGCTGGGAGCTAGGACTCCTGGGTTCTCTATCTAGGCTCTGGGACTGGAATGGGGTCTAGTGGTTAGAGCTGGGGGGGCTGGGAGCCAGGACTCCTGGGTTCTCTCCTAGGCTCTGGGACTGGAATGGGGTCTAGTGGTTAGAGCGGGGGGGCTGGGAGCCAGGACTCCTGGGTTCTGGCTCTGGGTGGGGAGTGGGGTCTGGTGCGGGGGAGCGGAGAGGCTGGGAGCCAGGACGCCTGGGTTGTTGCCCCAGGTCTGGGAGGGGAGTGGGAACTGAATCGTGGGAAGCAGTGACTCTGGAAAGGATTGGGGTTCATAACAGCCGCACCACTCAACCCGAGCTCCCCGTGATACAAATTGGACCCTCGGCCACATTAACGAGAGCGTCCATGCCGCTGGCAGAATCGCGCGGGCAGTCCTGGGGGCAGTAGGGTGACCAGACAGCAAGTATAAAATATCGGGATGGGGGTGTGGGGGGGTAACAGGTGCCTATATAAGAAAAAGCCCCCAAAATCGGGACATCTGGTCACCCTAGGGGACGTGGGTGAATTGTCGAGGACCCCCCAAAACGAGGCGAGGGCGGGAGAAAGCCTCCGAGAGCGAGAGACTTCGAGGCGACCCGAGACCCTCCTTGCTACTGACGAGCTCTTGAGCCGAGAAAGACGGCTGACGAGTCCGTGGGCGGCTGCTAAAACCCAAACGAGTCCCCACGGGGAATAAGACCGCACGTTTTCAACGCTGTGGGTGACTGTCCATTGGAACAGACTCCTACGGGCCGGGGTGGGTTTCCCGTCTCTTGAGGCCTTCCAGTCCAGACTGGCTGCCTTCCCGGGAGATGCTTGAACCAAACACAAGGGCCTGGGCTCCATAGCAGGGGAGTTCTCCTGCCTGGGTTATACAGGAAGGCAGACGCGTCCCCGGCCCTTAAATAGGATGAAATTCAGTAAGGACCAAGGCCAAGTGCAAAGTTCGGGCAGGAGCCACGCCTTGCCCAGACACAAAGCGGGGAACGATGGCCTAGGAGGGACTGCTGCACAAAAGGCCCCCGGGGCGAAATATGAGTCAACAAGGTGATGCCGTTGCAAGGAAAAACCCCAACCCCGTGACCTACCGGGAGCGGTTGGGCCTTTCTTCAGGCTGGAGGAGAGAAGACCGAACGGGGAGACGAGGGCAGTTTTCAAGCCCGTGACAGAGGGTGACAAAATTGTGATAAATTGTTCTCCTGCTCCACGGAGCACGGGGCAAGAAGCAATGGGCTTCAATTGCGCCGGACCACGGGAGCCAGGAGAGCCCTTCCCTTCCCGCCCGATGTTTCGATGATCATAAATAATGATTGTCACGAAACCAACCGCCATTCGGCAGGCCCCCCCGCTGCCGGCCAGTGTTCTGTCCGGCTGATCTTCTGGGATTTAGGCTCTTAGGCGCGGCTCAAAGCCTCACTGCAGAGCCGGGCTGCGGGGTTGTCGTTCTTACCAGCAACGGATTTCCCCCTTTTTCTCCCCCAAATTAGTAGACGGCTGTCCGGGAAGGAGCCGTCCTGAAACTGGCAGAGATGGGGTGAAAAATCTGCGCTCGCCCAAATCTATCTATTTATCGTACCTATCTTTCTAGCTGGGGCGCAGGGGGTGGGAGCCAGGACTCCTGGGTTCGCTCCCCAGCTTTGGGAGGGGAGTGGAGGTCTAGTGGGTTAGAGCAGGGGCAGCTGGGAGCCAGGACTCCTGGGTTCTCTCCCCAGTTCTGGGAGGGGAGTGGGGTCTAGTGGGTTGGGGGGGGCTGGGAGCCAGGAGTCCTGGGTTCTCTCCCCAGCTCTGGGAGCGGAGTGGGGTCCACTGGGTTAGAGCAGGGGCATCTGGGAGACAGGACTCCTGGGTTCTCTCCTCAGCACTGGGAGGGGCGTGGGGTCCAGTGTGTTAGAGCAGGGGCTCTGGGAGCCAGGACTCCTGGTTCCTATGTTGAGCTCTGGGAGAAAAGTGGGGTCTTACATAGGGCAGCACCTGGCACGACAGGGGCCCCTGATCTCAGTCAGGGTCCGTCCAACCCCCAGCAGAATGGTGTTACTGTAATTTAAATCATAAGAGTCATTGACTCAAGAGTCCACAGGCTTTTAGGTGGCTTTAAAGTTGCTGAAGACGCAAGGGCCAAAAAAAAAAAAAGCCAAGTTTTTGCCGGGCTTTTAAAGGGATAAAAACCAAGCACCTGGTCCAAGGTTCCCGAGCTGAGGATTTAAAGCGAGGCAGCTGCATCCATGTTGAAGGAAGTCCGGACTGGATTCCGATCTGGGCGATCCTCGTGCAAATCCGGAGCGACCCCAATGCAGTCATGGCTGGGTTCTGATCTCCGTGACCCTGGCTCTACGCAGGGTGAGCTGGGCTTGCAGCCAGGGATTTTGGAGCCCGAAATCTCAACCCTTCCCCTGACTCATCGTGGACCCCCGGGCAAATTACTTCATCGTTCTAATTCAGCTCCTGGTGTGTCAGGCAGGGCTAAGAATACCTACCTCACAGGGCTGTTGGGAGGATTAATTAGCTAATGCGCTCTAATTGCTTTGAAGATTAAAAGAAACCTGCATGGAAACTTGACAAGGGCTGTAAATTTCGTCTGAATAACCCAGGCCGGGAGGGCAGATTCCTGGGGCTGATGGCGGGGAACCTACTCCACTTCTCACCGGGATCAGGCGTCGGGACGGATTCGGATCTCGGTGACCTCTGTGTAAATCTGGAGCGACACCTGTGGGGACAAGGATCTGGGAGGAGAGGGGGGGTCTAGTGAGTTAGAGCAGGGGGGACTGGGAGCCGGGACTCCTGGGTTCAGTTTCTGACACGAATGAGCCCTCCGTGCCTTAGTTTCCTCGGCTATAAAATAGGATTAACAGGCCCCTCCTGCACCTGGGTTATGTGCTTTGAGATCCAGCCAGGGAAAGAGCTACATGGTCGAGCAAAGGGTTAATCTGATCCCTGCCTAGGAACTCCCCATCCCTGCTTCCCCCTCCAAGGGTGGGATCCTCCCATGAGGGCAGGTCCTGACCCAGGCATCCTTGTCATTCTAGGTGCCCACGGCTGGGGAGGAGCGGATCTATGGTTAGAGCAGGGGGGGCTGGGAGCCAGGACTCCTGGGTTCTCTCCTCCCTGTGCAATTACCTGCTTTTCTTTTCTCCATGTGCAGATTATCCCGATTCTTCCCCCGCTGTGACCTCCCGGATGGAGAGAGGGGAAGAGCCGAGCGTCCCGGATCTCCAGGGCTCCGAGGAAAGGGAGATCTCAGGAGGTACCCACACACATAAGGAATGGGAGAGACCGGCTTGGAGACTGTCCAGGAATCAACTGAGGCTGGGCTCCTTGGTTTTCTGGGAGGGGAGTGGGGGCTGGGGGCCAGGACTCCTGGGTTCTCTCCCCAGCTCTGGGAGGGGAGTGGGGACTAGTGGGTTAGAGCAGGGGGATTGGGAGTCAGACCTCCTTGGTTCTATACCTGTAGGGGGAGTGCAACTTTCACTGGTCTAGCCCACTAGACCCCACTCCTGTCCCAGAGCCAGGGAGAGAACCCTGGAGTCCAGACTCCCAGCCCCCCTGCTCTAAGCCTCCCCACTCCTGTCCCAGACAGGAGAGACCAGGGTCCACTCCCACCCCCCTCTCTAACACTAACCCCACTCCTGTCCCAGAGCCAGGGAGAGAACCCTGGAGTCCTGGCTCCCAGCCCCCCTGCTCTAAGCACTAGACCCCACTCCTGTCCCAGAGCCAGGGAGAGAACCCAGGAGTCCAGACTCCCAGCCCCCCTGCTCTAAGCACTAGACCCCACTCCTGTCCCAGATCCAGGGAGAGAACCCTGGAGTCCTGGCTCCCAGCCCCCCTGCTCTAAGCACTAGACCCCACTCCTGTCCCAGAGCCAGGGAGAGAACCCTGGAGTCCTGGCTCCCAGCCCCCCTGCTCTAAGCACTAGACCCCACTCCTGTCCCAGAGCCAGGGAGAGAACCCAGGAGTCCAGACTCCCAGCCCCCCTGCTCTAAGCACTAGACCCCACTCCTGTCCCAGATCCAGGGAGAGAACCCTGGAGTCCTGGCTCCCAGCCCCCCTGCTCTAAGCACTAGACCCCACTCCCCTCCCAGAGCCAGGGAGAGAACCCAGGAGTCCTGGCTCCCAGCCCCCCTGCTCTAAGCACTAGACCCCACTCCTGTCCCAGAGCCAGGGAGAGAACCCAGGAGTCCTGGCTCCCAGCCCCCCTGCTCTAAGCACTAGACCCCACTCCTGTCCCAGATCCAGGGAGAGAACCCTGGAGTCCTGGCTCCCAGCCCCCCTGCTCTAAGCACTAGACCCCACTCCTGTCCCAGAGCCAGGGAGAGAACCCAGGAGTCCAGACTCCCAGCCCCCCTGCTCTAAGCACTAGACCCCACTCCTGTCCCAGAGCCAGGGGTGGAACCCAGGAGTCCTGGCTCCCAGCCCTCCTGCTCTAAGCACTAGACCCCACTCCTGTCCCAGAGCCAGGGAGAGAACCCTGGAGTCCTGGCTCCCAGCCCCCCTGCTCTAAGCACTAGACCCCACTCCTGTCCCAGAGCCAGGGAGAGAACCCTGGAGTCCTGGCTCCCAGCCCCCCTGCTCTAAGCACTAGACCCCACTCCTGTCCCAGATCCAGGGGTGGAACCCAGGAGTCCTGACACATTCTTTTCATCTCTCTCCCTCTCTCCCCCAGCAGAGCGGACGTCGCCGGAGGACAAACCTCCCCAGGCCCCCAAGTGGCCGTGGGAGAACCTTTCCTGGACCCAAGCGGGCCGCCCGCCCCGCCTCGAGCCCCCCTCCTCCTCCGCCCGGCCCCCTGCCCCGCTGCCGCGCAAGGGCGAGCGGCCCTACATCTGCAACGAGTGCGGGAAGAGCTTCACCCAGTGGTCCAAGCTGGTGCGGCACCAGCGCATCCACACGGGCGAGCGCCCCAACACCTGCAGCGAGTGCGGGAAGAGCTTCACCCAGAGCTCCCACCTGGTCCAGCACCTCCGCACCCACACCGGCGAGAAGCCCTACCGCTGCTCCGAGTGCGGGAAGAGCTTCAGCTGGAGCTCCAACCTCATCCAGCACCAACGCACCCACACCGGCGAGAAGCCCTACCGGTGCGGGGAGTGCGGCAAGGCCTTCAGCCAGAGCACCAACCTCATCAAGCACCAGCGCTCCCACACCGGCGAGAAGCCCTACCGGTGCGGCGACTGCAAGAAGAGCTTCTACCGCAGCTCCGACCTCATCCAGCACCAGATCACCCACACCGGCGAGCGGCCCTTCAAGTGCGCCCAGTGCGGCAAGGGCTTCACCCAGAGCGCCAACCTGGTCAAGCACCAGAAGATCCACGCCGGGGAGAAGCCCTTCCGGTGCACCGAGTGCGGGAAGACCTTCATCCAGAGCTCCGAGCTCATCCAGCACCAGCGTACCCACACCGGCGAGAAGCCCTACGAATGCCTGCAGTGCGGGAAGAGCTTCGGGCACAGTGCCACGCTGGTCAAGCACCAGCGGCTCCACATGGGGGTGGAGCCTTACAAGTGCCCCACCTGCCACAAGACCTTCGGGCTCAGCTCGGCCCTGGCCCGCCACCAACGTTGCCACACCGAGGAGCGGCCCTACGCCTGCCCCGAGTGCGGGCAAAGCTTTAGCCTCAGCTCCAACCTCACCCTGCACATGCGGATCCACCGGGGCGAGAAGCCCTACCGGTGCGGGGAGTGCGGGAAGAGCTTCGGCATGAGCTCCACCCTGATCCGGCACCAGCGGATCCACACCGGCGAGAAGCCCTACCAGTGCGCCGAGTGCGGGAAGAGCTTCGTCCGCAGCTCCCACCTCATCCAGCACCGCCGCACCCACACCGGCGAGAAGCCCTACCGCTGCGGGGAGTGCGGCAAGGCCTTCAGCCAGAGCTCCAACCTCATCACCCACGAGCGCATCCACATGGAGGAGCGGCCCCACGTGTGCCACGAATGTGGCCAGCGCTTTGCCGAGGAGGAGGGGCTGCGGCGGCACCAGGAGGAAGGGCATGGCGGCGGGGCGGGGGGCGGGGGGCTCGGGGAGAGCCGGGAGACTTGCATCTGCGACGATTGCGGGGAAAGCTTTGGAGATAGCTCCGCGCTGGCCAAGCACCGGGAGATCCATGCCCCTTGCATCTGCGACGATTGCGGGGAAAGCTTTGGAGATAGCTCCGCGCTGGCCAAGCACCGGGAGCTCCATGCCCCTTGCATCTGCGACGATTGCGGGGAAAGCTTTGGAGATAGCTCCGCGCTGGCCAAGCACCGGGAGCTCCATGCCCCTTGCATCTGCCCGGAATGTGGGCAGAGCTGTAAGGACAGCGCGGCCCTGACCCGGCACCAGATCACCCACATGCGTGAAAAGCTTTACAAGTGCCCCGACTGCGGGCAGAGCTTTGGCGACATCTCCGCCCTCACCCAGCACCAGAGGAACCATATCAGGGAAAAGCTGAGATGCCCGGACTGCGGGCAGGGGCTCGGGGCGAGCTCGGCTCCGGGGGCCCACCAGAGGGGCTGCGCCCCGGCCAAGCCCTTCCACGACTGCTCGGCTGCCGGTGCCCACGAAGGAAGCCGCGCCGAAGGGGAGCCCGTCCGTGACAGCTCGGAGCTTGGGGTCCACGAAAAAGGCCACCCCGTGGCGGAACCGTCCCACGTGGCTCTGGGCGTCCGTGGAAGAGGCCGGCCGGCGGCAGATCCCTTCCCCGACGGCTCAGCCAGCGGCGGCCGCCCCGGCTCGGGCGAAATGGCCAGCCTCATCCGGCGCCCGGCCACCGAACCCTACAAGTGCCACGACTGCGGCCAGAGCTTTGCCGAGGGCGTGGGCCTCTCCCGCCACCTGGCCTCCCACCCCAAGCCCTTCCGGTGCCCGGAGTGTGGGCGCGGCTTCCCGGACCCGACAGCCTTGGCCCAGCACCGGGAGGCCCACGCTGGAGGGGAGCCGGCTGGGCCCGGGGAGAAGAGCCGCAAGAGCTGTGCCGAGATCTCCGCCGTCCTCTTGCGCCAGGGAAACCACGTGGCCGGGCGCGGCCTGAGGAGCCACGCGGCAGACAACCCCCTTCCTCCCGGCGGCTCGGCTCCGGCTCGGCCACGGCTCCAGCCCTCGGGCCGCGGCCTGGCTGTGGCCAGCCGCCGGGGCGGGGGGATGTCTCTGGCGCGGCCGGAATGTGGCAAAGGCTCCCAGGGGGGTTCTGTGCTCCTACAGCACCTCCAGAACCACGTGGGGGACAGGGTGTGAGGCCCCCGGGGGCACCTGGCCAGTTCATAGCTAGAACCTGGGCTTGGGGGGCGGGCGGGGGGGGATGTAGACAAAGGAGGGAGGAGGGTGCCTGCTGGAGTATGGGTAGCTGGAGGGGCGTGAAGGTTTGAGGGCCCTGGGGCAGGAGGCTGGGGGCGAGGATGGGGAGGTTGGTGGATGTGGGGGTGGCTGGTCTGGGGATCTGTTTGGCAGGGATCTGGTTTGGCAATGGGAGAGGTTGCTCTAGGGGATCTGGTTTTGCCGGGGGTCATGCTGGGATCTGGGGGAGCCTGGTTTTGCCGGGGGTCATGCTGGGATCTGGCGGGCTGGTTTTGCAGGGGGTGGGGATGGGGTGGGGGGCTGGTTTTGCAGGGGGTCATGCTGGGATCTGGGGGGGCTGGTTTTGCAGGGGGCGGGCATGGGATGGGGGCTGGTTTTGCAGGGGGTTCGTGCTGGGATTGGGGGGGCTGGTTTTGCAGGGGGTCATGCTCGTTTTGCAGGGGGTCATGGTGGGATCCGGGGGGGGCTGGTTTTGCAGGGGGTCATGGTGGGATCCGGGGGGGCTGGTTTTGCAGGGGGTTCATGCTGGGATCTGGGGGTGGGCGGGAGAAGGGCTGGTTTTGCAGGAGGTTCGTGCTGGGATCTGGGGGCGGTGGCAGGTTTTGCAGGGGATTGGGCTGAGATATAATAAACGGACGTGACTTAGATCATGTTGGGATCTGTTTGGGGGATCCGATTTCATTATGGGGGACTGTGAGCCGTCCCCGGGTGGTGTCGCTTTGCGGCTGTTCCTCAGCTGCCCCGCCTCAGAGGTGGCTGCATCTCAGTGCTGGGTGAGTCAGCCCCATGTGGCTGTTACCCAACTCCCCCAGAGACAAAATACTTCCTCTTCTATCCACTTTGAATTTATCTTGGCTCCTCTCCCATTTGGCCTTTGTCTGCTCGCTCCAAGAGCCCTCTGTTCTCACAAACCTCCTCATTTAGGTGCTTATAGGTTGGGATCACGTCACCCCTCCAGTCAGCTGAAGTCTCTTCGTCTGCATGGGAGCCTTTCCAGGCCTCAAGTCAATCGTGGGAGGCAGTGTGGCCTAATGGGTAGTGCACTGGCAGCCAGGACTCCGGGGGTCTCTCCCCAGCTCTGGGAGGGGAGTGGGGTCTAGTGGTTAGAGCAGAGGGGGCTGGGAGCCAGGACTCCTGGGTTCTATCCCCGGCTCTGCCGGTGACCTTGGGTCAGATCATGTCACCGCTCTGTGCTTCAGTCTCTCCATCTGTAAAATGGGGCTACATATACCAACATCCTTGGTGAAGGTCTTTGAGATCTCATCCCCCAATCCTTTCCCATGCAGGCCACTCGCTTACACGTGTATTTCGTCTCCTGGCCTGGGAGGAACTCAGCTGGGAACCTTCCCCCGACCTGCAATGGCTGGGATCTGAGAGCTGATCCAGGGATTGTTTTCACCCCAGTCTCTGCTTAACCTGCAACTACAGAACAGCAGAGCCGAGAATTAAAATAAAATAAGGATTGAACATCGCTGCGGTTAATGCGGGCGTTCGAAGTTGTGACCGTCAATGGGGGTTTTGGAACAACTAGAGCTGGGAGACGTTTTTCGGCCAAAAGTTTTTTGGGGGGGGTGAAACGGACCGATTCCGTGAAACCTTTTGCAGTTTCTTGTCAGTTTCAGAAGATGGTTTCGGTTGGAAAAAACCCTAAAATCAATCCCCCAAAAAGTGAAAATGCTTCACAGCTCTGATTGAAAAGGGCGGTGTGTTTCAAAATCTCCCTGGGTTTGATTGAAGTAACGACTCAAAGGCGTGAAAAAAACCAAACAAGGCTCAGAATCAAAACAAAACATTTTCTTTGACCCCAGATAGGATTTTTTTCAACTTTTGATTTGCCGAAAATTTCATAAACGTTCAATTTTGATCACAAAACCTGCTTTTTTTTCCCCTCCAATTTTTCAGACCTGCCAGTGAACCGAAATCTCCATTATTCACCCAGAAATAAGCAATAGTCGGAGGGGAGGGAAGGGAAATGAAATCCACACAAGTCTGGGGTCCGAACTCTTGGGGCTTGAGTGGGATCTTCCTTTCCCTGGGGGCAAGTTATTCCAGGATTGTCCGCTCTGGGGGAGAGAGGGTTGATCTGCCTTTCTCTGAAGCAGCTGGGACGGTCACTGATAGAGGTGGGATACCAGGGTAGATGGGCCCACTGCTCTGCTCTGGGGCAGCTGGTCCTGGGTCCCACATTGTGTGATTCTGCCAGCTATGGAAGAGGACCCATGAAATCTGACATTTCTACTGCTCTGGACTGGGCAGAGATGCCATGGGGAGGACCGGATATTAAAATCAAGGATCGGGTCCCTTTAACAGCAAGCAGGGTAGAGGTGTTAGGCCATGGCTGGTGCTCAGAGTTGCTACCACCATCCGGATAATAAATATAATTAATTTATGACCCATTTGGTGCATAGAGATGACGTCAGAACAAATGTATTCCCCTCGGAAGAGATCAGGGTTGTATTTCTGCTTTAAAATACTTGAGTCCGTTTCGGGGGCTGTTAGGGAAATGGGATGGAATTCCACACCTCCCACATTTGTTCCACTCCCCGACCCCAGTGAAATATGAAATTATAATACACTTTTTTTTTTTTTGGTTGAAAACTTTCGTTGAAATACAGCTGGTTTTACTGGGATATGAAGTTTTACAACCATTGACGTGCATTGAGAAATGCGGATAGAAAATATTTCAGAGAGATTCAGAATTCTGCTGGCAAATATCAACATTCAAAGGGTCGACAGAAACTGTTTTGTTAAAATTGGAGACTGATGCAAAACTTCACTGGCATTTCAAAGTGGGACTGGGGAAAAATGTCAATGAGATTTGCTGTCGTGGGAGAAAATATCAAAATTGAAATGTCAGTGCAAATGAGGTGAAATTTGAAATTGATGAAAAATGCCATGGGAATTTTCATTTTTGTAGGGGGCAAATTTCAATGAGATTCAAAATTCTGATGGAAAATATGCAAATGAGCTGTGTCACTGGAATTTTGGGGTTGAAATGCTTGTGATATTTTGAGGAGGAATTTTGTCGGTGCTCAAAATTGAGATGGAAAATAGCAAAAAAAAAAATTTGAAATGTGGCTGAAAAGTTTTCACTGAAACTTGACATCTTGATGCACCTTCTCATCGATGTTTGATTTCAGAGCAGCAGCCCTGTTAGTCTGTATCCGCAAAAAGAGCAGGAGGACTTGTGGCACCTTAGAGACTAACGAATTTATTTGAGCCTAAGCTTTCGTGAGAGGCATCAATGAGAATGTTGGGATTCAAACTGTGGTGAAAAAATTTCAGAGTGATGAAATTTTGATGAAAAATGTCCCAGTTTGAAATGGTTTTAAATTTTGAAATCGATGAAAAATGCACTGGAATTTTAATTGTGACGAAAATATTTCAACGACATTTGAAATTCTGATGGACAACGGAAATTTGTAATGGCAGGGAAAGTTTTTTGTGTGAATTTGAAGTGCTGGTGAAGGTTTTCACTGAAATTTGACTTGTAGATGAGACCTGGTGCGATTCAAATTTTTGAGCCAAAATTTCAATACGATTAAAAGTTCTGATGAGAAATTTTGAAATTCAAAACATGGATGAAATTTTTTTTTGTAGAAATGTTGAACATTTTTACTGAAATTGGACCTTTTGGACCATTATTATTGGCATACGAAGGACTGATGGGAAATGTGTCAATTCATTTTCGGCTGAAAATGTTACAATGAGATCTGGATGGAAAATATAGATCAAAATTTGAAATGTCGAAAATATTTTCTTGGAATTTGAAATTGATGAAAAATTTCACGACAGTTTTCCATGGAGTGTGGGGGAAAAAATCAATGACATTCAAAATTCTCATCGAGAAGATCGACGTTTGGAAGGTGGATGAGAATTGTGAACTTTTGAGATGTTCTGAGAGTCTGAATTTGTGTGTGTGTGTGGGGGGAACATTGCAATCAACCACATTTGACATTTTGATGGGAAAAGATCGAAATGTTGCAAGTTGTTTGTGGACATTTCAAATGTTGGCGAGACGTTTGGAGGAGAACAGTCGAGATTCCAGCTTTTGCATCGTTAGAGCAAAGAAAATGGAGCTAAGCTTTCCCCCAGCTTTTCTCTCTAGCTCTCCCATGAGGAGATGGGCCAAGGAGAATGATGCCCTGTTATGGATAGTGTCTGGGGAGAACGACCTTTCATGTCGTCCCCACGCCAGGTCGACCTAAATTGGCCAATTTCCTCCAGCCAATAAACTGGTCAATGGGAATTTGTGCTGTCTAATGCGAAAAGGAAGCAGAATTTCATCCCCTCCCGAAAATCACTGGAGGCCAGCCTGGCCCTGAAGCATGTGCTGGGGGGTAAAGGAAGCCAGCTGGACCATCAAAATCAGTCTAGTTCTCTACCTCTGTGGGGCTCAATCGAATGACCTCCAATTGAGCCCTATATTTCCTGCTCTAGGCTTTCTCTCCGCTACCCACAGCCCTGCTCTGCCGAGACCGATCTCCTTCTCCCACCCACGTGTATTGCAGCTCCCAAGGGTGGGGCCATTCTAGCACTACTGGTGGCCAGGAGGGGTACTGCGCCTTGAAGGGCCAGAGCCCCTGTAATGGAAGTTGCCCGCCGGAGGCCAGCATTGTAAAACCTCAAAGGAGAACATGGTGGATTTGCAGCAACGCTGACGGGGTTTTTGCCCGTTATGGAAAGGGCATCAACAAAAACAAAGCTGGGTTTTAGAAAAGAAAACCCAGATCAATGTAGCTTGGAAGTGTGCGACCAGCGAGGAGATTCTCCGTTCCCAGGGGCCAAAACTGCTGCCCAGGGCACGCTGTCCCGCCTCGAGGAGGTGGGTGCTCAGTGACCACTCGTTTGCCGACGTTGCCCTGGGGCAACGAGATTCTGAGTTGGGCTTTCAGCGCCGCCCGCCTGATCTGGACATTTTACAGCTGCTCTGACAGTGAGCCATGGGTTACAATTGCTACATGAATGCTCTCCCTCTATCAGTAATACACCCTGTGTCTGTCTGTCTCATGAGATTCTGGTCTCTTTGTCTATCTGTACGCTCTGTCTGACTTTCTCAGTATCTATCTCATTAGATTGTGGTGTTTCTACCTATCCAGCCCCACACAAACCCTTCTACCTGCCTGCTTGTCTGTCTCCTTACAGTCTAGTGTCTCTTGCACTTATTCGCTATAGACTCAGGGCTAAACACTCACTACTCTCCCCAGTAAAGCGTATAACCCGCCACGCGTAGCACGTGAAGAAGTGTGGTTAAGCTGCTGGAAATGACTGTGTTTCATGTGTGTGTTTCATGTCCTGGTAGCATTTGTCGCCTAGTAACTGTCTCCCTTTTAGCTCTGTGAATGAGCAGTGTCTTGTAAATGACTTTGCCCTGGGTTCTAGGAATGTAACCAGCCTGTGGGTGTCGACGGAGGACTCTGGTTTGTTTGTTGGTAGAGGGGAGGTGTTTGGTAAAAGTTTTCTAAGAGAAACGTCCAGAACGTTGGAGTGTGTTAGTGTGTATCTGTGCCCAGAGATCTAGGGCAAAGCTCCCCTTGAGGGCAAGGGGGCAGGATTCACCTGTAAGGTGCACACAGACACGGCTGGGATTCTCCACCAGTAGGGGGCAGTGTGGTGGTCTCTGGCTCTCTCTCCCACACAGGAAGATGACATCAACCTTGATGGCCCCTATATTCAAAAGCTCCCTGAACCTAACCCCAAGCAAATAACCCTCGAGCTCGGTGTCAGCTCGAAAGCTGGTCTCTCTCCCCAGCGGAAGCTGGTCCAATAAAAGAGATTCCTTCACCCACCTTGTCTCGCTAAGCAAATAAATCAAGCAACCCCCCAAGCCCCGCACAAAGCGTGCTGCGAGCAGAGCTTTCACCCCCAAAACTTGGACGTGTCAGAGACAGTGTGAAATCGGCCAGGTGCTTTGCTAGTGGGACTGGTTTTACCCGGAAGGCGCCCAGACGCAGTGGGCCATGATAAATGGACAGGCGACCCCCCCCCGCCCGCCCGCAATAGCTAGACGCATCCAGGCCTGCGTGAGAATCGCCCTATGAAGTGTGCAGATGTGTGATTAAAAATACACTGTGTCTGTGTGCGAAAGGTGAGTTATTTGTGTGTGTGTGTGTGTGGGGAGAGATTAGGATTATAAAAAGCATGTGTGCTTAAAAATATCAATGGTACGTCTATAAAAAGAACAGGGGGACTTGTGGCACCATAGAGACTAACAAATTTATTAGAGCATAAGCTTTTGTGAGCTACAGCTCACTTCATCGGATGCATTCAGTGGAAAATAGAGTGGGGAGATTTATATACACAGAGAACATGAAACAATGGCTGTTACCATACACACGGTAACCAGAGTGATCAGGAAAGGTGAGCTATTCCCAGCAGGAGAGCGTAAGGGGGTGGGGGGACAACACCTTTTGTAGTGATAATCAAGGTGGGCCATTTCCAGCACTTGACAAGAACAGCAGGGGGGGAAATAAACATGGGAAAATAGTTTTACTTTGTGTAATGAGCCATCCACTCCCAGTCTCTATTCAAGCCTAAGTTCATTGTATCCAGTTTGCAAATTAATTCCAACTCAGCAGTCTCTCGTTGGAGTCTGTTTTTGAAGTTCTTTTGTCGAAGAATTGCCACTTTTAGGTCTGTAATCGAGTGACCAGAGAGATGGAAGTGTTCTCCGACTGGTTTTTGAATGTTATAATTCTTGACATCTGATTTGTGTCCATTTATTCTTTTACGTAGAGACTGTCCGGTTTGGCCAATGTACATGGCAGAGGGGCATTGCTGGCACATGATGGCATAGATCCCATTGGTGGATGTGCAGGTGAACGAGCCTCTGACAGTGTGGCTGATGGGATTAGGCCCTGTGATGGTGTCCCCTGAAGAAACAGATTGACAGAGCCAGAAGAGTACCCAGAAGTCACCTACTACAGGACAGGCCTAACAAAGAAAATAACAGAACGCCACTAGCCGTCACCTTCAGCCCCCAACTCAAACCTCTCCAACGCATCATCAAGGATCTACCACCTATCCTGAAGGACGACCCATCACTCTCACAGACCTTGGGAGACAGGCCAGTCCTTGCTTACAGACAGCCCCCCAACCTGAAGCAAATACTCATCAGAACCACTAACCCAGGAACCTATCCTTGCAACAAAGCCCGTTGCCAACTGTGTCCACATATCTATTCAGTGGACACCATCACAGGGCCTAATAACATCAGCCACAATATCAGAGGCTCGTTCACCTGCACATCCACCAATGTGATATATGCCATCATGTGCCAGCAACGCCCCTCTGCCATGTACATTGGCCAAACCGGACAGTCTCTACGTAAAAGAATAAATGGACGCAAATCAGACATCAAGAATTATAACATTCAAAAACCAGTTGGAGACCACTTCCATCTCTCTGGTCGCTCGATTACAGACCTAAAAGTGGCAATTCTTCAACACAAAAACTTCAAAAACAGACTCCAACGAAAAGGAGGACTCATGGCACCTTAGAGACGAACAGATTTATTAGAGCAGAAGCTTTCTGGAGCTACAGCTCACCTCATCGGCTGCCTGCAGTGGAAAAGACAGTGGGAGATTTCACGAAAGCTCATGCTCAAATAAATTGGTTAGTCTCTAAGGTGCCACAAGTCCTCCTTTTCTTTTTGCGGATACAGACTAACACGGCTGCTCCTCTGAAACCTGTCAGCTGGTGTATCTGTGTGATGAGACCGTGGAGGCCGTCGGGCTAGACTGTGCAAGGATTTGGTTTTTAGCGCTACATGTCGATTTCACCGTCTCCACCCAGCGCCCCAAACCGCTTCCAGCGAGAATCAAAATGAGCAGCGAGGCAACGTAAGGAAAACGCGGCCAGAGAACTAATGAGCGTTTGATTTCTGGAGATTTTGACACACGCGACGGTGACAGTTTGCAGAGTCATGGTCATAAAGCTTTAACTTTTTGAATCTCACCCGCTCCTGTCAGTGAATTGTTATTCTCTGACCCTCCGGCCCCAATCTCTTCCATAATTTCCCCCAACTGTAAAAATTTAAATGGATACAAAGTGGGGGGGGGGGGGTTATTTTTGGAGAAGACACACTGTATATATCCTGCAGAGTGTGTGCGTGTGAAAAAGAGAGTGCGTGAGCAGGGCTGCCCTCTGCTCGACGGAAGCAGGACTGTGTGTGTTACCTGAGCAGAAGATTCCAGGGGAAGCTGAGCAGGTGGTTAACCTGCGGAACTCACCTCCCTATGATGGGTGTAGCAAGAGTCCCAGAAGGGCTGGGGATTTCATATAGGCAGCCAGAACAGCCACATTTGTAATGGTCAGGATTAGAAAACCAGCCAAGGCTTCACCCAGGGAAATTCTGGGCCTAAACCAAGCTTGGAATATGGGGGTTGGGAATAAATTCTCCCCAGCGGGGAGGTTCTTCCCTGACTGATCACCAGGGGGCACTTTGCAGTTTTCTCGGCAGCCTCTTGTACCGACAGCTGGGAGCGAGGGCGGTGGGGCTGATTCTGGCAACAGGGGGGCGGCGGGATACCGGGCTACATAGACCCGGGGAGAGGAAAGCCCGAGCTGGGCCTGGGGCACTGCTGCAGGGAAGCTCGCAGCAATGGGGTGCCCGGCGCGGCTGTGCTGGGAAAGGCTGAAAACACAGGGGAGCCAGGACTCCTGGGTTCTGTCTCCGACCCTGGGAGGGGCGTGGGGTCTAGTGGGTTAGAACGGGGGGGCGGGGCTGGGAGCCAGGACTCCTGGGTCCCATTGACGCAAGCCCTGGGACAGCCCCGCCCACAATCACTTCACGTGCCTGGGAAACTACACTCCCCATGGTGCTTTGCGAGAGGGGGGGGGAACAGGGCCGGTCTTTACCTGCTGCTTCCTGCCACCCCCCCACCACAGCGGCGGAGGGGGGTCGCTGCATGGAGCCGGGACCCCCGCGCACGGAGCCGGCTGCCACCCGCCCGGCCGGAGACGGGGCACCCAGGGCCGGTGGGTGCCGGGGTGAGCCCCCGCCGTCCCCCTGCACCCCAGCTCTGTTCCCACCCCACCCCTGCACCCCGGGTCCGCAACCCCCCGCTGTCCCCCTGCACCCCATCCCCGGACCCCTGTTCCCATCCCTCCCCTGCACCCTGGGTCCGCAACCCCCCATCCCCGCCGTCCCCCTGCACCCCATCCCCAGACCCCTGTTCCCATCCCTCCCCTGCACCCCGCGTCTGCATCCCCCCATCCCCGCCATCCCCCTGCACCCCAGCTCTGTTCCCACCCCACCCCTGCACCCCGGGTCCGCAACCCCCCGCCGTCCCCCTGCACCCCGGGTCCGCAACCCCCCATCCCCGCCCCCGCCTTCCCCCTGCACCCCAGCCCCGTTCCCACCCCACCCCTGCACCCCGGGTCCGCAACCCCCCATCCCCGCCCCCGCCTTCCCCCTGCACCCCAGCCCCGTTCCCACCCCACCCCTGCACCCCGGGTCCGCAACCCCCCATCCCCGCCCCCGCCTTCCCCCTCCCCCCCCCCCCACCCCCCCCTCCCCCCGTCCCACCCCCCCCCCCCCCCCTGCACCCCATCCCCGGACCCCTGTTCCCATCCCTCCCCTGCACTCTGCGTCTGCATCCCCCCATCCCCGCCGTCCCCCTGCACCCCAGCCCCGTTCCCACCCCACCCCTCCCCTCCCCTGCACCCCCGGGTCCGCAACCCCCCACCCCCCGCCGTCCCCCTGCACCCCATCCCCGGACCCCTGTTCCCATCCCTCCCCTGCACCCTGGGTCCGCAACCCCCCATCCCCGCCGTCCCCCTGCACCCCATCCCCGGACCCCTGTTCCCATCCCTCCCCTGCACCCTGGGTCCGCAACCCCCCATCCCCGCCGTCCCCCTGCACCCCAGCTCTGTTCCCACCCCACCCCTGCACCCCGGGTCCGCAACCCCCCGCCGTCCCCCTGCACCCCATCCCCCGGACCCCTGTTCCCATCCCTCCCCTGCACCCCCGTCTGCATCCCCCCCATCCCCGCCGTCCCCCTGCACCCCAGCCCCGTTCCCTTCCCACCCCACCCCTCCCCTGCACCCCCGGATCCGCAACCCCCCATCCCCACCCCCGACATCCCCCTGCACACCATCCCCGGACCCCTGTTCCCATCCTTCCCCTGCACCCCGTGTCTGCATCCCCCCATCCCTGCCGTCCCCCTGCACCCCAGCTCCGTTCCCACCCCACCCCTGCACCCCGGGTCTGCAACCCCCCCGCCGTCCCCCTGCACCCCATCCCCGGACCCCTGTTCCCATCCCTCCCCTGCACCCCGGGTCCGCAACCCCCCCATCCCCGCTGTCCCTCTGCACCCCATCCCCAGACCCCTGTTCCCATCCCTCCCCTGCACCCCGCATCTGCATCCCCCCATCCCTGCTGTCCCCCTGCACCCCAGCCCCGTTCCCTTCCCACCCCACCCCTCCCCTGCACCCCGGGTCCGCAACCCCCCATCCCCGCCGTCCCCCTGCACCCCATCCCCAGACCCCTGTTCCCATCCCTCCCCCTGCACCCCGTCTGCATCCCCCCATCCCTGCCGTCCCCCTGCACCCCAGCCCCGTTCCCACCCCACCCCTCCCCTGCACCCCAGGTCTGCAACCCCCCATCCCCGCCATCCCCCTGCACCCCATCCCCCGGACCCCTGTTCCCATCCCTCCCTGCACCCCCGCGTCTGCATCCCCCCCATCCCCGCCGTCCCCCTGCACCCCAGCCCCGTTCCCACCCCACCCCTCCCCTCCCCTGCACCCCGGGTCCGCAACCTCCCATCCCCACCCCTGCCGTCCCCCTGCACCCCATCCCCGGACCCCTGTTCCCATCTCTCCCTGCACCCCGCGTCTGCATCCCCGCCGTCCCCCTGCACCCCAGCCCCGTTCCCACCCCACCCCTCCCCTGCACCCCGGGTCCGCAACCCCCCATCCCCACCATCCCCCTGCACCCCATCCCCGGACCCCTGTTCCCATCCCTCCCCTGCACCCCGCGTCTGCATCCCCCCATCCCCGCCGTCCCCCTGCACCCCAGCCCCGTTCCCACCCCACCCCTCCCCTCCCCTGCACCCCAGGTCCGCAACCCCCCATCCCCGCCGTCCCCCTGCACCCCATCCCCAGACCCCTGTTCCCATCCCTCCCCTGCATCCCGCGTCTGCATCCCCCCATCCCCACCGTCCCCCTGCACCCCAGCCCCGTTCCCACCCCACCTCTCCCCTGCACCCCGGGTCTGCAACCCCCCATCCCCGCCGTCCCCCTGCACCCCATCCCCCGGACCCCCGTCCGCATCCCCCCATCCTCACCGTCCCCCTGCACACCATCCCCAGACCGCCGTTCCCTCCCCGCCCCTTCACCCCAGTCCGCAACCCCCCATCCCCGCTGTCCCCCTGCACCCCATCCCCGGACCCCTGTTCCCATCCCTCCCCTGCACCCCCTGTCCGCATCCTCCCATCCCCGCCGTCCCCCTGCACCCATCCCCGGACTCCCGTCCGCATCCCCCCATCCCCGCCCTCTACCCATCCTGCAACCCTGAATCCCGGCAGGGTGTGGGGTTGTTGGAGTACGGAGCCCCCCGTGCTGGGGGAAGGATGGCAGGGAAGGGACCTATGAGCCAAGGCACTCCAGTGGGGAGGTGCCAGGGTTGGGGGGCTGAGAAGAAGAACCCAGCGGGGTTGGTAGGTAGAGGAATTAGTATAGACAGATAAATGGTGTATGGGTGTGTGTATATTGAGAGGGGTGGGGATGGATAGACAAAGAGAAAGGGGGGCGTATTGGGGTGATGGATGGATCGATCAGTGTATGGGCATAGATAGGTGTGTGTGTGTGGGGGGGATAGAGAGAGAGAGGGGGGTGTGGGGATGGATGGGATAGCTACATAGAGTCGTGGGTGGGGGGGATGGATAGAGCTAGGGGTGCATGTCTGTGAACAGATAGATGAAAAGGTTTGTGGGGATAGAGAGAGGAGTATATGTGGGGAGAGCGAGCGAGCGTGTGGGGATGGATGGATAGATGGATGGGGATAGAGAAGTGTGTATGGGGCTAGGTGAGATGGGCACGTACGTGGATGGATGGATAGATGGGGGGATGGATGGGGATACAGAGGTGTGTATGGGGCTAGGTGAGATGGGCACGTACCTGGATGGACGGATGGGTAGGAAGATGGATGGACAAAGGAGTATCATGCCTTCTTTTCCGTCTCCTCTCTAAGGCACGCGGTCCCCAGTTTGTACCACCTCTCTCCAGACAGAGCCCCGCGTGTGTCTTGGGTCGCCAGGGAGCGTGAGCGGAACCATCCCCAGTGCAATGTCTCTCTCCTTCTGTCACCCCCCTCTGGGGAACGGGCTGAGGAGCAGGAAGCTCCCATGACAGTGTCCGTGCGTGGCCGGCGTTCTCTGGCGGCCCTTGTACTCAGCACCCCCTTGCTTGTTCCTCAGGTCCTGGGCCCAGACGTCAGCCGGAGGAGGACAACAGAGCTGCCAAGATGGCGCCACCAATCGGGGATGTTTCTGGCAAGGCCCAAGAGGGGGGCCTGACCTCCGTGTCATTGGCCGGCCCCAAGGCGGAGGAGGAGGAAGTCGCCAAGATGGCGTATCTCAGTGGGGATGTTGTGGAGACCACCAAGGGGCATGCAGTATGGAAGACCGTGGCCAACATGTTGACTCCCAGGATGGACATTCCTGGGAAGGGCCAATGGGCATGTCCAGCCTCCATCTCACTGACTGTCCCTAAGGTTGAGGAGGAGGAAGAGGCTGCCAAGGTGGAGCCTCTCAACAGGGATGTTGCCGTGAAGGCAGAAGGGGGACAGTCACCGTGGATGACTATGGCCAAGACGATGCCGCCAAACATGGATGTTCCTCGTTTGGGCCAGCTGGGACGTGTGGCCTCCGATTCATTGCCTGTCCCTAGGACTGAGGAGGAGGCCGAAGACACCAGGATGGTGCCACCCAATGGGGACGTTGACGTGACGAGCCAAGAGGGACATTCAGCATGGATGACCATGGCCAAGATGGAGCCTCTCAACGGGGACGTTGACATGAAAGCCCTAGGGGAACCCTTGACCCTGAGGCCTTTCCCTATCTCCAAGGCCGAGGAGGATGAAGCCACCAGGCCGGTAACTCCCTCCGCTCCTGCTTGCCGGGAGCGCCCGTACCGCTGCGGGGAATGCGGCAAAGCCTTCTCCCGCAGCTCGTCCTGCGTCAAGCACCAACGCACCCACACGGGCGAGCGCCCCTATGGGTGCCCGGATTGTGGCAAGTCCTTCGGCCAGAGCTCCACCCTCAACCGGCACCGCCAGGCCCACCTGGCCGACAGGCCGCACCGCTGCGCTGACTGCGGCAAGGCCTACGGGACCGCCTCGGCCCTGGCCCAGCACGGCAAGAGTCACCTGGCCGAGAAGCCGCACCGGTGCCCGCAGTGCGGCAAAGGGTTCTGCGAGCGGTCGAACCTGGCGAAGCACCTGCTGACCCACACGGGCGAGCGGCCCCACCGGTGTGCCCAGTGCGGCCGCGGCTTCAGCCAGAAGGCCAATCTCCGGCGTCACCAGGAGACTCACGGCGGTGCGGCGTCGCACCGGTGTGCCGACTGCGGGCGGGCCTTCCGCCACGCCCGCCGGCTGGCTCAGCACCGCCGGTCCTGCCCCGCGCCCGGCGAGCCCCACGCCTGCGCCGACTGCGGCCAGACCTTCGCCGCCCGCTCCCAGCTGGCCCGGCACCGCCGCCGGCACGCGGAGGAGCGCCCCTACCGCTGCGGCGTCTGCGGCAAGGCCTACGGCGTCAGCTCCCACCTGCTGGTGCACCTGCGTGGGCACACGGAGGAGCGGCCCTACCGCTGCGGCGAGTGCGGGGCCGGCTTCGCCGAGGCCGCCAAGCTGGCCCAGCACCGCCGCAGCCATACCGGGGAGCAGCCCCACCAGTGCGGGCAGTGCGGGCGCCGCTTCGGCCTGCGCTCCAACCTGACGCGGCACCAGCGGGCCCACGCCGGCGAGAAGCCCCACCGCTGCGGCCAGTGCGGCCGGGCCTTCGGCCGCGCCTCCAACCTGGCCCAGCACCAGCGGACCCACCGCGGCGAGAAGCCCTACCGGTGCGGCCAGTGCGGCAAGGCCTTCGCCGTCAGCACCCACCTCCTCATCCACCAGCGCTCCCACACCGGGGAGCGGCCCTTCCCCTGCCCCCGCTGCGGCAAAGGCTTCACCGTCATCTCCAACCTCCGGCAGCACCTGCGGATCCACACCGGGGAGCGCCCCTACCCCTGCGCCCAGTGCGGGAAGAGCTTCCGGGCTCGGACTCACCTCCGGGCCCACCAGAAGCTCCACGCCTGAGCGGGCGGGCGGGCGGCGGGTCTGCGGGCGGCCCTGGCGGTGGGGGGGGGCGGCAGGAGGCGGGGGAGTTAGTGACGGAGTTACTTGTAGCTTAGGAAGCATGGCTCTGTGGGGCCGTGGGGAAGTATTGGACGGGGTGGGGGGGGGGGTCCTGGGTCTTCAGAGCCAGGGGGGTGGCGGTTTCATGGATCTTGAGGCTCCGAAGGGGCGATGAGTGGGGGTGGGTCGTAGCTGTGGGCCGGGGGGGGGGGCGGGTTCATAGATGGAGTCGAACCTTCCCGCAGCTAAGTATGAGCATCTCCGGGCACCGATGGCAGGTTCCGAGATTACACGGCCAGAAGGGACCATCGCGATCTGACTTACAGAGCAGAGACCCCCGCCCAGCGGTTCCCGCTGCCAGCCCGTAGCGGGTGGTCGAGCTAGAGCCGAGACGCCGGGTTGGCACTGAAGGCCTCCACGCACCAGAGAATCCCCCAGCGCCCCTGGCTTGCGGCTCCATCGGTTAATTAGGAGCCTGGCGTAAAAATACGGACCGTGGGCTCTGTCCCTGGCTCTGGGAGGGGACTGGGGTCTGGTGGGTTAGCGCAAGGATAGGGGCGATCTGGGAGCCTGGGGTCTGTCCCTGGCTCTGCCACTGTCCTGCTGGGTGACCTTGGGCATGTAGCTTCTCCTGTCAGTGCCTCTGGTTCCCTCCCGCTCTTTGTCTTGTCTGTTTAACGTGTGGGCTCTGCAGGGCATGGCCGGTCTCTCACTGTGGAGCACTGGCGGCCGGGGCCTGGGCAGCGCCCGGGGCGAGGGGGGCCCGGGGCGAGGGGGGCCTGGCGCTCGGCCGGGGCCCGGGCAGCGCCCGGTGCGATGGGGGCCCGGCGCTTGGCCGGGGCCTGGGCAGCGCCCGGCGCGACTGGAACAGAATACGAATGTAAAATGGTGATACGTGCTTGGATTGCCCCTGCGGGACGTGGGCCCCCCCCAACCCCCGCCGCCCAGCAAACTGCCCCAAATGCTGAGGTGCCCAGGCTACAGTGGCAGACTGGCCTAGGGGATTTAGAAGCCTCCGTTTCAAAATCAGTATTCTTAGTGTTTGTTACTGTAGGACTTCGGGCAGGGGTGGGGAAACTACAGCCTGAAGGCCGAATCCGGCCCTCTGCTTAATTTAATCAGGCTTGCGGCAAGTCTCCACTCCGTGGGCCGGAAGCCCCGAGCCTCGTCGCCCCCCGCTCCCCCATGGGGCTGTAGCCACAAGCGCCGGCTCACCCCGCTGCGGGGGGAAGCGAGGGTTGCCAGCCCGTCAGAAGTCTAGCTGGCTCTGTGCAGCACCCGGAAACGGCTGGCGTGTCCCTGCGGGCGCTAGGCGCAGGGGCGATCGGGGAAGCTCCGCATGTTGCCCCCGCCTCCAGTGCCGGTTCCGCAGCTCCCATTGGCCAGGAAGCGGGTGGGGGTGGCGCCTCCGCCGAGGGGCTGGACATAGCGGCCGCTTCCGGGAGCAGTGCGGAGCCAGGGCAGGCAAGGAGCCTGCCTTAGCCCTGCTGCGCCGTCGTCCGGGAGCCACTTGAGGTAAGTGCCGCCCGGCTCGAGCCTGCACCCCAAATTCCTACCCGGCCCTGGGTCGGAACTGCCTTCTGCACCTTAACTCTCTCCCAGAGCCCCCACCCCCAGCTGGAGCCCTCACCCCCTCCCGGATCCCAACCCCCTGTCCCAGCCCAGTGGAAGTGAGTGAGGGTGGAGGACAGTGAGGGGGGCTGGAGTGAGTGGGGGGCGGGGCCTCAGGGAAGGGGGCGGGGCAAGGATGCTCAGTGTTGTACCATTAGAAAGTTGGCAACCCTCGGGAAAGCCCTGAGCCCCTGCACCGCTGCCCCCGTGGGGCTGTGTGTGGCCTGATTTTTTTTCTTTCTGTGACTCAGTGGCCCCGATAGAAAAAAGGTTTCCCACCCCTGGCCTAGCAGGCCACGCCCTCGAACTGGCCCGGTCTCACGTGGGCCCTGGAGCGCCCAACTCCCATTGGCACGCTGGGAACCTGCCCTCTGGGGCCATGCCCTGGCGTTGTGTAGGCACCTAACTCCCCTGGGGTAAGTGACATCCACGGGATTTCGGTGCCTGCATAGCTCTGAGGTTCTGGGCCTAAGGGTAAATTACACTGAGATTAATGGACTGTCTGTCTGTCCATCCCTGTACACCCCTCCCATGTAATCTATCCCCACCCCCCCACCCACCCATCTATCTCTGTCTATCCCCAGACACCCTTCTTATCTCTCTATCTATCCATCCCCATACACCCTCATATCAATCTATGCCCATACACCCTCAGATCGATTGATACATCCATCCATCCCCATACACCCTTGTATCTATCCATCGATACATCCATCCATCCCGTACACCCTCATATCCATCCATCCATCTATCCATCCCCATACACCCTCAGATCGATCGATAGATCCATCCATCCATCCCCATACACCCTCATATCTATCCATCCATCCCTGTACACCCTGAGATCAATCCATCGATATGAGGGTGTATGGGGATGGATAGATCTATCTATCCATCCCCATACACCTCTCTCTCTCTCTCTCGCTCGTTCAGATGTCACACTCCACAGCCCATTAGGTGGTATCTGAAGCTTCCCCTCGCTGGATGACGTAGCCCATGTTCGGCAGTGGGGGTCTGGGTCACCATCCCTTTTCCCCCTGCCCCCCCGTCCATGTCCCGTTTGAGTTACCCCCGTCCCCGTCCCCCTCACCCAGCCTGCCACTTCGTGCCCATCTCAGGGGGCTCCTCATTCACCCACCCACCCCAGCTCTCCCCCTCTCCGGGTCTCAAGCTGGGGGGATCCGCAGGCTCTGGAGTTGGGGGTCAGGGGAATCTGGCTGACAGACTCGCCCAGCTGGGGGGCTGGCTTGCCCAGCCTCTGGATCAGGAGCCCAGTGCGGGACACGAGCAGGGATGTTGCCTCATGGGGGATGGGAATGAGAAACGACACGGCTACCCCCTGTCTGCGAGCACCCTTCCCGTCGGACGTTAGGTTAGGACAGGGGAGGGACAGCTGGGAGCCAGGGCTCCTGGGTTCTAGCCCCAGCCCGGGGAGGGGAGTGGGTTGAGTGGGTTTTGGGGGGGGGCTGATAGAACCCTAATTCTAGTGGCCACTGTTTGCTCTAATCACTAGACTCCCCTCCCCTCCCAGAGTTAGGAATAGAACCCAGGAGTCCTGACTCCCAGGCCAGCCCTATCTGTCACAGGCCTGTCCCGGCTAGCTGGAAGTGAAATATGATTGAAAACCCCAGCGTTTATGGTGCCATTATTAGGTTCCAGGATGAACGTGGGCCTGGGAATACCCCCCCAACTCTTGGTGCCTGGGTCGAGTGGCTCCTCCTTTTAGGCTGGGGCAGGGCTTTAGATATGGGGGGGGGGGGGGCTCGCTCCAGCCCATCCCTGGCGATTCCATAGGTGGGTCCGGGCATGAGGCAAAGCCCTAATTGTTCTCCTTTCTGCGGTCAGGACTACAATTCCCACAATGTTCAGCCACCCATTCCCTTCGTGGACACTCGGCCCGCCCTGCTGGGGTGGGGGCGGAGAGCCCGAACTCCTGGGTTCCATCTCCAGCTCTGGGAGGAGAGCGGGGATTTCTCCTTCAACCGAGGCTGAAATTAGTAGTATTTAATGCCTGCAAGGCAGCAATGCCAGGGAGCCCGCACTCCTGGGTTCTCTCCCCAGCTCTGAGAGGGGAGTGGGGTCTAGTGGTTAGAGGGGGGAGGGTGTTTAGGAATCAGACTGGGTTATCTGGGGTTTTCTGCCCCCTTTCGGTCACCCCATGGGGGTTTCCAAAGATCTCATGGCTGGAGAATGCTGAGGGGAGTTATAGGGCTGGGTCTTTCCATGGGAGCTAGAGTCTCATCTCATTAGTGAATCGGGAGTCACTAATCCTAAACCCCGTGCACACGGCAAAACACCGCACGCACAAAACTGTTCACAGAAGCACCATTTGCACACAGGGCCTGTCAAAAATCAGAGGGAACGGTGCCCCTGGGCTGCAATGGGGTCATGGCCAGATCATCTCATCTCAGTTCCCCTGGTGTAAATCTTGAGCTACCCCCTGGGAAACTGCAGGGTAGTTAATGGACTCACTCCGGATTCACACCCGTTTACTTGTAAGCGGGGCTATCACACCAGCTCCGCTCTCTGCATGGGTTGGGGGCACGAGCTGATTTCCTGCCTTCCCAATACGCCCAGCCTCAAGCAGTCGGAAGTTGCCAAACCAACCGGCAGGACATTGCTCACGGCTCTGAAATAATCGGTGGGCTATTTGGATCTTGCCGGGGGGTGATCACGCTGCCCGTCCATGCTTCTTTGAGTTGGCACTCCGCTGAGTCTGGCTGCATTTCGGATGCAGGGGCCGGGCGAGGAATATCTTTTCCTCTCTGCAGTGGACTGAAACTCCGTGGCCCGGTCAGTTCGGTTCGGCAGACTTCAACGTGTCTCGTGGCCATTGGACAGCGAAGAGCCATCTTGATGTTTTTTTAGCATTTTATTTCTGCTCTGGTTGGCTTTTTAAGGCTTCACCATGGAGCGACACGCTGGATTTTAAGGGTTTTGTTCCCTGTGTGGCGATGTAAACTGGCACAATGGCGGGCAGTTATGGGGGCCGGCCGACTCAAATGATGGCATGACAGGAGAGGTCGCGATTCAAGCTTCGTAACTGTTAAGAACACAAATGGTCAAAATAGACACAATAAATAGCCTTCAAGCAACCCGCGCCTTTGTCTGATGGTGCCTTGCTGTAATTTTTGACGAGCGATGGATTTGTCGGCTTGTGCGGGTACAGTGAAATCCATTAGGGATTAAAAAATCGACTCCCGCCAAAGCTGGACCATAGTGAATGGTCCTCAACTGAAATTCAGACAGCCGCGCTCTGTCTGTGGGCAGGTTTAGCAGGGGCTTGGTCTCGCGGAGTTAATAAATCGGCTCTGGCTCTCCAGCCGTTTCTCACCGGCTCACGCCGCAGGAAGAAGCCGCATACCCGAGAGCAGCGGTTCTCCAACGGCGGCTCGGGACCCCAAAGTGGGTTGGGACCCCATTTTATTGGGGGGGCCAGGGCTGGCTTAGACCGCATCCCGCTGCCCAGGGCTGAAAGCGAAGCCCGAGGGCTTCAGCCCTGGGCGGTGGGGCTCAGGTGACAGGCCCCCTTCCTAGGGTCGTGGAGTAATTTTTGTTGTCAGACGGGGGTCACAGTGCAGTGAAGTTAGAGAACCCCAGAACTAGAGACCCCAGGGCAAAAGGGGCCAGTGAGAAGGTGAGAGATTTGGGGGTCATCCTGGCAAAGCAGCTCAACATGTGTGACTCATGGCCAAAGGGGCTAATGCGAGCCCGGGCTGGCTAAAGAGGGGAATCTGAAGGAGGAGCAGAGAGCTTATGGATGCAGCTAATTTGGGGAGGGGTCGAAGACCTGCTGTACAAGGATCGCCTCCGCAGGGTCAGTTGATTTCGCTGAACAAAGAGAAGGTCCAAGGGTGACTTGATCCCAGTCTAAAAATACCCCCCCCCCGAACAAATACTGAATAAGGGGCTTCTCTAGCAGAGAAAAGGTCCAACGCGATCCAAGGGCTGGAAGCTGAAGTTAGACAACGTCAGCCGGGAAAGAAAGTGTAAATTCTTAACGAGGAGAGTTTTTATAGTGGACCATTTTTAAATCAAGCGAGGATGGGGTTTTTTGACAAGATCTGCTCTAAGAATTATTTTGAGGCAGGTCTCTGGCCTGGGGCAGACTAGATATCCACGGCGGTGGCTTCTGCGCTGGGAATCGGTACCGTTCTGGAGGGCTCACTGCTTTTGTCGGGCTCCGGGTGTGCCTCTCGGGGGAGCCAGTCACGGGCAACTAGGCCGCGTTAGCCGTCGGAACCGCTGGCCTCAGTGTTTACTCCGCTCCGCCTACCCTCCAGGGGCGAGCCCAGCGCTCGGCCGGGCGGAAGGGGATAAATATAGAGATTCCCTCGCAAGCCAAGCAAGGAACCTGCATGCCAGAAAACTCGGTGCCCAAGGCGGGTTTCAGAGAGATAATAAATACCCCCCCGGCCCGTAACAAACTCGGACAGGTCTGACGAGTGACTGACGATTCAGTTGAGGCCAGGGAGCGGTAAAAACTGGAGGCTGACTTCAGAAAGAAGAGGAGGAAATGACACAGGGTGGAATTCAGTAAAGAATGGCCCAGTAGTTAGAGGAGAGAGGACAGGGACTCTGGTTCACTCCCCAGCGCTGGGAGGGGAGTGGGGTCGAGTGGGATAGAGCAGGAGGGCTGGGATCCAGGACTCCTGGGTTCTATCCCCAGCTCTGGGAGGGGGTGGGGTCTAGTGGGATAGAGCAGGGGGGCTGGGAGCCAGGACTCCTGGGTTCCATCCCCAGCGCTGGAAGGCGAGTGAGGTCTAGTAGGTTAGAGGGGGGGCTGGGAGCCAGGACTCCTGGGTTCCATCCCCAGCGCTGGGAGGGGGTGGGGTCCGTGGGATAGAGCAGGGGGTCTGGGAGTAGGATGTGGGTTCCATCCCCAGAGCTGGAGGGTCTGTAGGTTGAGGGGGGCTGGGAGCCAGGACTCCTGGGTTCCATCCCCAGCGCTGGGAGGGGGGTGGGGTCTAGTGGGATAGAGCAGGGGGTCTGGGAGCTAGGACTCCTGGGTTCCATCCCCAGAGCTGGAAGGCGAGTGAGGTCTAGTAGGTGAGAGGGGGGGCTGGGATCCAGGACTCCTGGGTTCCATACCCAGCGCTGGGAGGGGAGTGGGGTCTAGTGGGATAGAGCAGGGGGGCTGGGAGCCAGGACTCCTGGGTTCCATCCCCAGCGCTGGGAGGGGGGTGGGGTCTAGTGGGATAGAGCGGGGCGGGGTGAGAACCTGCCAAGAGTCTGACAGAAGAACACAGTAGCTGTTATGCCAATAAGTCTTTATTACAAGAAGGGTGAGGAACACAGGCCTGCGGCTGAGAGCAGGGCCTGATCGCTCCCAGGTACCTGCAGCAGCCCCCACCAAGCTCGGCTGTCCCCCACCCCAAGCTGGGATGACACACACGGACCCACCCCCACAATGACTCCCCAACCCCCCTCCCCCCGCGCACAAGGAAGTGTGTGGGGGGAATAACTCCCCAACCCCACCCAGACTTCACTAACAGATTTTCCCCAAGGGCTGCATAGATGTTTATGGGTTAAACTGGAGAAGCCCCGACCCCGGAAGCGTTACGGATCCCCAATCTAAAAATGGGGAAACCGAGGCACAGAGTGGCATGCACCTCACAGTTACATAATGACAGCAAAGAGGGAGGACTGGGCAAAGAACCCTGGAGTCCTGAACCCCCCTTCCTGATGCTCTAACCACTAGACCCCACTTCCCTCCCAGAGCTGGGGACAGAACCCAGGTGTCCTGGCTCCCAGCCCCCCCAGCTCTAACCCACTTCACTCCACTCCCCTCCGAGAGCTGGAAGAGAACCCAGGAGTCCTGCCCCTACCCCGGCTCTAACCATGAGACTCCCCGCTCCCCTCCCAGAGGTGTGTCGAATCTCCCAGTGGAACTCAGACACCCTCGGATTTCTTCTCTCTGTAGTGGTGGGGTTGTGCTAAACTCCTCTCCACCCACTTCCTGTTTAGTCCCCACCCACCCCACAGACTAGAGCCGGGGCGCCGTAGTGGGGAAAGGCCCCCGGTCCCATTCCCCATCTCGGCACCTCTCCGCTGCTTCTCTACAGCGCGGCCTCTACGGCAACGGGGAACGCTGCCTACTCGCTAATGTTGCCAACAGAGCGGATTACGGCATCCTCACCCCACCAGCTCCACGGCTCTAACCCACTAGACCCCACTTCCCTCCCGGAGCCGAGGATAGAACCCAGGAATCCTGGCTCCCAGCCTCCCCTGCTCTAACCACTACACCCCACTCCCTTCCCACACCCGGGGACAGAACCCAGGAGTCCTGGCTCCCACCTCCCCTGCTCTAACCACTACACCGCACTCCCCTCCCAGAGCCAGGGACAGAACCCAGGAGTCCTGGCTCCCAGCCTTCCCTGCTCTAACCACTACACCGCACTCCCCTCCCAGAGCCAGGGACAGAACCCAGGAGTCCTGGCTCCCAGCCTTCCCTGCTCTAACCACTACACCACACTCCCCTCCCAGAGCCAGGGACAGGACCCAGGAGTCCTGGCTCCCAGCCTCCCCTACTCTAACCACTACACCCCACTCCCTTCCCACACCCGGGGACAGAACCCAGGAGTCCTGGCTCCCAGCCTTCCCTGCTCTAACCACTACACCGCACTCCCCTCCCAGAGCCGGGGACAGAACCCAGGAATCCTGGCTCCCAGCCTTCTAACCACAAAATCCCACTCCCCTCCCAGAGCCGGGGACAGAACCCGGGAGTCCTGGCTCCCAGTCCTCCCTGCTCTAACCCACTAGGCCCCACTCCCCTCCCAGAGCCAGGGAAAGAACCCAGGAGTCCTGGCTCCCAACCCCTGCTGCTCTAACCCACCAGACCCCAATCCCCTGCAAGATCCAGGGATAGAACCCAGGAGTCCGGGCTCCCACTGCTCCCCTGCCCCTCCCACGCCTGTACACAAAAGACAGATACATTTTGTTCAGACCCAAACCCTCCACGCTGATCAGCGTCAACCTCAGAGGGTTCCCAGTGTGTCTCCCCCGCAGCCCTCCTTCCCTCACTGCTTCCCCCCTCCCCATTGCCACCCCCCCGGGGGGGGGGGGGGATGCAGATTCTCACACTCCCGTGCCTACAGCCCTTCCTCGACCGCCACCCCGAGCGCCGCGGAGAGCCCCGGCGTCCCGGCCCCCGGCCCCACCTCCAGAGCCGCGGAGGCCGCCGGTGCCCCGGCTGCCGGGGGCGCCGCCCCGGCTCGCTCCTGGGCCAGGAGCTCCTCGCGGGCGTGCAGCTTCTGGTGACGGGTGTACTGCAGCAGGTAGCGGAAGGCCAGGCCGCAGCGGGAGCACCGGTAGGGCTTCTCCCCGGTGTGGATGCGCTGGTGTTGGACCAACGCCGAGCTCTGGCTGAAGCTCTTCCCGCACGCCCCGCAGGCGTAGGGCCGCTCGCCGGTGTGGGTCCGGCGGTGCTGGGCCAGGGCCGAGCTGTGGCCGAAGGCCCGGCCGCAGTCGGGGCAGGCGTAGGGCCGCTCGCCGGTGTGGGTCCGGCGGTGCTCCAGCAGCTTGGAGCTCTGGGAGAAGCCCCGGCCGCACTCCCCGCACCGGAAGGGCCGCTCGCCGGTGTGGGTGCGTCGGTGCTGGGCCAGGTGGGAGCTCTGCCGGAAGCTCTTGCCGCAGTCGCCGCAGATGTAGAGGGTGCCGGGCGGGCGGGCCTCCCCGCCGGCCCGGTGCGCCTTGCGGTGCTGGGCCAGGTGGGAATTCTGCCCGAAGCCGCGCCCGCAGTCCGGGCAGCGGAAGGGGCGCTCGCCGGTGTGGACCCGGCGGTGCTGCGCCAGGTGGGAGCGGACGCCAAAGCTCTTGCCGCAGTCCGGGCAGCGGTGGGGCTTCTCGCCGGCGTGGGCCCGCCGGTGCCGCAGCAGGGTGGAGCTGAGGCCGAAGGTCTTGCCGCACTCGGGGCACTGGTAGGGGCGCTCCCCGCTGTGGGTGGTCTGGTGCTGGAGCAGGGTGGAGCTGAGGCTGAAGGCCTTGCCGCACTCGGTGCAGCGGAAGGGCCGCTCGCCGGTGTGGGTGCGCTGGTGCTGGGTACGGGTGGAGCTCTCCGAGAAGCGCTTCCCGCACAGGCCGCAGGGGAAGGGCTTCTCGCCGGTGTGGGTGCGCCGGTGGTTGAGCAGGTTGGAGTTGCGGTTGAAACTCTTGCCGCACTCGGGGCACTGGTAGGGGCGCTCGCCGGTGTGGATGATCTGGTGCTGGAGCAGGGTGGAGCTGAGGCTGAAGGCCTTGCCGCAGTCCGGGCACTTGTAGGGACGCTCGCCGGTGTGGACCCGCCGGTGCTGCAGCAGGTTGGAGCTGCGGCTGAAGGCCTTGCCGCAGTCCGGGCACTTGTAGGGACGCTCGCCGGTGTGGGTGCGTTGGTGCTGGAGGAAGGTGGAGCCCCGGCTGAAGGCCCGCCCGCACTCCCCGCATTTATAGGGCCGCTCGCCCGTGTGGATGCGGCGGTGCTGTGCCAGGGTGGAGTTGGAGCCGAAGGATTTGCCGCAGTCCGGGCACTGGAAGGGGCGCGCCGGCGGGGCGGGGCGGGAGGGCGGCGGGCCCGGATTGCCGGCGAGGTCGAAGGCGGGGGGGGGTTCCGAGCCGGCGTGCAACCCACGTTCCCCGTCCCCGCGCGAGCCACGACGGAAGCGGAGCTCCCCGCCCTCGTGCGAGCCAGCAGGCAAGCCCCGCTCGCCGTCTTCGTCGGAGCCCCGATGGAAGTTTAGCTCGCCGTCTTCGTCGGAGCCGGCGTGCAACCCAAGCTCGCCGTCCTCGTGCGAGCCGGCGTGCAGCCTGAACTCGTCATCTTCATCTGAGTGCAACCCAAGCTCGCCGTCCTCGGGCAAGCCAGCGTGCAGCCTGAACTCACTGTCTTCATCTGAGCCGGCGTGCAACCCAAGCTCACTGTCCTCGTGCGAGCCAGCGTGCAGCCCGAACTCACCGTCTTCATCTGAGCCGCCCTGCAGGCCACGCTCACCATCCTTGTGCGAGCCAGTGTGAAGCCCAAGCTCGCCGTCTTCTTCCGAGCCGGCGTGGAACCCGAGCTCACCGTCCTCGTGCGAGCCAGTGTGAAGTCCAAGCTCAATGTCTTCTTCCGAGCCGGCGTGGAACCCGAGCTCACCGTCCTCGTGCGAGCCAGTGTGAAGTCCAAGCTCAATGTCTTCTTCCGAGCCGGCGTGGAACCCGAGCTCACCGTCCTCGTGCGAGCCGGCGTGCAACCTGAACCCACCATCTTCATGTGAGCCCCGTTGGAAGTCGAGCTCACTGTCTTCCCCCGAGCTGGCGTGCAGCCCGAGCTCACAGTCCTCGTGCGAGCCACGAGGGTAGCTCCTCCGGTAGGCTGCGGGGCTGCTGTCCGGCTGGGAGCAGGCATCCCCCACTGCCCCGCTGCCGGCTGGGCTGTCCGGCCCCCACTCCTCGTTATCCGACCAGCACTGGATGTCGCACGAGATCCCCTGTTCCGAGCCAGCCGGGCTCGGCGGCTTTTCCTCTTCCTCGGCCCACGGAGAGGGGCTGTGCTCTTCTGCCTCGCTCATGGCTGGGACTGGGGGGAGAAGAGAGGAGTTCATGGAGTGACGGGCCAAGAGGGGACCTGACCCCCCTGGGCTGGGAGCCCGGACTCCTGGGTTCTCTCCCCGGCTCTGGGAGGGGAGTGGGGGCTAGTGGGTGAGTGAGGGAGGCTGGGAGCCAGGACTCCTGGGTTCTCTCCCTGGCTCTGGGAGGGGAGTGGGGGCTAGTGGGTAGAATCGGGGGAGGCTGGGAGCCCGGACTCCTGGGTTCTATCCCCCTGGGCTACAAAGGCTGCGGGGGGGAGCGGGGGTCCGTGCTGTTCTCCCCAGGACAAGGCGAGGGGAAGGGCTGGGGATTGGGGAGGGGACACACAGCCCAGGAGGTGAGGAGGGAAGAAGAGGAGAAATCTGCACCAGGGCTGGGAAGTGAGCCAGGGGGTGCCCCCAAACAGCCCCAGTCTGGGTGCTAAGCACTACACCCCAAGCTGGAATCCAAGGGCAAAACTACCCTGAACCCCAAACGGGCCAGGCTGGGGGGGGGATGAGACCCTGCACCGCCCGCCCCGTACACCCCTCGAGCGGACCGGGCTGGGGGGGGTGAGACCCTGCACCACCCGCCCCGTGTACCCTTAGAGTGGGCCGGGCTGGGAGGGATCCTGTACCGCCCCCCCTCTCCGTGCACCCCCCGAGTGGGCCGAGCTGGGGGGGACCCCCCCCCCACCCCCCGAGCGCCGGGCTGGGGGAACCACCGCCCCCCCATACACCCCACGAGCGGGCCGGGCTGGGGGGGACACCCTGCACCGCCCCCCCCGTACACCCCACGAGCAGGCCGGGCTGGGGGGGACACCCTGCACCGCCCCCCCCATACACCCCACGAGCGGGCCGGGCTGCGGGGGGGGACCCTGCACCGCCCCCCCGGTACACCCCCCGAGCGACCCGGGCTGCGGGGGGGACCCTGCACCGCCCCCCCGTACACCCCGCGAGCGGCCCGGACTGGGGGGGGAACTCTGCACCCCCCCCCGTGCACCCCCCGAGCGGGCCGGGGCTGGGGGGGACCCTGCACCGCCCCCCCCCGTGCACCCCCCGAGCGGGCCGGGCTGGGGGGGACCCTGCACCGCCCCCCCCGTGCACCCCCCGAGCGGGCCGGCCTGGGGGGGGACCCTGCACCGCCCCCCCCGTGCACCCCCCGAGCGGGCCGGCCTGGGGGTGGACCCTGCACCCCCCCCCGTCACCCCCGACGGGGGCTGGGGGGCCCGCCCCCCTCACCCCCCGAGCGGGCCGGGCTGGGGGACCTGCTCCGCCCCCCCGTGCACCCCCAGCGGGCGGCCTGGGGGGACCTCCTGGGGCCCCCCCCCCTCACCCCCGAGCGGGCCGGCCTGGGGGGCCCCCCCGCCCCCCGAGCGGCCGGCTGGGGGCTCGGCTCCCTGCCTGGATCCCGGGCGGCCCCGACTCACCCGCGCCGGGAGGGTGGGGGCTGGATCCCCGCTGGGGGCCCCGATCCGGCCCCTGGGGCCCAGCCGGCGCCGAGCCCAGGGCCGGGGGTGGGCGGGGGCCGGTAACAGGAAGGTCCCGGCGTGAAAGCGGCTCCCGGTTACGCACTTCCGAGGCGGGGGGTTTGAACTGGCGCCCGGGAGGGCTGGAGCCGGAGCCCCGAAGCCAGGGCGATGGGCGGGGAGCCACGCCCAGAGATGGGGGGGGCGGATTTCCCCAGCGGGAGGGGCCACCCCCTGGCCCACAGCGCCCCCCTCTGCCCCCACACCCATCCGCCCCATAGCCCTCTGGGCCCCACCCTCCTGCGCCCCCCTCTGCACCCCCCCACACCCATCCGCCCCATAGCCCTCTGCGCCCCACTCTCCTGCGCTCCCCATGCATGCACAGCGCCCCCCTCTGTACCCACACCCATCCGCCCCATAGCCCTCTGGGCCCCCCACCCACAGCCCCCTCTGCATGCATAGGCCCCCTACACACAGCCCCCCATGCAACCCCCGACAGTCTCTACCACTCCCCCAGACATCCCCCTCCCCTTGCATGCACCCAGCACCCCCATGGCCCCCTCCACCCGGCACACACACGCAGTCCCTCTCTGCACCCCGTATACATACACACAGCCCCTCTGTGCCCAGGTGTGTACACACACACCCCAGAGCTAGAGGTGCCCGTTTTGGTTGGAGGTATTCCTGGATGACCATCTTTCATTAAAGATTAATCTTTACTTCCTGCAGAGTCTAGGATAATCCCGGATTGTTGGCAGGAGAGACCCAAGCTCCCTTGCAGGGATATTCTCCAAGTGCAGCTGGTAGGAGACAAAACATTTCCGCTTTCCCCACTCAGAACTAGGCAAAACTTGTCCAGTTTGATTTTATTCCGGATTAAAACGAACAGATCTGGGGTTTTTTTTTTTAACATAAGGAGCCTTTGACCCCATGGAACCACAAAAACACCCACCTTCTGAACAGAAAACAAAGTCTTTTGTTTCATTCTGAACACCCTGAAGTTGTTTTCCACTGTCTGCAAGATGTAAGCCGTTGTCTGAGCCAACCTAGATGCCAGTTCATATTGCTGTAACGAGGAAAGATTTTTACACTTCCATTGTTCCTCCCAGAAAATGGCGATGAATGTATTGTCTTTTAAACACAAAGTGAAACACTCTCACTTTTTCGGGTGGCGATTGACTGGAAATTAATGGGGAAACAAAGTGAGATGACTTAACTTTCCATTGAAACTAAATGAAATCCTTCTCTTTTTACATGGTTAAATATTGGACTTTGCCTCACTGTCGCGAAGTGAACATGGTAATCAGCACCCTTTTTACAAGAAAGGGAAACATTTTGACTTTCTGATCACAAACGAAAGAAAACCGGCTTTTGAATTAACTGAAATTTCAGCTTTTCCCAATTCAAAGCAATTTTCCTTCGGACTCAACACAAAGTGCAGGTCAGGGTTTTGGGGTTGTTGATTTTGTTTTTTTTTTAAAGATTCACCATGTTTTGAATTTGTTTGATGGAAAAATCAATCACTTTAGCTAGAGCAGACATTTCCTTGCCCCCCCCCCCAAATCAGTTTAGATGAAGACACCAAGGCCAAAGGAGACAGCCCCTGCCCCTAAAAGCTCACAGTCCAAATAAACAAAGCCAGGATCATTCCCCCATTTTACACATGGGGAAACTGAGGCCCAAACCGATTCAGTCACTCCCCAGAAGTCACATGGGGAGTATGTGACAAAGCCAGGGATAGAACCCAGGCATCCTGACTCCCAGTCCCCACTAGACCCTGCTTCCCTCCCAGAGCTGGGGATAGAACCCAGGCGTCCTGGCTCCCAGCACCCCCTGCTCTAACCCGCCAGACCCCACTCTTCTCCCAGAGCTGGGGAGAGAACCCAGGCGTCCTGGCTCCCAGCCCCCCCTGCTCTAACCCAACAGACCCCACTCCCCTCCCAGAGCTGGGGATAGAACCCAGGCGTCCCGGCTCCCAGCCCCCGCTCCCCTGACTCTAACCTACTTAACCCCGCTCCCCTCCACCTAGGGAGAGAACAAAAGTTGGGCAAGAAGTAGCTTTTGTGTTGAGCAGGAAACGCCAAGATTTCAAAAAAATGTCAGTTCCCAAACCATTCTTTTTTGGGGAAACGTCTTGAAAAATGACGTGTGTGTGTGTGTGTGTGGGGGGGGGGGAATCACTTTGCGTCAATCAAAATGTTATGTTCCAATTTCAACCTTTACCAAAAATTATGTCCTATAAACACTTATGTATAGTTCTATTAAATAGACAATTCTTTATATAATTTTTTAAAAGCCAGACTATGAAATATTGCATATGAAATATTAATTGTATACGTATACATATATCATTGTATTTAAGTATTCTATCTAGCACACACTGGTCTCAATTTAGTTTTCACTTCAATTTATATTCTATGAATATTCGGCTCGGGAGAACTAGCTTTGACATTTATAATTTGGACTGATCGTGACGTTTATTTGTCAGCTTTTTGATATTTTTATCAACTTAAAACTTTCAGAGTTGCAGGAAATTCTGGGAGAGTCCGCTAGTTCTTTAATGATTGTCTCATCAAAGCCAAATGCTTCTATGATTATCTGTCCATTTCGATGATTACGAATGGAAATATTTTTCCATGGCGGATGGTGACATTGACATTGACGGATACAAATGAGCAGATACAAATCCAATCCTTCCAGGCTTAAACAGTGTTGGGCTGAGAATTATGATAAATGTAAAATTAAAAAAAATCAAAATGAACCATCACGTTGAAGCAAAAAAACCAAAATGCCCTGATCTGATTCTCCCCCGGCCCTGCCATTCCCTCCGCCCCGAAATGTCATCAGAATGTTTCCATGGCATTTTTTCCCTATACAAACATGATCCCTCTTTGGAAACTTTCCCACTGCCTCTAGCCAGGACCCAGGAGTCCTGGCTCCCACGCCGGTACCTTCAACTCAAGCGCGTCTTCGCCCCTTATCACTCGCCCACCGATTATGGATCATGGGGCAACATGGAAATCGGTCTCCTGTGAGGACCAATGTCTGCAGCATTGTTTCAGAGGATCCAGGGCCTACCACCAAGGATGGCTAATCTGCGGCTGGAGTCCAAGATGCCACCGGGACCCCATCCACTCTTGATTGAAAACTTGCCAGTGATGGACACTCCGCCACGGCCCTTGGGAAATTGTTCCCATGGTGAATTCCCCTCCCTGTTACAAATTTGCACCTTATTTCCCATCTGAACTGGTCTAGCTTCAACTTCCAGCCGTTGGATCATGTTAGACTTTTCTCTGCTAGACTGAAGAGCCCACGGTCACATCTGTTCCCCACGGAGGTACTTGTAGACCATGATCTAGTCACCCCGCAGCCTTCTCTTTGTTCCTCTAAACAGCTTGAGCTCCGGCAGTCTCTCTCTCTAAGGCAGGTTGTCCAGTCCTTTAATCGTTCTTCTCCGACCCCTCGCCAATCGATCCACATCCTTCTTGAACCGTGGGCACCAGAACTGGACACAGGACTCCACCAGCGGTCGCACAAGGGCCAAATCCAGGGGGGAAATAAACCTCTCTGCTCCTACTCACCATTCCCCTGTTTGCACATCCCAGGATCACACTAGCTGGATCTTTAGATCCTTTTCAGAGTCCCTGCTTGGCAGGATACAGTGTGGCCTGGCGCTCGGCTCCGTCTTGCTTTGGAGCATGAAATAGCCGGGGTTGATGGGTTTGAGAGTTTTTTTTTCTATGTGTAAGGTGGTGCTTATAAAACCACTGGATGGCTCATGGGGGCAGGGAATGGGGCCCGGGGCTTTTCCCTCTACGGGGCGCCGGCTCTGATCCGACCCCAGGGCAGAGGACTGGCTGGCTCAGGGCAAGGGGCAGATTTTCAGGGGGGTAGAGTTCCCCGCCGAATCATAGAGCCCGGGGCAGAAATAGGGATACACACTCTCTGCAAACCGGGCGCTGAACGTATAGAGGTGGGACATGCCCCAGGCATCATAGAAGGAAACCTGGCCCCCTTCGTAGTCCAGGTACACCCCAATCCTGTGGGGCAGGGCCTGGGGGCGGAGCACCACTGGGGGCGTGTCCTTGGCCATGAGCTCGGCCCCGCCCCGGAGCCGAATGACCCAGAATCCCTTGCTGGGGGAGGCATGGATCTTCCCTTTGCGGCTGATGGAGGCGTGGACCACGCCCAGCGTCCACGCCGGCTTCTCCCCGACCTCCACCTCCCAGTAGCGCCTCCCGGAGGTGAACGCCCCCGCGCCCAGCACGGCCACGCAGAAATCGAAGCGGGCGGGCGTGTCGGGGAGAGGCCGGCGGAGGTGGCCGTCCCGGACTCGGGTGCGATCCTCCGAGAGAACCAGGCAGGGATGAGCCGTGGCGGGATCCAGCGTCACCTGGGGAAGATCTGGGGAGGGAAAAGGAGCAGGGGTATGGGGGGCAGGGTTGGTTTAACATGGGACCCCCTATTGAGCCCCCTGCCCCTCCCCACTCCCTGCAGCACAGCGCCCCCTAGCGCTGCACTGGGGCATTGGGCCAGCCCTGACTGCCAGGGGAGAGCGCCCCCTGCTGATCCCCATCTCTTACCTATGTTGAGGATAGATTTCATGTTCTTCCAGGCAGTATACTGGATCGGCCCTTTGAATTGCCCCAGAGTCTGTGATTGGGACCCTGTATTTGGCCCACAAGGGGTAGCCAGTTGCTGCTTTGCCCTATATGAGAGGGAAGAACCGTGCCCCCCCCGCCCCATAGCGTGTGTTAGTGACTGAGCAATGGGGATGGAGGTGTGGGGGAATCAGGGAATGAAGCTGCTTCTGCAGTGGCAGACTTACCAGTCCAGGAAGGATTTTATGTCCTGCGAGGGGACGGACACGGAGAGAGAGAAACAAGGAATTAGTAGAGTTCTGTCTCTTTAAGACACTGTGGGGCGCTGGGAGTGGCTGGCTCAGTGGGGTGGGGAACAGGACATGGGGCTTTTCCCCTCTCGGGGGCGCCGACTCCCATCCAGACCCACGGTGGGGGACTGGCTGGATCAGCGGGGTGGGGAATGGGAGACGGGGCCTTTCCCCGGGGCGACTCCCATCCAGACCCACGGTGGGGGACTGGGGTGGGGAACAGGACATGGGGTCTTTCCCCTCTAGGGGGCGCCGACTCCCATCCAGACCCACGGTGGGGGACTGGCTGGATCAGTGGGGTGGGGAACAGGACATGGGGTCTTTCCCCTCTAGGGGGCGCCGACTCCCATCCAGCCCCACGGTGGGGGACTGGCTGGATCAGCGGGGTGGGGAATGGGAGACGGGGCCTTTCCCCTCTAGGGGGCGCCGACTCCCATCCAGACCCACGGTGGGGGACTGGCTGGATCAGCGGGGTGGGGAATGGGAGACGGGGCCTTTCCCCTCTAGGGGGCGCCGACTCCCATCCAGCACCACGGTGGGGGACTGGCTGGATCAGCGGGACGGGGAATGGGAGACGGGGCCTTTCCCCACTAGGGGGCGCTGGACTCACCGTCAGGAACTCCATGGTGCTCTGCTGGGGCAGGTGGGCCTGGGCCTCGGTGAGCATCTCCTGGGCTGCCTGGCATTTCCCCGCCAGCTCCTGCAGGTTCGTCTGCATCGCCCGCAGCTGGGCGCTGCCCGCCCGCCGCAGCCTCTCCTGCCACTCCCCCTCCCGGGCGGCCAGCCAGCCCCGCAGCGTCCCGAACTCCGCGGAGATGTGATCTTCCAGGCTGAGCACCGTCGCCTGGAAAACAGCAGCTCGAACACCCCCTAGGTACCCTTGGGCATCTCGTGAGCTAGTACTTCAGGTACCAGACATCGTCGACAGCTAATACTCCCTGGGACCCAGCATTCCTTGAGCTAATACTCCCAGGTACCTGCCAGTGTCCTTCTATAGCCAGTACTCTCTGAGATGCAGCATTTGTCCAGCTAATACTCCCTGGTACCCAACATTTCCTGAGCTAATACCCCAGACACCCTTCCACAGCGAATACTCCCTGGTACCCGCATTGCTCCAGCTACTCGAGTACCCAGCAACTTTCTAGAGCTAATGCTCCCAGGATACTCCCAGGTACCTCCCCCCCCCCCGTGCATGGCAAATACCCCCAGGTACCCAATATCTCCATATAGTTAATACTCCCAGGTACCTACCCCCTTGTGCATGGCGAATACCCCAGACACCCTTCTACAGCGAATACTCCCTGGTACCCACATTGCTCCAGCTACTCGAGTACCCAGCAACTTTCTAGAGCTAATGCTCCCAGGATACTCCCAGGTACCTACCCCGCTGTGCATGGCGAATACCCCCAGGTACCCAATATCTCCATGGAGCTAATATTCCCAGGTAGCTACCCTCTGTGCATAGCGAATACCCCCAGGTACCTAATATCTCCATATAGCTAATACTCCCAGGTAGCTACCCTCTGTGCATAGCGAATACCCCGAGGTACCCAATATCTCCATATAGCTAATACTCCCAGGTACCTACCCCCTGTGCATGGTGAATACCCCCAGGTACCCAATATTTCCATGGAGATAATACTCCCAGGTACCTACCCCCTGTGCATGGCGAATACCCCCCAGGTACCCAATATCTCCATGGAGCTAATACTCCCAGGTAACCAGGAAGTAACTTCACTATACACCAAGTACCTCACATTCTCTCCCAGCTATGGTAAGACTCAAGGTACCCCACCCCCAGCCCTACCCTTACCCCTCACAGGTGACTCAGCCGTGCTGTCCCCCAGAGGGCTGCCTGCCTCCTCCCCAGAGTCCCTCGGGTAGCGGGGTGGGGGTGGGAGGTGGGGTCGGGGATCCCGCCCTTCCTCGATCCACCCAGCCCCGGGTACCTGGTGGTTCCGAATCCTCTCTTCCTTCTCCGTCTTCAGCGTCCGGAGCCGAGCGAGGCTGGACTCCAGCTGGGCAATGGCTGAGGGCAGCTCTTCCTGCGGGGCAGCAAACAGGCTGGAGGCGAGGGTGGGGCGGGGGGTCACAGGCCAGCGTCCCCAGCTTTACCCCACCAGACCCCACTCTCCAACCAGAGTGGCCCACAGAACCCAGGAGTCCTGGCTCCCAGCACCCTCTGCTCTAACCCACTAGATCCCACTCCCCCGGGGCTCCGAGAGCAGGGGAAAAAACCCAGGAGTCCCAGCACCCTCTGGCAAATACTCCCAGCACCCTCTGCTCTAACCCACTAGACCCCACTCCCCTCCCCAAGCTGGGGAGAGAACCCAGGAGTCCTGGGGCTTCCCGGTCTCACCTGATGCTGCCCAGTGGCCTGGTGGATGGGGAGGAACGGGAGGTTTTCGGATGTGGCTGGTTCCCTGGCGGCGAATTCCCCACCCTCCACCCCCCAGGGTTCGCTGTGCTCCGGGCACCTGCCCCCTGGGCACGCCCCCTCCTCTGCCCCACCAGGGCTCAGGCCCCTGGCCTGGTCGATCAGCTTCCTCAGCAGCCTGCAGGGCGCATATCTCCTGTCGGGGCAGGGCTCCCGGCATTCAGGGCAGGCAGGGGCGACGCCCAGGGTGCCCCACGTTGTCTCGATGCAGCCCTGGCAGTAGACGTGGCCGCAGGGCAGGGTGACGGGATCCTGCAGCCAGTCCAGGCACACGGGGCAGGAGAACTCCTTGGAGAGAGACCCCAATTGGGGGGCAGAAGAGGCCATGGGGTAGGGGGCAGATCCTGGCTCCCAGCCCCCCTGCTGTAACCAGTAGACCCCACTGCCCGCCCTGGGCCGGGGGAGATCCCAGGAGTTGCCGTTCCTGTGCGTGCTGCAGGCCGGCCCAGGGAAAGGTGCGGCCCAGGCTCCCTTTGCTCTCCCCACAGGGAGTTTCTCACTCGCAGGGTGTGTGCCCCAGATCTCTGCTCAACACACCCAGCCAGAGAGAGATGCTCAGAGATAGACGCGGAGCCCGGCCAAGGAAACACCCGCCCCACCCCCACCGGCTAACAGCCAGAATCACCCCCCCCACACCCCCACCGGCTAACAGCCAGAATCACCCCCCCCACCCCCACCGGCTAACAGCCAGAATCACACCCCCCACCCCCACCGGCTAACAGCCAGAATCACCCCCCCACACCCCCACCGGCTAACAGCCAGAATCACCCCCCCCCACCGGCTAACAGCCAGAATCACACCCCCCACCCCCACCGGCTAACAGCCAGAATCACACCCCCCACCGGCTAACAGCCAGAATCACACCCCCACCCCCACCGGCTAACAGCCAGAATCACCCCCCCACCCCCACCGGCTAACAGCCAGAATCACACACACCCCACACCGCTAACAGCCAGAATCACACCCCCCACCCCCACCGGCTAACAGCCAGAATCACCCCCCCCACCCCCACCGGCTAACAGCCAGAATCACACCCCACCCCCACCCCACCGGCTAACAGCCAGAATCACACCCCCCCACCCCCACCGGCTAACAGCCAGAATCACCCCCCCCACCCCCACCGGCCAACAGCCAGAATCACACCCCCCACACCGGCTAACAGCCAGAATCACACCCCCACCCCCACCGGCTAACAGCCAGAATCACACCCCCCCACCCCCACCGGCTAACAGCCAGAATCACACCCCCCCCCACCGGCTAACAGCCAGAATCACCCCCCCACCCCCACCGGCTAACAGCCAGAATCACACCCCCCCCCACCGGCTAACAGCCAGAATCACACCCCCCACCCCCCACCGGCTAACAGCCAGAATCACCCCCCACCCCCACCGGCTAACAGCCAGAATCACCCCCCCACCCCCACCGGCTAACAGCCAGAATCACACCCCCCCACCCCCACCGGCTAACAGCCAGAATCACACCCCCACCCCCACCGGCTAACAGCCAGAATCACACACCCCCCACACCGGCTAACAGCCAGAATCACACCCCCACCCCCACCGGCTAACAGCCAGAATCACCCCCCCACCCCCACCGGCTAACAGCCAGAATCACACACCCCCACACCGGCTAACAGCCAGAATCACACCCCCCACCCCCACCGGCTAACAGCCAGAATCACACCCCCCACACCCCCACCGGCTAACAGCCAGAATCACACCCCCCACCGGCTAACAGCCAGAATCACCCCCCACCCCCACCGGCTAACAGCCAGAATCACACCCCCCACACCCCCACCGGCTAACAGCCAGAATCACACCCCCACCGGCCAACAGCCAGAATCTCACACACCCCCACCCCCACCGGCTAACAGCCAGAATCACCCCCCCCACCCCCACCGGCTAACAGCCAGAATCACACCCCCCACCCCCACCGGCTAACAGCCAGAATCACACACCCCCCACACCGGCTAACAGCCAGAATCACACCCCCCACCCCCACCGGCTAACAGCCAGAATCACACCCACCCCCACCCCCACCAGCTAACAGCCAGAATCACACCCCACCCCCACCCCACCGGCTAACAGCCAGAATCACACCCCCACCCCCACCGGCTAACAGCCAGAATCACCCCCCCCCACACCCCCACCGGCTAACAGCCAGAATCACACCCCCCACCCCCACCGGCTAACAGCCAGAATCACACCCCACCCCCACCCCACCGGCTAACAGCCAGAATCACCCCCCACACCCCCACCGGCTAACAGCCAGAATCACACACACCCCCCCCCACCGGCTAACAGCCAGAATCACACCCCCCACCCCCACCGGCTAACAGCCAGAATCACACCCCCCACCAGCTAACAGCCAGAATCACCCCCCACCCCCACCGGCTAACAGCCAGAATCACACCCCCCACACCCCCACCGGCTAACAGCCAGAATCACACCCCCCACCGGCCAACAGCCAGAATCTCACACACCCCCACCCCCACCGGCTAACAGCCAGAATCACCCCCCCACCCCCACCGGCTAACAGCCAGAATCACACACACACAGACACACACACACACAGGCTAACAACCAGAATCACACACACAGACACACACACACAGAGGTTCACAGCCAGAATTGTGCACACGCACCCTCACCCCACACCCACACACAGGCTAACAGCCCGAATCTCTCTCTCCCACGCACACAGGTTGACAGCCAGAATCACACGCACCCACACGCAGGCTAACAGCCAGCATCTCTCTCTCTCTCTCACACACACACATGCAGAGCCAGCCACAAACACACACGCACAAACATGCTTGCAAAGGGTCTCTCTGTCACACAAACAGCCAGATTTACACACACACACATCCAGAGGCAGGTGATGAGCGGGAGCACAGCCGAGCAGGGGGCAGCCCGGCACTCGCTGGCTCCCAGCCCCGGCAGGGCAGGGCGGGTCTGGTGGGGATAAGATGTGTTTACCCACCGCAAACTCTAGGGGTAGGGTTGCCAGGTGGCTAGTTTTCGACTGGAATGCCTGGTCGAAAAGGGACCCTGGCGGCTCCGGTCAGCACTGCTGACCGGGCTGTTAAAAGGCCGGTCCGTGCGCCGGGCTAAGGCAGGCTCCCCGAGTGCTCTGGCTCCATGCGGCTCCTGGAAGCAGTGGCATGTCCCCCCTCCAGATCCTATGCATAGGGGCAGCCAGGAGGGTCCTCACGCTGCCCCTGCCCAAGCGCCGGCTCCGCAGCTCCCATTGGCCATGTAAGAGCCAGAGGCAGGACACGCCGTTGCTTCCGGGAGCTGCTTGAGGTAAGCGCTGCCTGGAGCCTGCACCCTGACTCCCTCCCATGCCCCAGCCCTGATACTCCTCCCGCCCTCCAAACCTAACCCGGAGCGCCCTGCTGCACCGCAAACCCCTCATCCCCAGCTCCATCCCAGAGCCCACACCCCCAGCCGGAGCCGTCACACCTGCCTGCGCCCCAACCACCTGCCCCAGGCCGGAGCCCCCTCCCACACGCTGAACCCCTCATCCCCAGCCCGGCGCCCCCTCCTGCACCCCAAACCCCTCATCCCCAGCCCCACCGCAGAGCCCTCACCCTCTCCTGCACCCCAACCCCCGCACGGCCCCAGCCCAGATCCCTCTCCCGCACTCCCAACCCAGCCCGGAGCACCCTCCTGCACCCCAAACCCCTCGTCCCCCGCCCCAGAGCCCACACCCCCAGCCGGAGCCGTCACACCTGCCTGCGCCCCAACCACCTGCCCCAGGCCGGAGCCCCCTCCCACACGCTGAACCCCTCATCCCCAGCCCGGCGCCCCCTCCTGCACCCCAAACCCCTCATCCCCAGCCCCACCGCAGAGCCCTCACCCTCTCCTGCACCCCAACCCCCGCACGGCCCCAGCCCAGATCCCTCTCCCGCACTCCCAACCCAGCCCGGAGCACCCTCCTGCACCCCAAACCCCTCGTCCCCCGCCCCAGAGCCCACACCCCCAGCCAGAGCCGTCACACCTGCCTGCGCCCCAACCACCTGCCCCAGGCCGGAGCCCCCTCCCACACGCTGAACCCCTCATCCCCAGCCCGGCGCCCCCTCCTGCACCCCAAACCCCTCATCCCCAGCCCCACCGCAGAGCCCTCACCCTCTCCTGCACCCCAACCCCTGCACGGCCCCAGCCCAGATCCCTCTCCCACACTCCCAACCCAGCCCGGAGCACCCTCCTGCACCCCAAACCCCTCGTCCCCCGCCCCCAGAGCCCACACCCCCAGCCGGAGCCTGCACCCCAAACCCCTGCCTCAGCCCAGATCCCCCTCCCTCAACTCCTCATTTCTGGCCCCGCCCCGGAGCCTGCACCCCCAGCTGGAGCCCAAGCCCCTACCCCAGCCCGGTGAAAATAAATGAAGTGGGGAGAGCAAAGGATGTGTGTGTGTGTGGGGGGGGGGGAGGGGGGCTGGAGTGAATGAGGGCGGGGCCTCGGAGAAGGGGCAGGGCAGGGGACGGGGCAAAGGTATTCAGTTTTATGGGAGTAGAAAGTTGGCAACCCAGTCTAGGGGTGACAATTCACTGCACCCTGGGGCTTCAATCGGATTGTCACTCCCCTCCCACGCCCGCCCCGCAGCTGGGGAGAGAACCCAGGAGTCCGGGCTCCCAGCCCCCTGCTCTAACCACCAGCCCCCACTCCCCTCCCAGAGCTGGGGGGAGAACCCAGGAGTCCTGGCTCCCAGCCCCCCCTGCTCTAACCCACCAGCCCCCACTCGCCTCGCAGAGCTGGGGAAGAGAACCCAGGAGTCCTGGCTCCCAGCCCCCCCTGCTCTAACCCACCAGCCCCCACTCGCCTCGCAGAGCTGGGGAGAGAACCCAGGAGTCCTGGCTCCCAGCCCCCCTGCTCTAACCCACCAGCCCCCACTCCCCTCCCAGAGCTGTTCCCACGGTCACTGGCCCTTTAATTTTTTTCATCCATAAAACGCTGGTTGGCCCTTTAAATCCCCCCCCTTCCATTGTTGCGCTCTGATTGGACAGGATTAATGAGGAAGTAATCGCTGATTGGTTGAATTCCTGAAGTAGGCGAGCCGTGGAAAGGATCAATTTTCTCTTTCTGACTGGCTGGTTTGTCCATATAGCCGTCTCTTGATTGGCCAATCGTTGAGAGAGGGCGGGATTTAGGGAAGAACACAGCTCCACCTGCCTCTGCCTGAGCTTCCCATTTTCTGATTGGCTGGAAACTGCCCGCATCCTCCCTGTGATTGGTCAAACTCTGCTAGAAGGCGGGACTTTGAGGAACATAACGCCGTTGCCGTGCGCAGGGATTGGCCTCGCGTCCTTCGCTCTCTGATTGGCTGCATTCTCACTGAACTAACCTCTGATTTGCCGAATCTTTGTAGGGGCGGGAATTGCTTGCAGACAGCGCTCCTCTCGGGCGAGGTCGCGCCCCCTCCAGTCTGATTGGCTGATAGTCACGGGACCCGCCGCCGATTGGCCCATCTACCAGGAGGGGGCGGGACTTGGTCCCGCCAAACACCTGCGCGCTTCTGAGGGCCCCGCCCCGGCCTCCAGTGTGATTGGGCGGGAGCGGCGACATCCGGGCACTCGAGGACGGAGCAGGGAGCGGCGGACCCGAGAGGGAACCAGCCCGGGGCTGGCAGGGTCCCGGGCGCGAGCCGGTGAGAGGGCCCGCGAGGCCCCGCCCCGCTGGGGACTCCCCGCTGCCCCGCCCCTTGCGGAGACCCCGCCCCCTGGGGGGGGCCGTTGGCTCCTCCCCATATGGGAGAGAGGCGCCGCCCGAGCCCCGCCCCCTGCAGAGACCCCCGCCCCATAAGGGAAAGAGGCCCCGCCCCCTCCCCGTCCGGCCCCGCCCCCTGTCCCCGAGGCCCCGCCCCTCCCTACCCGGCCCCGCCTCCTGCCCCCAAAGCCCCGCCCCCTCCTGGTCCTGCCTCTTCCCCTCCCCCGCCATGGCCGGTTGAGGCCCTGCCTTCCCCGCGCCCCCCATTTCCTGCCCCCTCCCGCACCCCCCCTCGTGCTGTTCCCTGCCCTGCCCCCCCCCACCGTCCCCGGACTCCTGGGTTCTCTCCCCTGGAGCTACGGGGTGACTCGTCCCCGCCTCCCCTGCTCCTGCTGGGCCCCCCCGTCCCCGGACTCCTGGGTTCTCTCTTTGATCTCCCCGCCCGCCCTCCCTCGGCAGGGGAGCAGGTGCCATGGCGGAGCCGCGGAAGGAGGAAGAGGAGGAGGCCGAGGAGCGGGGCAAGCGGGAGCCAGCCCACCGGGCCACCGTCGCGGCCAAGAACCTGGCCATCCTCAAGGCCCGCTCCCTGGACGTCACCTTCGAGGTGGGGGACGAGTACGAGGTCATCGAGACCATCGGCACCGGAGCCTACGGCGTGGTCAGCTCTGCCCGCCGCAGATCCACAGGTCAGCTCGGACGCCTGGGTCCCATCCCCACTCCTGGGAGGGGCGTGGGGTCTAGTGGGTGGTGGGGGCCGGGAGCCAGGACTCCTGGGTTCTATCCTAAGTTCTGGGAGGGGAGTTAGGTCTGGGGGCTCAGCGCGGGGGGCAGGGAGCCAGGACTCCCGGGATCCATAGGGGAGGGCTGCGCAGGGGATGGTGTCTCTGCTCTGACTCTCCCCGTGCTGTTTGCCTCCAGGCCAGCAGGTGGCGATCAAGAAGATCCCCAACGCCTTCGATGTGGTGATGAACGCCAAGCGCACCCTCCGCGAGCTCAAGATCCTCAAACACTTCAAGCACGACAACATCATCGCCATCAAAGACATCCTGAAACCCGCCGTGCCCTATGACGACTTCAAATCCGTGTGAGCGCCCGCCCGGACGCCTGGGTCCTGTCCCCAGCCCTGGGAGGGGAGTGGGGTCTAGTGGTTAGAACGGGGCGGGGGGGCTGGGAGGCAGGACTCCTGGGTTCTGACCCTGGCTTTGGAAGGAGAGTGGGATCTAGTGGTTAGAAGTAGGTGGGGTTGGTAGCCAGAAGTATGGGGAATACGAAGGAAGAACTCGAAATGCTGGAAAATAAATACAACTATGACCTGGTTGGCATTACAGAGACCTGGTGGGATAATACGCAGGACTGGAACATTGGTATAGATGGGTACAGCTTACTCAGGAAGGACAGACAGGGAAAAACGGGAGGAGGTGTTGCCTTATATATTAAAAATGCATACACTTGGACTGAGGCTGAGATGGAAATAGGAGACAGACTTGTTGAAAGTCTCTGCGTAAGGATAAAAGGGGTAAAACCAAGGCTGATGTCATGGTTGGGGTCTACTACAGACCACCTAACCAGGAAGAAGAGACAGATGAGGCTTCTTTTAAACAGCTAACAAAATCATACAAAGTCCAGGACTTGGTGGTGACGGGGGACTTCAACCACCCAGACATCTGTGGGGAAAATAACACCGCAGGGCACAGATTATCCAACAAGTTCTTGGACTGTATTGGAGACCATTTTTTATTTCAGACGGTGGAGAAAGCTACTAGGGGGGAGGCTGTTCTAGATTTGATTTTGACAAATAGGGAGGAGTTGGTTGAGAATTTGAAAGTGGAAGGCAGCTTGGGTGAAAGTGATCATGAAATGATAAAGTTCATGATTTCTAAGGAAGGGTAGGCGGGAGAACAGCACAATAAGACATTGGATTTCAAGAAGGCAGACGTTAGCAAACTCAGGGAGTTGGTAGGTAAGATCCCATGGGAAGCAAGTCTAAGGGGAAAAACAATTGAAGACAGTCGGCAGTTTTTCAAGGAGACATTATTAAGGGCACAAGAACAAACTATCCCGCTGCTTAGGAAAGATAGGAAGTATGGCAAGAGACCACCCTGGGTTAACCAGGAGATCTTCGAGTGATCTAAACATTAAAAAAAAAAGAGTTCTACAAAAACTGGAAACTCTGTCAAATTACAAAGGATGAATATAAACAAATAACACGAGCATGTAGAGACAAAATTAGAAAGGCCAAGGCACAAAACAAGATCAAAGTAGCTAGAGACATAAAGGATAACAAGAAAACATTCTAAAAATACATTTGAAGCAAGAGGAAGACCAAGGACAGGGTAGGCCCATTACTCAGTGAGGGGGGAAAAGTAATAACAGAAAATGTGGAAATGGCAGAGGTGCTTAATGACCTCTTTGTTTCAGTTTTCACCATGAAGGTTGGTGGCGATTGGACGTCTAACGTAGTGAATGCCTGTGAAAATGAGGTAGGACAGAGGCTAAAATAGGAAAAGAGGAAGTTAAAAATTACTTATACAAGTTAGATGTCTTCAAATCACCAGGGCCTGATGAAATGCATCCTAGACTACTCAAGGAGCTGACTGAGGAGATATCTGAGCCATTAGCGATTATCTTTGAGAAGTCATGGAAGAGGGGAGAGATTCCAGAAGACTAGAAAAGGGCAAATATAGTGACCATCAATAAAACCCGGGGAATTACAAACCAGTCATCTTAACTTGTGTACCCGGAAAGATAATGGAACAAATAATTAAGCAATCAATTTGCAAACATCTAGAAGATAATAAGGTGATAGGTAACAGTGAGCAAGGATTTGTCAGGAACAAATAATGTCAAACCAACCTGATAGCTTTCTTTGACAGGGTAACAAGCCTTGTGGATGGGGGGAAAGCAGTAGACATGGTATATCTTGACTTTAGTAAAGCTTTTGATACTGTCTCCCATGACCTTCTCATAAACAAACTCGGGAAATGCAACCTAGAAGGAACTACTGTAAGGTGGGTGCAAAACTGGCTGGAAAACGGTTCCCAGAGAGTAGTTATCAGTGGTTCACAGTCATGTTGGAAAGGAATAACGAGTGGGGTCCCACAGGGATCGGTTCTGAGTCTGGTTCTGTTCAATATCTTCCTCAGTGATTTAGATCATGGCATAGAGAGTACACGTATAAAGTTTGCAGATGATACCAACCTGGGAGAGGTTGCAAGTGCTTTGGAGGATAGGATTAAAATCCAAAATGCTCTGGACAAACTGGAGAAATGGTCTGAAGTAAATAGGATGAAATTCAGTGTACTCCACTTAGGAAGGAACAATCAGTTGCGCACGCACAGAATGGGAAATGACTGCCTAGGAAGGAGGACTGCGGAAAGGGATCTGGGGGTCATAGTGGATCACAAGCTAAATCTGAGTCAACAGTGTAAAGCTGTTGCAAAAAAAGCAAACATCCTTCTGGGATGTATTAGCAGGAGTGTTGTAAGCAAGACACGAGAAGTAATTCTTCTGTTCTGCTCAGCACTGATTAGGCCTCAGCTGGAGTATTGGGTCAGGTTCTGGGCGTCACATTTCAGGAAAGATGTGGACAAATTGGAGAAAGTCCAGAGAAGAGCAACAGAAACGATTCAAGGTCTAGAAACCATGAGCTGTGAGGGAAGAATGAAAGAACTGGGTTTGTTTAGTCTGGAGAAGAGAAGACTGAGAGGGGACGTGAGAACAGTTTTCAAGTGTGTAAAAGGTTGTTACAAGGAGGAGGAAGAAAAAGTGATCTCCTTAACCTTTGAGGCTAGGACGAGAAGCAATGGGCTTAAATTGAAGCTTGGACATGAGGAAGAACTTCCTACCTGTCAGGGTGGTTAAGCCCTGGAATAACTTGCCTAGGGAGGTTGTGGAATCTCCATCATTGGGGATTTTTAAGAGCAGGTTGGACAGACACCTGACAGGGATTTGTCTAGATAATAGTCAGTCCTGCCATGAGTGCAGGGGACTGGACTAGATGACCTCCTGAGGTCCCTTCCAGTCCTATGATTCTGTGACTCCTGGGTTCTATCTCCAGCTATGGGAAGAGAGTGGGGTCTAGTGGGTAGAGCTAGGTGGGGTTGGTAGCCAGGACACCAACCTGTGGGGAGGGATAGCTCAGGGGTTTGAGCATTGGCCAGCTAAACCCAGGATTGTGAATTCAATCCTTGAGGGAGCCATTTAGGGATCTGGGGCAAAAATTGGGGATTGGCCCTGCTTTGAGCAGGGGGTTGGACTAGATGACCTCCTGAGGTCCCTTCCAACCCTGATATTGTATGATTCTATACCCCCCAGCTCTGGGAGGGGAGTCGGGGGGCTGGGAGGTAGACTCCTGGGTTCTCTCCCTGGTTCTGGGAAGGAACTGGGGTCTAGTGGGTTAGAGCAGGGAGGCCTCGGAGCCCGGACCTCTGGGTTCTATAGGGAGGGGAGTTTAGTGAGTTAGCAGGGGTGGGGGCTGGGAGTCAGGACTTCTGGGTCCTCTCCCCGCTGACCTCCCCATGCTCCGGCAGGTACGTGGTGCTAGACCTGATGGAGAGTGACCTTCACCAGATCATCCACTCCTCCCAGCCCCTCACGCTGGAACACGTCCGATACTTCCTCTACCAGCTGCTCCGGGGCCTCAAATACATTCACTCGGCCAATGTCATCCACCGCGACCTCAAGCCCAGCAACCTGCTCATCAACGAGAACTGCGAGCTGAAGATCGGTGATTTCGGCATGGCCCGGGGGCTGTGCACCAAGCCAGATGAGTACAAATACTTCATGACTGAATATGTGGCCACGCGGTGGTACCGAGCCCCGGAACTCATGCTCTCCCTCCACGAATACACGCAGGCCATCGACATGTGGTCCGTCGGCTGCATCTTCGCCGAGATGCTGGGCCGCAAGCAGCTCTTCCCCGGGAAGAATTACATCCACCAGCTGCAGCTGATCATGACGGTTCTGGGCACGCCGTCCGCCAAGGTGATCCACGCCATCGGGGCCGACCGGGTGCGCGCCTACATCCAGAGCCTGCCCTCCCGCCAGCCGGTGCCCTGGGAGAACCTCTACCAGCAGGCCGACCGCTCGGCCCTGGCGCTGCTGGCCAAGATGCTGCACTTCGACCCCCGGGAGCGGATCGCCGTGGCCGAGGCCCTCAAGCACCCCTTCGTGGCCAAGTACCACGACCCGGACGACGAGCCCGACTGCGTGCCCGCCTTCGATTTCGACTTCGACAAGCAGGTCCTCACCAAGGAGCGCATCAAGGAGGCCATCGTGGCCGAGATCCGCGACTTCCACGCGCGCCGCGAAGGGATCCGCCGGCAGATAAGTTTCAAGCCCGCCCTCCGGCCGGCCGCCGCCCCCGCCCCCGCCGCCCCCTTGCGCTGCCAGGACGTGGACATGCCCAGCGCCGGATCCACCGGGGGAGACTACGCCATGGAGTCGCCAGCCCCCGGGGAAGTCCCGTACCCTCCGGAGACTATTGACCTGACCTCGCCCGGGGCTCCCCCGCAGCCCGAGGGGCCGGCCGAGGTAAAGGCTGAGCCGGAGGCAGCGCCGCCGAAGAGGGAGGGGGCCATCTCGGACGACACCAAGGCAGCGCTCAAGGCCGCCCTGCTGAAGTCGGCTCTGCGCAATAAGAACAAAGGTGAAAGGCCGTGATGCCTGGGTTCTCTCCTCCTCTGTGGGTGGGGAGTGGGGTCTAGTGGTTAGAGCGGGGAGGGCTGGGAGCCAGGACTCCTGGGTTCTATTTCTGATTTTCATAGAATCGGAGATGTGTAGGACCGGAAGTGACCTTGAGAGGTCATCTAGTCCAGTCCCCTGCACTCATGGCAGGGCTAAGTATTATCTAGACCATCCCTGTCAGGTGTCTGTCCAACCTGCTCTTAAAAATCCCCAATGATGGAGATTCCACAACCTCCCTAGGCAAGTTATTCCAGGGCTTACCCACCCTGACAGGTAGGAAGTTTTTCCTGATGTCCAACCTAAACCATCCTTGCTGCAATTAAGCCCATTGTGTCTTATTCTGTCCTCAGAGGTTAACGAGAACAATTTTTCATCCTCCTCCTTGTAACAACCTTGAAAACTGTTCTTATGCCCCCTCTCAGTCTTCTCTCCTGTAGACTCAACAAACCCAGTTTTTCCCTCACAGCTCATGTTTTCCAGACCTTGAATAATTTTTGTTGCTCTTCTCTGGACTTTCTCCGATTTGTCCACATCCTTCCTGAAATGTGGCGCCCAGAACTGCACACAGTACTCCAGCTGATTCCATTTCCGCGTGGAGTAGAGCGGAAGAATTACTGCTCGTGTCTTGCTGACAACGCTCCTGCTGATACAGCCCAGAAGGATGTTTGCTTTTTTTTGCAACAGTGTGACACTGTTGACTCATACTTAGCTTGTGATCCGCTCTGACCCGCAGATCCCTGTCTGCAGTCTTCCTTCCCAGGCCGTCATTTCCCATTCGGTGTGTGTGCGACTGATTTTTCCTTCCTAAGTGGAGTCCTTTGCATTTGTCCTTATTGAATTCCATCCTATTGGCTTCAGACCATTTCTCCAGTTTGTCCAGAGCATTTTTAATTTTAATCCTATCCTCCAAAGCGCTTGCAACCTCCCAGTTTGGTATCGTCCGCAAACTTTATACGTGTACTCACTATGCCATTATCTAAATCATTGAGGAAGATATTGAACAGAACCGGGCCCAGAACTGATCCCTGCGGGACCCCACTCGTTATGCCCTTCCAGCCTGACCGTGAACCACTGATAACTACTCTCTGGGAACCATTTTCCATCCAGTTTTGTACCCACCTTACAGTAGCTACATCTAGGCTGTGTTTCCCTAGTTTGTTTAGGAGGAGGTTGTGCGAGACATTGTTTAGTGTTCTCTTGCTGGTTTCTTCCTGTCTCTGCCTTGCCTTGGACAGCAGGGGGCTGCGGGTTAGGAGGGAGGGGCACTGGCAGAGCTTGGGGGGGGGCAGGGCTGGGCTAGCAGGGGTCGGGAGTGAGCTGACTCCTCTCTGCTTTGTTCCCAGACACCCAGTGCTCCGTGCTGGAGCCCCAGGACGTGCGGAAGCCGGTGACGGCCCAGGAGCGGCAGCGGGAGCGGGAGGAGAAGCGGAAGCGGCGCCAGGAGCGGGCCAAGGAGCGGGAGAAGAAGCAGAAGGAGAAGGAGCGGAAGGAGCTGCGGCGTGGGGACGTGCTGCGCGGGCTAGTGCTGAGCGAGAATGACCGCAGCCTCCTGGAGCGATGGACCAAGATGATTGACCGGAACCACCAGAAACTGGCTCACAACGGGCCCATGGACCACGGCCCAGCCGCGTCTGCCGGCCACGTTCCACCGGGAGCCACTGGTCACGTTCCACCGGGAGCCGCTGGCCACCTTCCAGCTGCACCTACTGGCCACCTCCCAGCCACGCCTGCTGGTCATGTTCCACCGGGAGCTGCCGGCCACCTTCCAGCTGCACCTGCCGGCCGCCTTCCAACCACGCCTGCTGGCCATGTTCCACTGGGAGCTGCTGGCCACCTCCCAGCCACCCCTGCTGGCCACCTTCGACCAGGAGCCACTGGCCACCTCCCAGCCACTCCTGCTGGCCACCTTCAACCAGGAGCCGCTGGCCACCTTCCAGCTGCACCTGCTGGCCACCTTCCAACCACGCCTGCTGGCCATGTTCCACTGGGAGCCGCTGGCCACCTTCCAGCCACCCCTGCTGGCCACCTTCAACCGGGAGCCGCTGGCCACCTTCCAGCCACCCCTGCTGGCCACCTTCAACCGGGAGCCGCTGGCCACCTTCCAGCCACCCCTGCTGGCCACCTTCAACCGGGAGCCGCTGGCCACCTTCCAGCCACCCCTGCTGGCCACCTTCAACCGGGAGCCGCTGGCCACCTTCCAGCCACCCCTGCTGGCCACCTTCAACCGGGAGCCGCTGGCCACCTTCCAGCCACCCCTGCTGGCCACATTCCATCGGAAGCCACTGGCCGCCTCCCAGCCACCCCTGCTGGTCACGTTCCACCAGGTGCCGTTGGCCACCTCCCAGCCACGCCAGCTGGTCACGTCCCGGCCACATCAGATTTCTTGAGCTTCCCTGAGAAGGCACCAGCCGGAGGCAGCTCCAAACTCACCGTACTGCCAATAGTTGCGGATCCAGCCCACGCCTCGGCCCCCAACATTGTCCAGTACTTCCCGGCCCCGCCCGGCCCCTTCCCTCCGGTTCTGGTGGCCCCCTCAGCTTGCCATAAAGCTCTGGCTAAACCCGAGTGCCTCCTGAGTGTCAAATACACCCCGGGTCAGATCTTCCAGGCCCCCTTTGGCCTGGCGGGGATCAGTGCATGGCCCGGTGTCCAGTGCCCAGAGAACTGGTCCGTGGCCGGGAGGCCAGCACCTGGGGAAGCCCCGACGACTCCTAGCGGGACACAGCCGCAAGAGGGGCCATCAGTCCGCACCGTAGGCAGCCTTGTGACACCAGGCAGGGAGGGCGTGGGGTTGGATCCGGCCATCTTCCTGCAGGAGATGGGGAAGAGGGCTCCGGCTCCGGCAGTGGGAGGAGTCAAAGGGCCCGGCCAGCACCCGATCGCTATGGCGACGTCGCTGGAAACCGCCCCCGGAGTCACCTGACATCACCATGGTCACGCAGCAGCTTTCCAAGTCGCAGGTAACGGGGCCTTTCCCCTGTAGGGGGCGCCAGCACTGATCCAGTGAGGTGGGCCCGGATGGGGCGTCTCCCTCTGTGTCGGGGAGCAGCTGGTTGGGAGGATCCTGCCCCGGGTGGGGACGGGCAAGACGGGCCTGAGGGGTGCCATGCTCACTGTGTCTCGCTGCCATCGCAGGTGGAGGATCTCCTGCCCCCCGTCTTCTCAGTGACCCCCAAGGGCAGCGGGGCAGGCTACGGCGTGGGCTTTGATCTGGAGGAGTTCCTGAATCAGTCCTTCGACATGGTGGGGGAGAACAGGGACAGGTGAGAGTGTCGCACAGCAGGGACAGCTCCCCGCTGCGCTAACCACTAGATCCCACTGCCTTCCCAGAGCCGGGGAGAGAACCCAGGAGTCCTGGCTCCCAGCCCTTCCCCTGCGCTGATCCATTAGGTCCACTCATGGGGGTTCTTCTGGTGCCTCATGCTTTCTATAGGTCAGGCACTCCGGTTAGACTACATCTCCCATGATGCACCGTGGTTTTCCCCTTTGGCTGACCTGCCCCAGTGCATCCTGGGAATAGTGGCTGGGTTATTTCCTTCTGCCTTCTGAGATGGGCTCCCTCACTGGACTGCATCTCCCACAGTGCACCATGATTCCCCTCTCTGAGGAGGGAGGCGGTGCACCATGGGAGTCCCTGGCTGTTGTGCATCATGGGAGATGTAGTCTAGCTGGGGAGTCCTGCTCATGGCAAGAAGATATGCTCTCCCATGATGTGTTACCCGCACACTGTAGGGCACCCACCCTTTCCCAGTTCCTAGGGCTCTGGGCAAAAGCCACCTATCCCTATCCAGTCCTTAGGGCTCAGGGCCACCCATACCCAGTTCCTAGGGGAGCAGGGCCACCCATACCCAGTTCCTAAGGCTCAGGGCCACCCATACCCAGTTCCTAGGGGGCCAGGGCGTACTCTTCCGCGGGTTTGCGGGGTCTTTTACCAGTGAAGGAGCCTCACACAGTAATACCCTTATCCTTCATATATTAACAGCTACCAGACCAGAATATATTACACCCGCTAAGCACGCAATGCTCACCACTCCCCATAAGGCAGGCGGACTTTTCCCGGTGGCCAGTCAGGATCAGGTCATCCGGGGACTCCACCTTCTGCCTGCTGGGTGTTGAGGTCCGGCAGCTCTGATCCGGGGCTGTATCCTGGCGTATCCAAGAGCTTCCTTTTGGAGCCCAGTTTATATAGTGAAACTTGAGTCTTGCTTAGCTGTATCGTAACCAGTCGTTTTACGAAGGTACGGCAAACCAGTGTTTTTCACCAGCCCGTTCCAAAACAATTCTTTTACCCAGTCATACCCACCGCCAAGGTTCCCTCGAATTTTTGACGTCCATGTGCGGAATGAGTTTTGTTAGGTGCACCAATATGGAGGTGAAGTCAGACGGGGCTGAGGGGTTCGGAGAGGGAGGGGGCTCAGGGCTGGGGCAGAGGGTTGGGGTGCAGAGGGGTGTGGGTTCTGGGGTCGGGGATGAGCGGTTTGGGGTGCAGGAGGGGGCTCAGGGCTTGGCCAGAGGGTTGGGGTATGTGGGGGGGGGTGAGGGCTCTGGCCGGGGGGTACAGTCTTTGGGGTGGGACCGGGGATGAGGGGTGCGGGAGGGGTCTCAGGGCTGGGGCAGAGGGTTGGGGTGAGGGATGAGGGGGTTTGGGGTGGGGGGAGAGGGCTCAGGGCTGGGGCAGAGGGTTGGGGCGGTGCAGGCTCTGGGGTGGGGCTGGGGATGAGTTTGGGGTGTGGGAGCGGTTCAGGCAGAGGGTTGGGGTGCAGGGGTGAGGGCTGTGGGGTGGGGCCAGGGATGAGGGGGTTGGGGTGCGGGAGGGGGCTCAGGGCTAGGGCAGAGGGCTAGGGTGCGGGGGGTGAGGGCTCTGGCTGGGGGTATGGTCTCTGGGGTGGGGCCGGGGATGCAGGGTTTGGGGTGCAGGAGGGGGCTCAGGGCTAGAGCAGAGTGTTGGTGATCGGGGGGTAAGAGATCTCCCTGGGGGTGAGGGCTGTGGGGTGGGGCCAGGGATGAGGGGTTCGGGGTGCGGAGGGGTCTCAGGTCTGGGTCAGAGGGATGGGGTCCGGGGGGGGGGTGAGGGCTCCGGCAGGAGATGTGGGCTCTGGGGTGGGGCTGGGGATGAGGGGTTTGGGGTGCAGGCTGCGGCGGAGAGAGGACTCCCCCCAGCCCTCTCTCCCCGCCACAGCCCTGCACGCCCCCCGCCTCTCTCCTCTCCAGTCCCGGCCCCTGTGGCCGCGCGGCTTAGGGGGAACTGAGCCCACCACCTGAGCTGGTTTACACCTTGCCAAACGAGTTCAACCGAACCAATCAAAGAACCAGACCGAGACTCGGCTCGGACCTTACAGATGCTCAGCCAGAAGGGAGATCCTGCGGCATCATGGGAGATGTAGTCAGGCTAAGGCCCCGGAGCGACAACTTCCATGAAGCTCTGCAGCAACATTGGGTCACGGGTTCGAGTCCTTCCCGGGGTCCCACTGGGAGAGCGCTCGGGGTTCTTACCCGGCCTGGCCCGACGTCGGTCTGTCTGATCTCTCTCTTTGTCTTCCTCCCCACCAGCCAGGGCGATTCGGCCCCTCTCTCGGCCTCCCTGCTGGCTGACTGGCTCGAGGTCCATCGGATGAACCCCGCCGATATGGAGTCCCTCCAGCAGGAGCTGCAGCTGGGCTCTCCCATGATCCTCTCCGACATTCCCGACCTCCAGGACGCCTGAGGCTGAGATCTCAGCTCCCTTGTGCCTCCCCTCCCCATGGGGAGTGAGGGTGGGGCCAGGACCAACTCCCCTCTTCCCTTCCCCCTGGGGTCAGGACTGGCTGCGCATCAGGGTCTCAATGGGGCAAGCAAGTAGACACTTCCCCCTCCCGATCGCCTGGGTCCCGTCGCTGGTTTTACCTGCTGTCCTGTCAGGTCTCATGTACAGTTAGGCGGAGTCAGGAGGGCTCCCCGAATGGCTGGGAGAGCTTGACCCTACTCCAGCAGGCACTGTGCTGCGGGGCAGGGGCTCACTAGGGGGCGATGGGCCCTGGGAATCAGTGCTGGCCCCGACGTCCCAGAGCGCCACCAGGGGGTGCTGCATTGCAGTGTGGGTGTGTGTTGATTTCCTTCCTGACCCCTCTGAGTTGCCCTGGAGCATGAGCGTGGCTCACCCGTCCCTGACTCTTCCTAAGCCGAGCTGCCTGGGGACTCCCCGCCCTGGGTGGAATGGGCCAGAGCTCCTGAGGCCTCGGTTTGATCCCCGCCCACGCCACAGTGTGGAGGACTTAGCCCGGGCTTGATCCCATGGGATGTGAATCATCATCCTGCTGCGTCAGTCCCCTGTCATTTCCCTTCTCCTCACTCCTACCTCTGTCTCCCTCCTCTAACTCTGATTTCTCATCCCCTCCCATAATACCCGCCTTGCTCGCCCGCTGATTTAGGCATAGGATCCAGATCCTTACAGCTATTTAAACACCTGACTCCGACCAGGATCTAGGTCTTTAGGAGCACAAATTTTGCCAGAAGTCAGTAGGGTTTAGGATCCTAATGGCCTGGATCGCTGTGGGATTCAGGAGCCTAAATCCTGTTAGCTGTTTGGATGGTATCTCTTCTTGCATAAATCTAATTTACACTCCCTTCAGTAAACACGGAGAACAATTGACCACTGTCCTCATTGTAACCGCTCTCAACATCTTTGAAGACTGTTCTCCGGTCCCCCCTCTGTCTTCTTTTCTCTAGACTAACCATGCCGGTTTTTTAACCTTTCCCCGTAGGTCAGGTTTCTAAACCTTCGATCACTTTTGTTTCTTTCCTCTGGACTCTGTCTGATTTCTCCACATCTTTCGTAACATGGCATCTGGAATTGGACACGCTACTCCAGCTGAAATACGCCCCGTTAATACACCCCGTTAATACACCCCAGATGACATTAGCCTTTCTCGCCACTTCCATTTAGAGGTGAGTGACATTTTCAACTACAAACCCCCGCAAATTTGGTGTACCCGAAACCTTTCAAAGAGTTGTCCTTGGTTTTGCTGAATTGTTTTGGTTGAAAAACCAGCTAAAAAACTCCAAGGAAAATAAAAAAAAATTGACACCTTAGGGCTGAAACGTTTTTCATATTTTCAATTCCAAATTTAATATCATGGAAAAAAAAATGAAAACCAGAAAACAGTAGAAACCTTTTGTTTTGGCACTTTCAGAAGTGTCGCGTTTTCTCTTGGAAGCGGCTGGTCATACAGAAATTTGCCTGTAACTTAAGTTTTAAAATAGGGAAAATGTAAAAAACAGCTCAAAATATTTAGTTTGACTGGAAACAGATCTTTTTCCCTTTTTGATTTGCCAGACGTTTTTAAAAATTGCCTTTCCTCTTTGACCCCAAATTTGTCTTCTTCTTCTTTTGCAAAGAACTGGAAAGTCCATTATTTGTCCAACTTAATTCCACCAGTTTACTCTGGTCCCCACTCTGCATTGAATCTAATCTCCAGTCCCCTCTTTACTTTTCGAATACAATCCCCATTCTCATTGTTTAAACCTGTCTAATCTAATCCCCACTCAGTGTCTCGTGTAATATCTATTCTCTTTTTTTTCTACCTAATTTATCCCCCACTTTGGGTCTAATACAGTCTCGTCTCCTTTTTACCTGCCTAATCTAATCTCATTATCAAATCTAATCCCTAAAAGATGCTCAGAACTTTTTTTATCAGAACAACTGGTTTTCATGTTAAAAAAAGCCGTTTTGACAACACCGGATCCCGCCCCGCAAATGGTATCATGTCAATTCCATTTTGTTTATTTTATTTGAAACTGTCACATGTTTCAATATTTCGTTCACAAACCACTTTTCGTTTTGCTGATTTATTTTATACCAAAAACCAAAGAAATTCCTAAATGTTTTGAATGAACCAAAGTGAAACATTTTAACCCCAAATTAACTGTTTTGTTTGCAAAAAATGTTGCAATTCTGGGGTGAAAAAAAGTCTCAACGTTTTCCAAGGAACGGAAAATCCGTTTTCTGATCCACTCTCCTAATCCCCAGTGCATATCTAATCTAATTCCCGCTCTGTGTCTAATCTAATCCCCAGTCTTCTCAAATTCCCCCAGGGGCTCAGTGGTGGAGCAGAGAATCAAATCCGGGCCCCCGGAAGCAGGTGCTTTACCCGATCCGCACACACGTAGGTGCCCTGGAGCACCCACGGAAAAAATTTAGTGGGTGCTTAGCACCCACCGGCAGCCAGCTCCCCAACGCCTCCTGCAGCCCGGCCAATCAAGTCCTGCCCTTCCCTCCCAGCGCCTCCCGCCCGCTGCGATCAGCTGTTCTGCGGCATGCAGGAGGGGCGGGGGAGCAGGGACCGGGGAGGGGTGGGGGGGGGTTTGGGGGAAGGGGTGTAGTGGGGGTTGAACACCCCCCAGGGAAAGGAGGAAGCCGGTGCCTTTGCGTACACCCCCCGTATTGCCCGGTTGCTGCCTCCCGGAGAGCCCCAGTTTTGACTGGTCCGTTGTGTTCCTCTCTGTCCCTGGGGCATTACTGGCCTAAGCCCACAGGGGGCAGAGCGGGCCGGGGCTGTAGGATGGAGGCAGTTTTGTTGTGCTGGGGAGGGGCAGGGCCATGGGGTCGACTCTCCCCAGCGGCGTCCCCAGTCCTCTCCTGGGAGATCGGGCATCACGGCGCGCCTACCTCGAAAACGAGCCGGCCAGGACCCTGGCAGGCTCAGTTGGGGGCTTTCGCGTTCTGCCCCAGCCTTTGCAGCCCAGACACCGGGGTTTGAGGGAGGGGAACGTGGGCTTTTCGCCGCCGAAATGCCGGGAGCGGAAGAATGGGAGTTGAGATCCTACGAGGCCCCGGACAGCTGGGACTCTGTGGTTAGGGGGATGGGGTGGGGGGGTAAATTGGGGTCCTGCAAGGCCGTTTACAGCCAAAATTACCATGTCTAGAGGGCTGGGGAACTAAGCCCCCGAACAGGCTTCTTGCAGCCCCATCGGCCGCTCTAGGCTGGCTATTTTTGCAGGGGTTTTGCAAGTGCGCCTCAGAAGTGTTTTAGCCCAGGAGTTGGTCCCTAGCCTGGGTCCGAGTTCACTGGAGCCAGTTGCGTGTGTGTGTGTGTGTGTGTTTTTCTCCAAGCGGTTGTGTTTTTTATTGTAACACTTTCGGCATTTAAACTTTCGATAAATGATTTTAAAAAATCCCGAAGCGCGGTGTCTGAAGGATTGCTTGAGGCCACCCCTGAGACTGGGGCCCCGGTGCGCCGGGCGCTGTGCCCTGCCGGGCTGGGGGGCTGCCCAACCCCCCTGGCTGAGATCGGGGGGGCCATGTTGGGCCGGGTGCTGCATGGACCCAATCAGAGGCAGTCCCTGCCCCCCGAAGAGCTCGTAGTCTGAAAGCAGGATTGTTCTGCTTTACAGCTGGGGAAACAAGATCAGAGAAATGAAGTGGCCCAGTACGGCTGTTTGTGGCAGAGCTGGGAATGGAACCCAGGAATCCTGGCTCCCAGCTGCCCCCCTCAGCCCCCCAACCACTAGACCCCTCTCTGAGCCAGGGAGAGAACCCAGGAGTCCTGGCTCCCAGCTCTAACCCAGTAGACCCCACTCCCCTCCCAGAGTTGGGGAGAGAACCCAGGAGTCCTGGCTCCCAGCACCCCCTTCTCTAACCCACTAGACCCCACTCCCTTCCCCGAGCTGGGGAGAGAACCAGGAGTCCTGGCTCCCAGCTCTAACCCAGTAGACCCCACTCCCCTCTCTGAGCCAGGGAGAGAACCCAGGAGTCCTGGCTCCCAGCCCCCCACTCTAACCACTCAACCCCTCTCTGAGCCAGGGAGAGAACCCAGGAGTCCTGGCTCCCAGCTCTAACCCACTGGACCCCACTCCCCTCCCAGAGCTGGGGAGAGAACCCAGGAGTCCTGGCCCCCATGGTCTAACCCCCACTGATACGTGCTTCCTTAAGTGCATGGGTTACAGGGAGGCAGGAGATCCCAGGTGCTCCATGGTCTCCGCAGGGTGGCCAGCACTAGCCCTGGGGCAAGGAGGTAGGATTTGTGCGTGGGGGGGCAGGAGCAGTGTGCGTGTGGGTCGCTAGAAGGGACATGGAGGGCAGGATTCCCAGCGCTGATGGCGTGAGCCGTTCCCCAGGTGGATCCTAGCGACAAAGGGGGCCAGGGAAACTAGCCAAAGAGGTTGAAAGGCGCCGGGTTCAGCCTGCCCCTTACCCAGCTGCCTCCTGTTCGCCGCAACGGGCTCCACCCCAGGGGTGGCTCCATCTCCGTGCCCGTCGAGCTGGTCCCATGGGGCGTTGCCGTGTGGCTGGCCCCCAGCTGCCCTGCCCCGGCAGTGGCTGCATGTCAGCGCCGGGCCAGCTGGTCCCGGGCTGCGTTCCATGCAGCTGGTACCAAGCGGCCCCAACCCCAGAGCTGGCTGCATTTCAGCCTCTTTGGGAAGCGCGGCAACCCGAATAGAACCGCGCCCGAAAGCCCCGGCGTGAGACTGTGCCCGGAGCTGCGCAAACGCACAATGAGGGACAACCTTTGTTCCCAAGGACGGAGCTACCGTGGGGAGAGCGCCCCCTAGCGCTGTCCTGGGGTGTGGGGGCCGGCCCTGGCTGCCTGGGGAGAGCGCCCCCTGCTGATCCCCCGCTCCCTGCAGCACAGCGCCCCCTAGCGCCGCACTGGGGCATCGGGGCCGGCCCTGGCTGCCCGGGGAGAGCGCCCCCTGCTGATCCCCCGCTCCCTGCAGCACAGCGCCCCCTAGCGCCGCACTGGGGCATTGGGGCCGGCCCTGGCTGCCTGGGGAGCGCCCCCTGCTGAGCCCCCGCTCCCTGCAGCACAGCGCCCCCTAGCGCCGCACTGGGGCATTGGGGCCGGCCCTGGCTGCCCGGGGAGAGCGCCCCCTGCTGATCCCCCGCTCCCTGCAGCACAGCGCCCCCTAGCGCCGCACTGGGGCATTGGGGCCGGCCCTGGCTGCCCGGGGAGAGCGCCCCCTGCTGATCCCCCGCTCCCTGCAGCACAGCGCCCCCTAGCGCCGCACTGGGGCGTGGGGACCGGCCCTGACTGCCCGGGGAGAGCGCCCCCTGCTGATCCCCCGCTCCCAGCAGCACAGCGCCCCCTAGTGCCGCACTGGGGCATTGGGGCCGGCCCTGGCTGCCCGGGGAGAGCGCCCCCTGCTGAGCCCCTGCCCTATATACACCTTAGTGCCTGAGTCCCCGGCGTTGTGCCGTGAGTCAAGTCAGAGGCCCGTCAGCGGGATAATTGGGCTGCTCACAGAGGAGTCAGGCCCAGGGGAGATGAGCTCACGCGGGAGGCTTCCCCGGGCATGAGCCATCAGTAACTGTGCGAAAACCACTAGATCCCGCCCCTCCCAGAGCTGGGGAGAGAACCCAGGAGTCCTAGCCCCCAGCCCCCCCCCCGTTCTAATCCACTAGACCCCACTCCCCCCCCCCCAGCGCTGGGGAGAGAACCCAGGAGTCCTGGCCCCCAGCCCCTTGTGCTGTAACCCACTAGACCCCACTCCCCCTCCCAGAGCCGGGGAGAGAACCCAGGAGTCCGGGCTCCCAGCCCCCCACTCGAGGAACCGGTTTGGCCGGTGCTGTCCACACCCCGTCTGCTGTGGAATGCCAGGTGCCGGGGGGCAAGTACGGGTCTGGGCAGGGCTCGGGCAGCCGGAGAGGGGCACAGACACCCGCAGAGCGCGCCGGGGAGAGCGAGAAGGAGACACCGGAGAGGGGGAGCAAGGCAGAGCCCCCGACGGAGGAGTACAGGGATCGCCCCAGCCCCATGGCCAGCGACCCCCCGGCCGAGCTTCACTGCCCCATCTGCCTCGAGCTCTTCGTGGGGCCTGTCATGCTGGAGTGCGGGCACAACTACTGCCAGGGCTGCCTCACCCGCTACTGGGGGGAGCCCCCGGCCCAGCCAGGGGAGGCCGCCCCCTGCCGCTGCCCGGAGTGCCGGCGCCCCGCGCCCGGGGGCAAGTACGTGCCCAACCGCGCCCTGGGCCAGCTGGCAGACAGGGCCCGGGAGAGCGCCCCTGCCCAGGAGGGGCCGGCGGCCGGCGAGGAGCTGCGGGGGGAGCCGCTGTTCTGCATGGACCACGGCAGCCTCACGAGGGCGCTGGACACCGAGCACTGGGGGCACCGTTGTCTCCCGCTGGACGAAACCATGCGGCATTATAAGGTCAGTCGTGGCCGCCAGGTTGCGGTGGGAGGGCGGGCTGGGTAAAGGGGCGCCGCTCTGCAGGGCTCAGTAGGGGGCACTCTCCCCTGGCAGTCAATGCGGCACTAGGGGGCGCTGTGCTGCATTATCCGGTGGTGTTGGTTTCCTTCCTGACCCCTACGAGGCATCTCACCTGCTGCCCTGAAGCATGAGCATGGACCAGCCGTCTCTGCCCCTAACTAAGCCATGGAGCCTTACGTAGACCTGGAGGTGGATGCTACGTTCCCAGTCAATCCCGGTGGGATATTACCCAGGACCGAAGCTTGACAGGGCCTAATGGCCTTCCTGTGGCTCCGGTGTTTTAACGCAGAGTGGGCAGTGATCTGGAGGATGGTGTGGATTGCATCCTCAGCAAGTTTGCAGATGACACTAAACTGGGAGGAGTGGTAGATACGCTGGAGGGCAGGGATAGGATACGGAGGGACCTAGACAAATGGGAGGATTGGGCCAAAAGAAATCTGATGAGGTTCAATAAGGATAAGTGCAGGGTCCTGCACTTAGGATGGAAGAACCCAATGCACAGCTACAGACTAGGGACCGAATGGCTAGGCAGCAGTTCTGCGGAAAAGGACCTAGGGGTGACAGTGGACGAGAAGCTGGATATGAGTCAGCAGTGTGCCCTTGTTGCCAAGAAGGCCAATGGCATTTTGGGATGTATAAGTAGGGGCATTGCCAGCAGATCGAGGGACGTGATTGTTCCCCTCTATTCGACATTGGTGAGGCCTCATCTGGAGTACTGTGTCCAGTTTTGGGCCCCACACTACAAGAAGGATGTGGAAAAACTGGAAAGAGTCCAGCGAAGGGCAACAAAAATGATTAGGGGTCTGGAACACATGACTTATGAGGAGAGGCTGAGGGAACTGGGATTGTTTAGTCTGCGGAGGAGAAGAACGAGGGGGGATTTGATAGCTGCTTTCAACTACCTGAAAGGGGGTTCCCAAGAGGATGGTTCTAGACTATTCTCAGTGGTAGAAGAGGACAGGACAAGGAGTAATGGTCTCAAGTTGCAGTGGGGGAGGTTTAGATTGGATATTAGGAAAAACTTTTTTCACTAAGAGGGTGGTGAAACACTGGAATGCGTTACCTAGGGAGGTGGTGGAATCTCCTTCCCTAGAAGTTTTTAAGGTCAGGCTTGACAAAGCCCTGGCTGGGATGATTTAATTGGGGATGGGTCCTGCTTTGAGTAGGGGGTTGGACTAGATGACCTCCTGAGGTCCCTTCCAACCCTGACACCCCAGACTATCCAGAACCTCCCGCCCCAGAGCTGGCTGCATCTCCGCGCCAGGCAAGCTTGTTTTTTCGGACTCATCCCCGGGTTTCTGTCCATCCAGGAGATTTTAACCGTGTCACAGACCTCGCTGGAGGCCAGGATCCAAGCGGCGAAGTCTCTGCAGGAGCAGAGAGCTCAGAAAGCTCCTGAAATTGCAGTAAGTTCAAACCCACGACCCGCCCCTGGGTGCTGACTGCCAGACCCCCCCCAGCACGGCTGGTGCCCCTCACTCCTGACCCGCAGCCCCCCCCTCTAGCCTAGCCCTGGGCTCCCCCCCAGCCCTGCCAGTGCCCCTCACTCCCGACCCGCAGCCCCCTGCCAGCCCAGCCCTGCCCCCCCAGCTCTGCTGGTGCCCCTCACTCCCGACCCACAGCCCCCTGCCAGCCCAGCCCTGCCCCCCCCCAGCTCTGCCGGTGCCCCTCACTCCCGACCCGCAGCCCCCTGCCAGCCCAGCCCTGCCCCCCCCAGCCCTGCCGGTGCCCCTCACTCCCGACCCGCAGCCCCCTGCCAGCCCAGCCCTCTCTCCCCAGGCCCAGCGTCTCCGCCTGGAGCAGCACCTGTCCTCCCAGTTCATCGAGTTGCACCAGGGGCTGCAGCAGAAGGAGGCGGCCCTGAGGCGGGAGCTGAGGCGGGAAGAGGAGCTTTTGCTGAGCGAGCTGGAGACCAGCCAGCGAAATGCCCAGGAGCTCGTCCGCAGCTCGGGGGGGCAGATCGCTGCCATCC